TCCTCGACTCTAGGGTACGATATCTCGGCAGGTATAGAACGCCACGTAAAGAATACCTAATTCAATGGGAAGGTGAGCCGAGGGAACAGGCACAGTGGGTAAAAGAAAACGACGCCATCGGTGCAGAACAAAAGATCGCGGAATTTGAGAGTCGACGTCAAGCCCAACTTCCCGACATTTAAAAACCCCACACACCTGTATCCATCACTTACCTCTCACTTCTCCCACAACTTTATTCTTCCTTTAGCATACGCTATTACCTTGATCTCTTAAAGAAGACACGAGCTCTTCCTTTCCCCAAATCACATCTTTCTACATCATATCCTTCCTACATCCACCAGCTATCGTCTTTCATCTTGCTTCACCTCGCACACTATCGAACCATGGCGCCCAAGAGAGCCAGCTCCCATCGACCGTCTGCTGCGCGCCACGGATTTCCGGACAACGACGATACAGTGGACTACGAGGTTCAGCATTTGCAAGCAATGAATATCAATGCACAGTCAGTCCTGAAGCAGAAACCGAGAGGCCTCAACTTGCCCTACTACGACAGAATTGAGTATGACGTCTCCGGCCGCGTCGCTATTCCACCCCCCCGTTCTTCCTCGGCGGACTTCGGCTCCTCCTCGGCTGCCTCAGCTCGGGTCTTGCACTCCTCTGTATGTTTCTTGGCGGCAGCGACAACATTGTCCTTTTTGAGCCCACATTGGGGGCCGTATTCCCGGTGCCTATCCTAGATGTTAGTATCTGTTTGGTATCCGATGACCGACCACCCTTCTCCGGCTCTTCCTATAGGAATAATTCAAACTCACTGGGCTCTTGCGAAGGCAATATTTGCCTTGCACTTGTTTCATTCTTCCGTGGCTCCTAGCGAAGAGGAGGAAGAATGATTGTTGATGAATCTAGCAAAGAGTAGGGTTTATACCCTGCACAAACAAGCTCGAAAAACAAGCTGATGACTCTGCAGATAATGAAAAATAGGATAGACCAGCATATTCTATATACTACACAAGAATACTGTACTGGATAAGCGGCCCTGTGATATCTTTCCAGTGGTCTTTTCAGTGGTCTTCTCGGGTATCGTCCTGTGTAGAGGTCTTGTCAAGTTTATAGGTCGACGGCGGAAAAAGGCTTAATTCTTGCAAACCCCTTTTCTATGTATAACCTCTGATCCATGGGGTGTTCCTTGACATGTCGCCTCCAATGCAGCGGAACCTTAAGAAAATTGTGGTGTAGATGCCATTAGCTTGCTCTCAATTTGTACTAATGAGCAGAGGGGCAAAAGGGTTCCATCAGGTTCGCTTCTCAACTCCTATCTAAGTTTATGATTTCATTCATTTGGACAAAGTTTCAATAAAAATATGTGTAAAAAGTAGGATATATATATTCAAGTTTCAGACTAGTATATAAAACAAACATAATGATTCAGATCTATGAATATCGACGGCGGAAACGCATCTTCAAGTTCTCATTTCGCTACCCAGCTCATATCATTGGGAGGTGGGACCTGTGGACCACCCTTGGCAACCTGAACATACCATCCCAAATCGGCATCCGGGTTCATCTCCCACTCAGTGAATCCATTGCCAAGGAAGCGGAACGGATTGCCTGAGTTATACGCAATATCATAATGTTCTGAGCGGATCTCACCCAGGAGGCGGCGGAACAAGATAGCACTGCCTGCAAAGAGATGAGTGACGCGACCATCGATGGTGCCTCTCTTGTACCAGCTGCGACAGGAGCCGGACCACACCAGTGTCTTATGGATCTCGTCTTGATATTTTCCGAATGCGTGCACGGACGAGGCCTTCGGGACCATGTATTTGATGTCTTCGGTGGCGATCTTCTTAATCATCTTGACAAAGTAGTCGCCTGTCCAGTTCAATGCCTCGACGAGGGATCCGTGGCCGCAGAGGCAGTTAGGACCGGCCATTGTGAAGTAGTTGGGGAAGTCATCGGTTCCGACTGATAGGTAGGAGGTGGGCTCATCCTTCCATTTCTGGGCGAGGTTGACTCCGTTTTGGCCGACGAGGGGATATTGAGGGCATTTGGAGACATCGAAGCCAGTCGCACATACCACTGAAATACTATGTTAGAATTCTAATCGCTCACAATGTTGGTCAAGGGATAAACTTACAAACGTCACACTCAAACTCCTCCCCGTCAGCAGTGACAACCCCCTTCTCGGTAATCTTAGTAATTGGGCTCGAGGTGAGACTGCAATTGGGCTTTGAGAATGCCTCTAAGTAACCAGGGCCAGGGGTCACTCGACGGCAACCAATCTCCCACTTCGGAATAAGTTGTTCACACAGCACAGGGTCATGATTGAGCTTCTCAGCCATCTGGGCTGTTGCTAGTGCCACGGTTGTCTCGTTGGGTTCTCCCTTCATGAACTACACGGCGTCCCATGTTAGTTTCCAGTTCAGCAAAGGGGCTGAAGGCTATGCGATCGTCTTACCAAACGGAATGCCTTGTTGGTACGGTGGATAATTCCTTTACGGTATTCCCGATGTTTGACAGGATCGCTGAACTGCTCCTTCTCTTCGTCAAGGAATTCTGGGTTGGTGTCTTCTGTTTCTCTCCCAAGGTGCTTTGAGGGCGGTACACGGTAATAGACCCAAGCTGGACCACGAATAAAGTTGCGCACGGTGGTACCAGGCAGCTTCGTCATCTGGGGTACGATTTGGATGCCAGAAGACCCATTTCCAATGACAGCTATCCGCTTGTTTGAGTAATCGAAGTCATGGTCCCATCGTGCAGAGTGCGTCACATGACCTTTGAAATCGGAGAATCCTGCAATCTTTGGCCAGGAAGGGCTCCTATCGATATGTTAATTGAGCTTTCCTTAAGTGCATATGAGGGCGTTTGAGTACGTACACCAAGTTACCTTGGCCTGAGATCAAAATGTCACAGAACTCATCACGCTCGACTCCAGCGTGCTTCACAGTAATCTTCCATTTGCCTGAATCTTCCTGCCAGTGGGCTCCAATAACCTGAGTTTCTAATTGGATATCGCGATCAAGGTTCCACTTCTTTACTGTTGACTTGATGTACTCTTGGATCGCAGGGCCACTGGAATAAAAGCGGGGCCAGTCTGGGTTAGGGTCGAATGGGAAGGCCTAGGTGTGTCAGCACAGCATCTATATCAGAAGTGGTTGTCGTAGACTCACATAGATGTGAGATGGCACATCACATTGCACACCAGGGTAAGTATTGACTAGCCATGTTCCTCCGATATCGCTGCGGCCTTCGAAGATCGTGTGATCAACAAAGTCCTGAAGCTCAGGGTAGGCATGTTGGAATTTGTGTGCTAGCACTAGCCCAGAAAAGCCTGCGCCGATCGTGATGATACGGAGTTTGCGAGGATTTAAGGCGTACTGGTCATTGAATGGAACTGAGTGTTCCTTGAGCCGGTCGCTAGTTGAGGATTTCGGGCCATCACCGGTGGATTTGCCATTGATATGGTCAGAGAAATGCGAGAACAAGGTCTCGGGAAGGTCCTTTGCGTCTTTGGTGGAGAAAGCCGCGGGGACCTTACCATCCGCCACGGGTGACGTTGGTAGGTCTGGTGTCACAATTGATGGAGCCATTGTCGTGGAAAAGTGGTTTTGATGGAAGGTGGAGAGGAGATAGAGGATCCCAGTCGAACTTTCAACCCAAAGTTTCTCTGGTCAAGTGAGTTGATTGACAAATTGTACTTGTTGATGCATTTGGTCGAAGTCCCCCAACTTTATATTAGAACAGGAATGCGGGAGACAGGTCCCGCTATGCCTCCCTCACTGCCTGCCCGCTGCCGACACAGGAACTCATTCATTTCGCCCCACCTAACACCGTAACTTCACTGAGGCAAATTGCGTGCCGAAGGGATCAACCGTATGTGAGACTAAGGCTAAGTCCGGGGTAACCGAGATGTCCTAGCTGAAAAGGACTAGCGCAATACGGCAATCCCATTTTGGAATCGCCGACATCGTCCGATTGTGGAAGGCAATCTCTTTGAACCGAAGTGGGTTCCAAAGGATTATTACAGCCCTCGGCGATCGAAACACGAAAAGGTTTGATTGTCTCGTGATACTGAACAATAACCCGCTTCTACCCTCCTGTGAGGAGGGTCTGGTTTAGTCCGTGTCATTCTCAACTTCCACGTAGTTCCAAGTATAACGGATAAAGTAACAATTTATCAAATTTAAGGGTAAAAGTTAATATATGACCGCCTTACAAAAGACACCATTTATTGGTCGATACCCCTAGATACAACACTTTATCACGTTTTCACTTGAACTGTGATAAGCAGAACATGTTTAGATAAACATCACGGCAGTCACTCATGGTGCCACTCACTAATACAACCCCAGTTCCGAGAGACGGGGCCATCGGCAATCCCGGCATCCAACCAGCTGTCAGATAACAAGACAAAGTCTTGCTCGGGATAAATCTGGCAACATCAGACAAGGCATACCGAAGCATCAACAACGAACCAATTCGGTAGTACAACAGTGATTTCATCCACCAGACCGTGTCACAAGATGTGTGACTTCTCGAAATACGGTATTCCCAGCGAGGAGTGGCTACGTGTGGAAGCCACTTTGCCAGCCGCAAAAGATCAAAGCTTGGCTGAGCTCAAGATAGCTGCCAATGAAGGCAGAGAAGCCGTGGCGCGAAAGGCGATGCCAGAGTTTTCCAACCAAATTATTAGCGAAGATCACTCAATTCCAGCCCGCGATGGCTACAAATTAGAGGCGAGAAGTTATCGTCCGATCTCAGCATCTCCCACTAAGAAGCTACCCATTTACATGCACTTTCATGGTGGTGGCTTTCTGTTCGGTACTTTGAACTCGGAGGATGCAATCTGCTCTCGGCTTGCCGTCAACACAAATGTTGTTGTTGTCAACGTCAACTACCGCCATACTCCCGAATACACATATCCAGCCGCCTGGAACGATGCCGAAGATTCCTTCCTTTGGGTCTGTGAGAACATTGTTCTCTTGAATGGTGGTCTGGACAGAATCATCGTCGGTGGAATATCGGCTGGTGCATGGCTCGCCGCTTCTCTTACACTGGCAGTATCGAGGTCGGAGCTCCCAGTCTCGCCGGTACTAGGAATCTGTGGCCAGGTATTGATGATCCCTGCTCTGGTATACACCCAGTGTTATGGCTCGCAATTGCATCAAATCAAAGAGCCTAGACTCTCATCATATTCTCAAAATGAAAACGCGCCGATCCTGAATATGCGACGGAAGCAGATGTTTAACAGTCTGTTAAAGGTGGAAAATCCAGATCCCACCGACAAGCGGCTGAATCCTGGGCTTCTATCGTCTGACGATGCGAAAAGGTTGCCGCCGACAACACTTGGGATTGCGGGCTACGATCCCCTAAGGGACGAAGGCTTGCTATATGGCAAGGTTTTGGCTGAAAACGAGTGAGTAACTACTTGAATTGGTTTCTTCTGTGTTTCGCACTAATGCAATGCTTCAGTGTACCGACCAATATCAATGTCTTCAAGGGTGTACCCCATGGATTCCGACGATTCGGGGACAAACTGTCGGTCTGCAAGCAATGGGATCATACCATGGAAGACGGAGTTCGATGGGCTTTGACAAAGCCTGCTGCCTCAAAAGAGTTCATCATCCAGGAACATTAAGCGGCTTTTTGGATAACGATATATCGCTAAGACTAGGATCTTTAAATATATCAGGGTCTTTGAAATATCATTTTAGTGAAGTATTTGATCGTCGCTTAATTCGCTAGCCAGATATAGTTTCAGTTATCAACGAGGTCGTTGTAGTATAAAGACGTCATGACACCTGTAGCACATGTCGCGTTAGCATGGCAGGAGAGTCGACCCTTCCATCCTTGTAGAGTTACATCGCGTGTCCATGTAACGCTTAAGTATGCTAGAAATATGAGGTTCCTAAGTGTACAAGCAAAACTTTCAGAAATTGCATAGGCGAAGTATGGTCATCTCGCTCACAAGACTCGTATATCTTCTCACACAAACTACGCACCCCGCGGTCCATAACGACAATGACCGCCAATATCCACATCAATTCTACATGGCTCTCCGACTCCCATTTTTTCCCCATTCCTTTCCCTTCCCCCGGATTCCCCAGAAATGAGCGCGGGGTACATGTGCCGATGCCGGACCCGCGTCGTCGGCGACGTCGGTAATCCGAATATGGATAGCCGACTCGAATCTTTCGGGGAATATCCCGAGAATCTCGCAACTTCTCCGCTTAATTTGGATTTTAGAAACCAAGCCGGAGATTCGGCACGAGTACCCCTCCAATATCAATCGCAAATGTTATTTATGACCGCATCGCCGTGCTTGTAGAACGAATATTTTTCTGAAAGGCCAAGATAAACATAGACACTACATCCAAAGACCTCGAGCTACTTAGGATACAAAATTATACCTAGTATTGTCTCTGCTTCCAGCCATGTCACCACCTGCAGCAACTTTCGAGCCGATAACCTCGGTTACGAAGCCGGCGTGTCTCCAGAATGGCTTTGACAAGACTGCCAAGAGTGCTCAGCATCGCCTCAACCCCGATTATACCATTGTTGAACAGCCCATTGGAACCCGGCGGCCACTTCGCGTCGTCTGCCTCGGTGCAGGTTACTCAGGCCTTATGATGGGTATTGTCTTCAATGAACGCATGAAGGACGCCAATGCGGAATTTGTTATTTATGAACGAAACGCTGATTTGGGAGGCACTTGGTATGAAAACAGGTGAGTTGATGGGAAGTACGTCTGCAAGCTCACTGTGGCTGATGCGTCGTTTGCAGATATCCGGGATGTCAGTGTGATATCCCAGCGCATAATTATGCCTACAGTTTTGCTGCCAACCCGGCATGGCCAAATTATTATGCCACATCAGAGCAAATCCATTCCTACATGAAAGATGTTGCCAAGCAATACGAAGTTGAGAAATATATTCGCCTTCAACATTCCGTTGAATCAGCAATTTGGAATGAAGAAAAGGGAAAGTGGAATCTTAAGATCAGGAATGGTTCCACACTGATCGAAGACGAGTGCGATGTGTTCATCAATGCCAGCGGCGTGTTGAAGTAAGTATCCCTTTGGTAGTCGTTTCCCATATGGGTGCTGACAGTATGACACTACAGCAATTGGAAGTGGCCCTCTATTGAGGGACTACAAAGTTTTAAAGGAAGACTTATGCACTCAGCGCACTGGGATTCCAGTTACGACTTCACTGGGAAGCGCGTTGCTTGTATTGGAATCGGATCGTCTGGCATTCAGATTGTCCCTAAGCTTGCCAGTGGTACGTTCAACCTGCTAATTCATCAATTCTATCAAATGACTGACTCAAACAGTTGTCGGGAATATGGACTGCTATGTACGCAGCCAAACGTGGATCAGCCCAGCTCCTGGAATCAACGAGCCAACAGCGAATGATCCAGAAATGGACAAGGATTACAATTTCGCAGAAAGCACTTTAGAGCTATTCAAGGATCCTAAAATCCTTCGTGACTACCGTGCTGCCATTATGAACCGACGAGCGGAGAACTTTAATCGAGTCATTGCCGATTGTGACCTTCAAAAGGAAGCTCAAGATCTGTTCCGAAAGTCCATGACCGACCGTTTGGGTAACAGCGAAAAAGGAAAGCGCGCGGCTGAACTTCTTGTACCCTCATTCCCAGTTGGATGCCGTCGCCAAACACCGGGACCAGGTTTCCTGGAAGCTATTATCCAGGACAATGTCGAGTTGAGATGGGACGATGTCTCAAAGATCACGGAGCGAGGAATTCTTACCCGAAGCGGCGTTGAGTTGGAATATGACATTATTGTCTGTGCTACAGGATTCGACACTTCATTCAAGCCTTCCTTCCCATTAGTAGGCCGAAATGGAGTTAACATGGCGGAGAAGTGGGAAAAGGACGTCCCAAAGGCATACATGGGCATGTGTGTGCCGGATTTCCCAAATTACTTCTGTAAGTTTTTCTTCGCTCCATCGTTATTCCTTTTTACTTACATATTCAGGCTTTGTGGGACCCAATTCACCACTGGCTAACGGGTCGCTGATTCTCGGAATCCAAGCAACCGCTGCCTATATCTACAAATGGATGGAAAAGATGCAAACCGAGGGTGTTCGCAGCTTTGAGATCGACGATGACGTCAACGAGGAGTATAATCAGCACATTCAGAAGTACCTTGAACGTACAGTGTGGACTCGAGAATGCCGCAGTTGGTACAAGCGTGGTACCGTTGATGGCCCAGTTATTGCCATCTATGGTGGATCCATCTTCCACCTCTTGGAAGCTATGAAGAACCCTCGATGGGAGGACTTCAAGATGGATCGGACTCCCGAAGCTAAGATCAACCGGTTCTCGTATCTAGGTAACGGAACTACTTTGAGAGAGGCCAAGGGAGGTGACATTGGTGCCACACAGACCTTAGACTTTGATGAGTTCTGGAACTTGTTTAACCTCCCACAGGTCCATAATTAGAAGGGGTGTGGTGAAAGGTGTATATATAACTTCAATCTCTTTGTCCTTTTTTCTATTGTGAGATCTCTGAGTACGTAAACTAAATCAGCATGGTTACTTAAAGTTTTTTAGATAGTGCCGAATAGAACATCTTACCTTTTTCCCTGAAGACTTCCCACAGTACATGTATCATGTCCGACATTGAGCGCTCAAACATTCAATATAACTGGCCTTTGAACGTGTGATCGGTCTGAGCAGCTCATCAAATCCCCGGTTAAAATGTAGTCAGCCTGAATGAGGGGTCATAGAAGGCAGTTAATACAGGAACAACCCGAAGAAATGCGATATAGTTACCGACTTGGGAAGTTTAGAACCTTAAAAGGTCACTAAAGTCGAATTGGAAGTCGACCCACTGCTTAAAGTTGTTTACTCGCTATGCCTGAACGCAATAGGCTAAAGCCATCTCCGCATAGACCTGTGATGCTACGCAATTGATGCCAGATCAGGAGGAATATTGCCTGATTGCCGATGCATAGGGTGAATCTAGTCATAGACTAGAGATCGGCTAGGGGGGACGGGTATTGATAGCCGGAAGGTGATTGTAGTGTAATGTCGCCCACATTAGACTATGGAATCTGAGTAACAATATAAAATTAAGTATGGAATAGTAATAAACAGCAGGCTTCTTAGTCAGAACAAATTCTCCGGTCGTTCTATGACTGCATATCTACGCTAGTCAAGGGTATCCCATGAAGCTCCAAGTGACTTCGGGCTGTGTTTACTGGATCAAACAGCATAATAATGAAGGAGGGGCCGCATTCTTCTAGACAATGTGCCGAACTGCCGACTCAACCCCTCGAGAAGTAGCCATATCGTGGGGCCCCCGGCTTAGCGTCTTAGCAACATCCCAAATTCATCATACTGAAAGATGTACATTAGAATTGATACTTTGACACTTTGACCCTGTATTCTTTAACCTAGTCTATTTGCCAAGGTAGTCAGTCACCGATGCGGAGATATGTCAATTGCCGGTATATATCATACTTTGAGAAAGAAATATATATATCCGAAGTATTTACTAGTCACTATGGCTCAATCAACTCAGAGCAGTGTCTCACCAGTGCTTGTTGGGGACTTCATTCAATAACATATGAAATTTGGTCGCCATGAAATTCCTAATAGGATTGGCGTTGTTCTCCCTTGCACCTTCTTCGTTTGCTGTTCCGACAAGCAACAGTCCTCAAAGCAATAGCTTAGCCCACGAAGAACAGCCGGTGATCAAGCTGAAGCCCCAGCAAACTACCTCTCGTGACCTTGTGAACCTCGATGGCCTGTGGAAATTCACCCTCGCTTCTGGTGCAAACGACACAGCCCAACCATGGATGGCACCATTTCCCAGAGATGCTCTCGAATGCCCAGTTCCCGCGTCTTACAACGATATCTTCGTCGATCGCAATATCCACGACCATGTCGGATGGGTGTACTACCAGCGCGATGTATTGGTCCCAAAGGGCTGGTCCAACGACCGATATTTCGTGCGAGCCGAATCCGCTACGCATCACGGCCGTATCTACATAAATGACCGCCTGCTAGCTGAACATGTGGGCGGTTACACACCTTTTGAAGCAGATATCACCGAGTTTGTCACAGCTGGTGACAGGTTCCGCTTGACGATTGGCGTCAACAATGAGCTTACCCATGAGACGATCCCACCTGGCAAGATCGTGGTGGGCGAGGCCACCGGCAGGAGAACCCAGACCTACCAACATGACTTCTATAACTATGCTGGACTTGCTCGCTCTATCTGGTTGTATTCTGTGCCTCATCAGCATATTCAAGACATAACAGTTGTCACGGATGTTGATGGTGAAACTGGACTCATCAACTACAAGGTCAAGGTGGCAGACACGGGGACTCTCAAAGTCAAGATTTCTGTGGTTGACGAGGATGGAGTCGTTGTTGCAAATTCCTCCGGGGCTGAGGGTACCCTCAAAATCAAGTCGGTCAAGTTGTGGCAACCTGGTGCCGCCTACCTTTACCAATTGGAAGCGAGCATTGTAGATTCCCATGGCAAGGTAGTCGACACCTATAGCCTAGCCACCGGCGTGCGGACTGTCAAGGTCATTGGGTCGAAGTTCCTTATCAATGACAAACCCTTCTACTTCACCGGATTCGGAAAACATGAAGACACAGCAGTCCGCGGCAAAGGACACGACCAAGCTTACATGGTCCACGATTTCCAACTGATGAACTGGATCGGGGCAAACTCTTTCCGAACCTCACACTACCCTTACGCCGAAGAAGTCATGGAATTTGCAGACCGACACGGAATCGTCGTGATCGACGAAACACCCGCCGTGGGTTTGAACATTGCTTTGCTAGGTTTATCCGCAGGCGAAGCCGTGAAAACCTTTGCCCCCGATAGTATCAACAACAACACCCAAGAGGCTCACAAGCAAGCCATTCGTGAACTCATCAACCGCGACAAGAACCATGCCAGTGTTGTTATGTGGTCAATTGCCAATGAGCCAGCCTCGAATGAAGACGGGGCGCGCGCATACTTCGAGCCTCTCGTCAAGTTGACTCGGGAGCTTGATTCAACTCGTCCTATCACATTTGCCAATGTCGGCCTGGCAACGTACCAGACAGATCAGATCTCGGACTTGTTTGATGTCAGTTGTCTTAACCGGTATTTCGGGTGGTATTCTGAAACAGGGGACCTCGGTGAAGCAGAGGCGGCCCTAGAAAAGGAGCTGCGCGGCTGGGAAAAGAAATTCAATAGGCCTATTATCATGACTGAGTATGGCGCTGATACTATTTCCGGTCTGCACTCAACCTTGGGTCTGCCTTGGAGCGAGGAGTTTCAGACCCAAATGCTTGACATGTATCATCGGGTCTTCGACCGTGTTGAGTCGATGGCAGGGGAGCATGTTTGGAATTTCGCTGACTTCCAGACCACTATCGGTATCCAGAGGGTGGATGGTAATAAGAAAGGTGTGTTTACCAGGGACCGAAAGCCGAAGATGGCGGCACATAGTTTGAAGGCGAGGTGGACAAATCTCACCAGAACTGGGTAAGGAATGGATTTGTTGGGATCAACACCGCCGTTTGCTGCACTGTTTGCTAGTTCAGACTTGAAGTTTTGTTCTAGTTTGACAGTTGGTTCCCCAGTTTGTTTGCTGTTTTACAGGTATAAATACCCTGTCTCTCCATAGATTCATCAGTACAGATCTTCTTTTACTTCATCATTAAGCTCAAAAGGATTCCTTCGGCTTAGGTATATAATCCGTGTATAGATTATATAACCGGGGTATCAGACAGAAAATGACAACGTACGGTCCTAATCATATATTGACAGCGTCATGGGATGTTACGTGAGTCTGTTCGTTTCCTCCCAGTATATCTACTAGGTAGTCCCTAGTTGTAGGTCGACTGCTCTTCTATTCCACACTTCTCTTCCTTCTGTCTCTCACCTTTCTTCATTCTATCTCTGATTTCTTTCTTCTGTCTCTGACTTGTCTTCCTTCTATCTCGCACCCACCCCCGTTGTGGACATTGTCATGAGACCAGTAAGAGCCTTCACTAACAACATTAGCCCACCACCTGTGTAGAACCGACAAATCCAAGTCGATCACCCTATCACTATCCCCTTCTCATAGCAGCAACGACCCTTGATTCGTTGACCCACTACTACATCCATTATTACCGGTCAGTCGCTAACCCGACTTTCAGACATTAATATTTCACGTCTGACGGCCGACCGAGCATTTCTCGATCTCATATCTGACACTCCACTGCGCCCAGGTGCAACAATCTTCCTAATGTGGAGCCCCGATCAAGAAATCGATGATTTCGACATTAGTGATACGGACTACGACATAACATGTAGCGTCCTCAAGCTGAAGGGAACAGACAACTGGAGGGAGTGGGAATCCGCATTATTTTTGTCTCTCAAGGCCAACGACAGACTTTATTTTCGGATGGTCAGCAAGGGTATCGAGTACCCCAATCCTCCTGCCTAACAAGCCGACTCAACGACAGCGATTTGCGAACTCCTTCGGGAAGAAGGAGAAACAGACATCACAGCAGCAAAATTTGGGCCTGCACAAACGAAGTCAACAAGGAGAATGAGTCGATCCGTGCTACCGATATCTATAGGTACCAAAAGTGGAATACTTGCAATAGCAGAGCGCTTCTCCAGTTGCGAAATACTCTTCAAGCAGGACCCTTTTCTCTGGTTTCGCAAATGAGCAATGCACACGAAATTTATCTGAAGCTACACGCCAATTGAATTGCTCTCTAGTTCCTCATGAAGAAGCCTATATCCGCTGGAAGAAGTTCCTTGATATGCGATACAAAGGTGGTTCTGCCACTGAATTTGTACGCAAATTTCGGGAAGCCATTCGTGACTTGAACCAAGTAGCAGGATTAATATCGTTGCCCCTTATGGTTGAATTCTGCTCTTTTAAAAGAGCCGTGGTTGAGAACCTTCGCTGTATGCCTTTGTTCCAAAATCTCACGATCAGTAAGGACAAGCAGTTCATGGAGAGAGAGGGTCTACGTCGATTTTATTGAGGCAGAAACCAATAACAGATCTTTCAACACCACTTCTTTCGCTGTCGACCCTACCTCCGCCAACAATTCGTAAAATACACGATTCAGTAACAAGAGCGGCAAAGGCAAAAAGAGATATGTCTAAACATCTTCGAAAGCAACAAAATGTCTGGGTATCATATTCACGGATCTGCAGCCGGAAATAAATTCCCTTGGCAAGATAGTTTTAAGTCAAGCTTAATTACAAGAACAATGACAAACACTTCTAGGCAGCTAGATCCCTAAACGTACATACGTATTCTGAATGATCAAATACTGCTCGTAGTTACATTCATGCCGACTTCGTCACAGCATACTCATCCTCAGCCCCGGGCCCGGGCTGAGACACCGACAGCGCTCGCTTATCATTACCGCCTTTCGTGCGCCCAATACCGACCATCTGCAGCATTTCTCTCCAGAAGCCAGTTGGTGGGTCGATGAAGCTATCCTCGTACGCATCGATCAGGGGTCGTTCCCAGACCAAGTCAGCTTCATGAGCCTTAACAAACTTGGTTTTCTTGAGGAGTTTCCAGATGATGAAGAGAGGAGGAATGACGATTTGCATGGTGTAGTTCGACCAGAAGGTTGACACCGACCATGGCTTATATGCGGGGTAGCCGTAGACGATTGTCACGATGATCATCCATACGAATGCAATGTATGCGCAGTAGGGTTGGAGATATCCGAAATAGGAGAAGGACTTGCGGTCAACGCCTTGCGCTTTGCATGCGCGGTGGAAGAAGATGTATGTCAGAGTGATGACGATATAATTGATGAGACCTGGGAGACGTTGTCAATATTTTATACATTGTTATGGTAAATTGAAGATTGCTTACCTCCGGCAGTGATGAGGTTGGCGAACCAGGTGATGACGATGGAGGAGCTACTGGAGCATTGCAAAAAGGAAAGGATGGGGAAGATCATCACGAATGCGAAGCAATAGATGGGTACACCGTTGCGATTGGTGCGAGTGAGAACTCTTGGGGCTCGTCCTTCGAGTGCCAAGCCGTATAGAGTACGGATAGCGCAGTAGGTGTAGGTATTTCCAGCAGAGAAAATCGAAGTCAGCAAGAGGCTAAAATAGTATGGTCAGTATTTGGTTCGTCAGAATTATCTTCTTCTTTTTTCTTCTTTTTTTGGCATGATACTCACGCGTTGATGATCGAAGGGAAAATTGAAATGCCCATGTTTCGCATGCCAATAACATATGGCGATGCCGAAGCAGAGCCAGAAGAGCCGCCAGTCACAACCTCTTTTAGCTGAGGGTCATTAGCAGCACAAACGATACCCACAGCCAAGGCGCCGCCGATAAAGAAGAGGCCGAATCGAATGTAGACTGTCTTGAAGGCATTCTTGATATATATGCGGGGACGCTTTGACTCAGCTGCAACCATGGAGATGTACTCGGGACCGACGACGGCAAAGCAAGCTGACCAAAGGGAACCTAGGAAGCCTTCGAAGCGACCAAGGGCGCCAGTATCCAGATACTCCATGAATGAGCCGGGGTTATTCCAGTGGCGGAAGCCATAGGCGTCGTGGGCCGGGTTTCCGCCAACCATGGTGATGAAGGTGAAGAAGAACAGGGAGAATATCAAAATGACCTTCCCACCGGACAGCCAGAATTCGGCTTCACCATAGGCTTTGACGACCAAGATGTTGAGGAAGCTAAGGAAAATTAGTACTTGGACGAAGGTTCAGTGTACGCAACGATAATCAAGCATAGAAAAGAGTGAAATTGGTGGAAGAGGTTCTCACCCATAGACCAGGATAACACCAACACAGATGCCTGCGACTGGACCAGGTTCAGTCAGAGTCGGGCTCCAATAAGATAAGACGAGCGTGAAAGCTGAGATCTCAAACGGAATCAAGAGGGCCTCATAGAAGCTAGAGGGAGTGTTAGCAAAGATAGAAGGTAGGGTTTTGGCGAAGCCGAAAAGAGAACGGACAAAAAGTTCCAGCCGACCATGAAACCAAGTGCGTCGTCGACCCATTTTCCAGCCAAGCGAATAAAACCACCACTGACTGGGAATGCAGTGGTCATTTCAGCGAGGCAGTTGTTGACCATGGCCAAAAAGATACATTGAACAGTGAAGGCAATCAACAAACTGCCAGGTCCTCCATGATAAAGACCGGAGCCGATGCTGACGAAAAGGGCGGTTCCGATAGAGCCGCCAATAGCGATGAGCTGGATCTGACGATTTCCAAGATGGCGCTGAAGGTTGTCGGCATTTTCAGCCATCACACCTTCTTGTACATCACGAGCACTGCTTTCGTTTTTGAGCCCTAGTGTTTCCAACACACTACCGCCCGTTTCTTTTCCCTTGTCGCTTAGGATAGCCATGTTGTTTTCATTCCTGGATTTCGTCTTTAGTTGCTGATAAAATGGGGATAAGGGTCCGAGTAAAAGAACCCGATGGGCTGTCGCTTTTCGTCTTTATTCTGGGGTATGGGTGGAAATGTTGGGGGTGGATCAGCGGAAATCTGGGGGTGGATCTGCTACAGAGAAATGGGATGTCGGGCTATGTCGCACGGGTCTGAGATTCGATCGCGTGGGCAGTCTTGTCGCTATGGATGTTGAAGTTGCAATGGCAAGGGCATATATCGGAGATGTCGTTGTCTCTAGGATAGGATTTGCATTCCAATATGGAGCTTAGCGGAGAGACTTGAAGGCTTTTTCCCAAATGAAGAATATTTAGAGAAGTAAAAGGAAGGATTTAGTCAGAAGCAGATGCAAACGACATATAATAAAGAAAATTGGGGCCAAGAAGAGTAAAAGTGGAAAAGAGGCAAAGATTTCCCTCGAAGTAAGATTAGAAAGATTGGCGAAACAAGCCTATGTGAGACCCTGCAAGCCCTGCAAGCCATCCCAAGCCTTACAAAAGCCATACGAAAGCCATACCGTGGGCATAATGACGCAGTTAAGTTTGTTACTTGGATCTCTTGATTGGCTTGGAATACATTTACCCCCCGCACACGTTGTGACCTAACCCGCATCCGGACACGAGCCGGGCGTAGATCTTCTGATTTTATCTCCTTTTCACACCCTGGGGTTGGATTATACTACCTAAACAGTATTAGAACGTTCCAAGGTTAAGGTATTGCCTTTCCGTTACGTACGTCTCGGGATGTCCGAGTCTGCTGTGTGCACGTTCCCTTTCGGCCAAGACTTTATGTTTAAGGCATCTAATGTGATTTCATAATACCTTGAATTACTTTGTATACGGAGTACGCACTACCGTGTACATACTCTGGGGATAGTCCATGTGGTCTTGGCAATTTTTCAAGGTTATGAAAATGACCTTATCGCGTGCCCTCGACTTCGAAACTTCAGGGGCGAAACTTCCAGGAACGGACGAACGGCCCCGGGATCCGGTCTCCCGAGGTCCGGTACGTATATTACGTAATATTTGATGAAGCAGGTGGTTTATGATAAACGCCCGTACTGAATAAACTGATACGAATATTTATTCTACTTGTATAGAACCTTGGTAAACAAAGGACAATCCTAGAAAACGCAATATATAAGATCTGATCGGCGGAATTTTCATCTACAACGTACTAACTCGATACGTGCATGCCAAGACTAGGCTCAATTCTAATTGGTCAACCAGTTTTACCTTCAGGGCTGTGTTAATAATTTCGAAATGTCGTACTTGTCACATCACGACTTCATTATGTCCAACTATCTCAAGCTCGTAAAAAAATCATTATATGACATGCAGTTCGTATAGCAGTACTGTCTCTGTGCCCCGACAAAGGAAGTCGTTGACCAACTTCCATTTCGTGCCTTCTCTAGGCATATATGTATATATATCATGCGAGTAGAGCTTCTTTGTTCGAGGGTTGACCATAGCCATTCCGGCCGACGTGAGTTGGTTTGGGAACTGCAAAACAAGAAAACGCATTTTACTCCTCATAACAGACAACCCAAAGATATTCCTCATTGGTTTGAAATGGATCGGTCTATTTCTCTCTCTTCCTCTCACTTCTTGCACGTATGTTGAGGGGGGAAGCGATGTTGATAGGAGAGCAACTCTAGTATACATTCTGTGTCTGGATTCGGACATATAGCCTACGATCGTTATCTATGGCATAAAATCGTAGAGTAAGTCCCGCAAACTCGCCATATAGTCCAAGGTAATCACGGAGTATATCTTCGCACAACAATGGTTTAGACACGCAGATCTCGGGCCATGGGTTTTAACCACCTAATTAGTCCATTGTTGTACAAGTATGGAGTGTGTACCCTCGCTCCAGAAAATGACGAAGTAACGTACGTTGATGTATCGAGTACGGAGTAGACCCACGCCAATCAGGCAAAAACTGGGGATTTAATTTCATATCACGTGGTCTTTGTTTTCTGGGGTTTTGCTTTGAAATTGCCTCGCCACAAGAGGCTGACCCACGGAACACGGAAGCACGTGACTCCGCTCCTTATCAACTCCGAGGTCGGGAATTGGGAAAACTTCCGCTCAGTGACTCACCAATGTCTCCGTGTTCGATGTTGTTGAAGCGCGTGGCTAGGCCTCCGGCCGCCATGATGTGCAGATCGGTGAGTACAGCTTCATCTCAGGGCCACACAATTCAATCTTAACTCCCCCAGGTTCGGCCGCGGTGGACTCCGTCATTCGGCGTTCCAAGCAGGACAATTCATCATCCCTTGCGGTCGGTCTCAAACTCAGTATCCTCTCGCTCACTGAGCACGACAGCCTCCACTCGGATCGAAGGCTTCCCTTCCCAGGTAGAGAATGCGACTTCAATTCCTTTCTCTGAGACTCCCTCCGAGAAGCGCACTCCGCAAACCTTGACGGAGAAGATTGTACAACGCTATGCTGTCGGCCTCCCCGAAGGAAAGCTCGTTCGGAGCGGCGACTACATCAGTCTTGCCCCCGGGTACTGCATGACTCACGACAACTCGTGGCCCGTCGCGCTCAAGTTCATGTCTATGGGAGCTACCAAGGTCAACAACCCGAAGCAGATCGTCATGACTCTCGACCACGACGTGCAAAACACGAGCGCGGCGAACCTCAAGAAATACGAACAGATCGAGACTTTTGCTAAGCAGCAAGGTATCGACTTCTATCCTGCCGGCCGGGGTATTGGACACCAGATTATGGTAGAGGAAGGATACGCGTGGCCAGGTAGCATGGCGGTAGCATCAGACAGCCATAGTAACCATTATGGTGGAGTTGGTTGCCTTGGAACTGCTGTTGTGCGGACCGATGCTGCCAGTATTTGGGCCACATCGCGGACATGGTGGCAGATTCCGCCTGTTGCGCGGGTAACGTTCACTGGAACACTACCAGTGGGTGTGACAGGCAAGGATGTGATTGTCGCATTGTGTGGACTCTTCAATAGTGACGTACTCAACCACGCAATTGAGTTCACCGGCTCTGAAGAGACCATGTCGAGCCTCCTTGTGGATAGTCGCATGACGATTGCCAACATGACGACCGAGTGGGGCGCGCTCACTGGTCTCTTCCCCATTGATAATACTCTGAAGCGCTGGTTGCGGTACAAGGCTACCGAGGCAGCGATGTCCAATGACCGCACCACCAGCCAGCGTATCACGCACGAAAGAATCGACGAGCTCTACGCCAACCCCCTCACCGCGGACCCCGATGCCGTGTACGCCAAGCAGCTCTACCTCAACCTCTCTACCCTCTCGCCTTACGTCTCGGGCCCTAATTCAGTGAAGGTAGCTACACCACTGAACGAGCTCGTCCAACAGGACATCAAAGTCAACCGCGCATACATCGTCTCCTGTACCAACTCGCGTGCTTCGGATCTTGCGGCAGCCGCCAAGGTCTTCAAAGACGCTGCCAAGGCTAACCCCGACACCCCTCCCAAGATTGCTGACGGCGTCAAACTCTATATTGCTGCTGCCTCCGCACCGGAACAAGAGGCCGCTGAATCCACTGGCGACTGGCAGGCTCTCCTCGACGCTGGTGCCCAGCCCCTTCCTGCTGGATGCGGACCTTGCATTGGCCTCGGAACAGGTCTTTTAGAGCCCGGTGAGGTGGGCATCAGTGCCAGCAACCGTAACTTCAAGGGACGCATGGGTTCACGAGACGCCCTGGCATACCTGGCAAGTCCCGAAGTCGTGGCTGCCAGCGCTCTCAGCGGTGTTATCTCTGACCCCGGCGCTTACCAGGTGCCAGAGGGCTGGTCTGGCGTGGAACACGGATTCGGCACTGGTCTCGAACCCACCACCGAGACCGAGCTCACCAGCCTACTCCAACAGATGGAATCTCTGATTGATCGGGTTGAGTCCGCCGTAGACGACTCCAAGCCTGCCACCGAGATTCTGCCAGGATTCCCCGAGCGCATCAGTGGCGAAATCGTCTTCCTCGACGCTGACAATCTTGACACTGATAGCATCTACCCCGGCAAGTTGACATACCAGGACAACGTCTCCAAGGAGGACATGGCCACCGCTTGCATGCAGAACTACGATCCCGACTTCAAGGGCATTGCTAAGCCAAATGACATCCTCGTCGCCGGCTTCAACTTCGGTTGCGGATCCTCAAGAGAACAGGCTGCCACTGCCATTCTCGCCAAGCAGATCCCGCTCGTCGTGGCTGGCAGTTTCGGAAATATTTTCTCCCGAAACAGTATCAACAATGCTCTCATGGGTCTTGAGGTTCCCCGCCTTGTTGAGCGTCTACGTGCCACCTTCGCTCAACCATCTTCTGGTGATGCTGCGGGCCGCCAGCTGACGCGCCGCACAGGCTGGACTCTGACTTGGGACGTGAAGCGTAGCGTCGTTGAGGTCAAGGAGGGTGAGTCTGGCGAGAGCTGGACTGAGCAGGTCGGCGAGCTGCCAGCCAATGTACAGGAGATCATCGCGGAAGGTGGTCTCGAGGCGTGGGTCAAGGGCAAGGTTGCGGAGTCCAAGTGAGGACGCATTGACCAGGCTAGGCGAATGCCGATTTGAAAATACCAGTCCAGGGAACATGCTGATGTGTTCATGTTCTAGGTAACCACCGCCATACTCTTGGAGGTGGTATGTTTTGGATATTTACTTTTTGTACTATTTTTCTATCATTAGCAGGTACCATAGAGAAGACTTTGACTCTTTCACAGGGGGATGTCTTCAAAAAGACTAGAATATACTAGAACACTTTCACCAAACATGGTCCTTTCCCCTCCCTATGATGTGCATCAAGCACAGCCCAGCCCAGGTGGTGTTCACTGCTGATTTCTTATCAGACTCTACTGCCCCAGAGTTTCACCTCTTTATCCGTGCATTCTTCCTGAACTCTATTGTAAGACATGCTATACCTCTTATGGTTAATATACCCCCAACAACCAACTACATCCGTTAGCAGTATCCTTGTATGGTATTGAACAAGATTAGCATCCGTATCATGCCTGTACGGACAGATTCCCGGAGAGCCTGGACTTTTCCTATCGCTTTCCGCGGAATTGACCACCGTGGACAAGTACAGAGTATACAGCATTGGTGGTGTGAACAATAGGCCCTATACAACGCTATGTAGACTTGTGATTGGGTTCCTATATCTGCTTGCCTATGGATACACTGGATGATAGATTGATACTGGCGCCATTTGACACAAACGTGGATCAAAACTCTCTATATATTATTGCAGAACAAATCTGGCCGCAGCTTCATGGATCTCTTCCTCCTCCTTCGACCATCCGAGCATAGTCCCCGCAGCATAAACATCATGCGGCACGTCCGGAACTTCGAGATATTCAACCAGATTGCCCGGCACAGCGCTCATCGCGTTGGCAAATCCACGAACACTGTCACAGAGCACCTCCGCACCTCCCGCCTGAACAAAAATGGGAACGGGGGTTGCAAATGGGTGCAGTGCCGGAGAGATATACGGATCATCCAGTCGCACAATCTCAGGTGGCGCAATACCCCTTGCACCCCATGCCATCATACGCGCCTCAACATAGTCGGACTTGATATTACGATTCGAGCTTACGGCTTCAGGATCGCCTTCGAAGCAATACTCGACCGAGGGCGAAAATAGAAGACATGCTTTTGGAGATGGAAGTTCCGCCAGTGGATGATCTTGTATATCTTTGATGGAGACAAGATAGCGCAGAAGGGCCATTGCAATGGTCGAGCCTGTGGAATCGCCCGCGAGGACGATGCGCGACGGGGAGATTCCCATTTCTTTGGTGAGGTAGATGTATGCTGTCACCGCGTCTTGCATGGCGCCGGGATACGGTGTTGGGTTACTGCCACCAGCAAGACGGTACTGCAGCCAAAAAGAGCGAGCATTGTTGCCCAGCTTGTTGTTCAGCAGGGTTGCTGTGGGCCCTGAGTCCTCTGGCCGTCCAGTCAACAACAGAAGCGAGCCAGAATGGAAGGACAAAACCACTAGGCCTTGTTCTTCCAGTAGCGACTGCTTCGATGGTAGCTCCGGGTACCAGGTACCGCCGACCGTCTCTGGCTTGATAGTATCGTTCCAGAAGTCGCCACGATACGCGGAGGCTGGGCCTGGGTCGATGGTCACCCAGCGATCGCCAAGGTTGCCCGGTTCCAAGCTCAAAGATTGCGTGAAGCCAATTTCGGTGATTATATGGAACACTCTCTCAAACAGCCGTGTCATGCATGCCTGACGATAGGTCCATGTTGGACTCTGTCGCAAAGAGCTCGGGATGTAGTAGATGCTGTAGAAAAATACCTCCAAAATGCTCCGAAAGATGGCGATCACGATCCAGATAGCAACCCCTGGCTGTCGAGTACGCCAGTCGTTGGGTATCGCATTATCGTCTGCAAACGATCGCGCCATATTACCGGATAAGATTTTTGCCCTGCGTGCAGAAGCGATGAAAATCTAAACAAAACATTGCCAAGGATGCTAAGCTTTCGCTGGCTTTTATTCGAGAAAAACAGGGGGCCAAAAATAGCTTATAAAGCGAAGAGAGGGGGCCATTTTGAAGTAGCTGATGCCCTAGCGTCGGGAATAGACCAGAGGTGTAAGCAATAGTAGGTCCGCTAGGAGAAGTAGCAGGGATCTTTCGGGCGAAGCTAGAATAAATCAGCCTCTTCGTTCATAAACCAGACATAACTAGTATAACTAGCCGGTGTATAGCCCCAACATCGTGGCGTTTCCTACAAAGTATGCTGCTGCCTACAGCTAGTCAGATGAAGCAAAATCGTGGCGCCTCAAGGTATTTGCCTTGACTGTATCTGACTGGAAATTTTCGACCTTTGACCTATCCTATTTATTGTGTTTTTGTGTCTTACATTGTGCTTTGGGTTCGTATTTTCACATCTACTTTGTCACTTATTTCTCACTTCTCTTTCAATGTATGCCCAAACAAGAAATATTTATCCCACCACTCAACTAATTCTCACATCACTAAACACTTTGGGGATCTACAGCTTGAGCACGTATGTAGGTTGGAATGATAAGACTTATGTGTCCCCTGATGAAGAAATCGGGACGCCATTTCATTGACGGAGATATGCTATTCAATCGTATTGCGACTCAGAATCCCCAGTCTCATCGTTACTGACTTTAGTCCTTGAAGTCGTCGGGGTGAAAGACACTAGATTGTTTCCTCCCACTTAAGCAACTGCCCACAGTAGCTATAAAGATTTTGCTGATTAAGACTGAGCGCCTTATCGTTCATAGCCATTATTTCAGGTAAAATCTCTCCTTCAACAAGCCGGAGGTCTCGGTACTGGTTCAGCGACAGCATAAGAGCTGAGAAGGGTGGCGGGGCAGACCGATTTCCTCAAGTAGGTTGTAACGCACTAGCTATGTGGTGGCGAAGCTTCCGTTGGGAAGATAATTATCGCGCTTCATGTGCCACCACTGTAGGTACTGCTGCATGGCGAACTCAGCCAGATCGGCTCTGAGTGTGCCGGAAGTCATAGACGATGTGTGCTCCATACTGCGTGTTGGCGGCAGTAACCGAGGCGATGCGTGTAGAAGGAGGATTCGGGTTTGTGAGGATGTTCTCTATTGACTTATGTCAGGCGTTCAAATGTGAGATGACTTCCACACAGAGTGACAAGTCTTACCCAGAGGAGTTGCGAATGTGATGAAGATTAAGTGAGACTCGCTCGCTAGAGATGGATGAATTGAGAAGAGTTGAATTTGGAAAGACAATATTCGTGACAGGAGCTCTAGAGGCCCAAATATATGCCGCGCCATTGCGTCAGCATTCAACTTTCTAAACTTGAAGATACCTCTTCCACCTGATACCCTGTTGCATCCAACGATGCCATTAGACAGGTACATGCAACCCCAATATCCCAAATTATATATAGTATAGCAGGCGTACAGCTGAGCTGGAGTCATTGTTGGATACTCCCTTGAAGCTCTTGATGATTACTGTTAGTTCCCAGTATATATGATTTCAAGGAATTTCATCAGGGGAGGACCTCCGGGCTATTCAACAGGAACAAAAAGGGATGGGAGAAAGGAATATGTGTATGATATCCAAAATCTCATTATTAGCTGTATTGGTCAAAGAAATGGCAAACGATATCTTCCGCTTTTATGCTAGACTCCTGGTAAGCGTTGAAACAAACATGACGACAAAATATATATCTGACAAAGAAAAATGCTGTCTGAAACTTCAATATTCATAGAAGATGGAAAAGCCGAGCACAGGTTGTGTCGGACAGTTTTAAGCTCAGCATTCCCGAGGTCTCATTCCACGTTGCGTCAGTCTCAAAGCGACTTGGGTACAGCACCTTCGCAGTTGTTGGATACTGGCCGTTAGGAAACCTGAGGGGTAAGTCCTTTTCTGTGGCACCACCTCTCCGCCATATGGCAAGATATATACCGTTATCTTTCGTGGCCAAAGCAAGAGACAGCCAGTCATCATGCCATCGCGGAAGCCCAAGGGGCCACATTGGATGTGCAGACTTCAAGTCAAAACGTATCCTCTTATATACGTCCATGCCCTCCACCACAAGTCCGAGCTGATCGGGGCTGAGCTTGTCTAAGCGGCCACTGAGATAGACTCGCCCCAGCAGACTATTGACAACACTTAATGCGTTCAGCTCGTCGCTCCATTCCGGCTGGGGATAAGCCCAGGTTGCGCTTTGTTCTGGGACAACAGCGGTCGGCATGGCTGCAGCAATAGCTGCATACAGAGTGGGGTCCTGCTGATCACTTGTCGATTGGAGCGAGTGAACCGATAACATAGCATATTCCATACGCTGTCCACCACTCGAGCAGTTCTCAATAACAAGCGTGGGGTACCTGTCAAGTAATGACCTGACCCAGCTAAGGTACGCCCGCTGATGTTCGAGATGCGCAACCCCAGTAGACGATGACCCTCCAATGTCTGTGCCTTGCGTCACTTCAATGTTGTAATCGAACTTGAAGTAACCCGCCCCGTAATTGACGACGAGGTTATGTATAACTGTGTCCATCCATGTTCGGACCTCTGGGTGATGATAGTCGAGCTGGAATCTTCCATTTTCGACAATGCGCTGGCCACACTCTTGGAAAAAGGCTTCCTTGGGGAGACGATTGGCCACTATACTTCGCACGCCAACAACCTCCGGCTCCAGCCACAGGCCAGGGATAAGCCCTTTGCTCCTGATTTTGTCTAGGAGGACTTTGAATCCGGACGGAAAACGCTTTTGTGAAGGCTCCCATAGGCCCACGTCATCCCACCATGTACTATCGTCCGCGTACCATCCAGCATCGATCACAAAGTACTCCGCCCCCATCTTGGCCACGGGGTCGAGAAGGGCAGCTACCTTGTTCTCGTCAGGGTCACCCATGAGGCAGTTCATATAATCGTTGAAGATTATAGGGAGATTCTCATTGTCTTCATGAGGTCTTCTGATCTGTCGACGATAATCAGTGAGCGCAGCAAATGCTGCCTCCACTCCACCAGCCACGCGTGTCAAAGCAACAGGAACTGTCGAGAAGCTCTGCCCAGGTTTTAGTACTTGTTTCCAGTTGTGGTCCATCCCCGTCGGCCCGCCAGCTGCGAGATAGATGCTATCTTTATAGTCTCCGATCTCCCATCGCCAAGAGCCATTATTTTCAACTTGCCAGAGCCAGGTGTCCTTGTCATCAATTGACCTCAGAGCACCCATTGGTAAATGGCTGCTTGTGGAGAATGACCCACGACTTTGGAGGCTAAAAGTGGCTTGTGAGGCTGAATGTCCGTCAGGAAGTTCACATATCCCATCATTGTCGATACCAATTTCCGGCAATGTCTGCTCGCGCCACTGAGCTTCTCGAAACCACCCATTAGTGGCGGTCAAGAGTGTGTAGCCGTGGTACCACTCCTGCGACTTTGTCGTCAAGCCACCAACTGCAATTGAGGAGAGCTGTGTGACGGTAATATCGGTATCTTTGGACTCGTTTGTGATCGTAGCCGACGACCTGAGGGCTGGAATCTCTCCGTAGATAGAAAGGCGGGCAATCACTAGAATTCCTATAACTGCATCTCGGCTGTTAATCTCCAATGTCTCAACCTGGCCATCTTTTTGTATCTCGTGGTTTTCGTATTTCAATCGCTGGGAAAGATAGCTGCCGACCAGGGCTTTTGCGGTTTTGCCGGCTGTGTTGCCCTCTCCTGCTAGCTTGACGCTGACTAGGGGCAATTCAGATGACTCAAAAAGGAGTGAGGCCGATTTCTGGGCCTTTGCCCTTGCAGGAAGGATGCTTCTCACGCAAATGGCCCCTGCTTCATTTAGAACTAGGTCGATGGTGAACGCTGTGGTTTCCCAACGAATCGTGGGTGAAGTGTCAGACATGCTTTGAGCGGGAGTGACTGGTTGTGGGCAATTCAATTGTCTCCTGGAAAATGAAATTCTTCAGTTCTTCCACGCTTCACATGAGCTCAAATATAGATAAAGGGGTAGGAGATAACTAATTTGACCCCGCTTTCAAGTTGTACATTCTTCGACATGTACCACACGGTATCTTGCCTTTTATGGTCAAGTAATATAAACCAAAGCCCTAGATTGGTAACTATGCGGGGGTGGGGTTTTCCGGGGACCCTGAACGGGAGTTCATGATTGGCCTCGGCATCATCACCGGATCATCCGTACGTGCTTTAGTGCAGGCCTTAAGGCTAATCAGGATCTTTTTGCAATGAACTTCAAACTAGTGGGGATGCAAGTGCATTAATGAACCAATCCAGAGTACTTCCTGTCACCGTATATGTGAATACGAGGTCAGGCCGTTCAAACAGGCTAAATATCGATAATTGCTCTCGGGTGTAAGAAACATGGGGAAACATTCATAATCGGTACAATTTGCGACTGTGTGACTTTCTTCCCACCCCTCCCTAACATTTCATCAGCCCAAACTTTTCAAAACAAGGACGCAGACATGGAAGAGAAGAACCCTACTACCGAGCACGACGACCTGCCCGAATTGGCAGTCACACACGATCCCGTCAAACAACCCAAGTACACTATCGGCCGGGAAGGGTATTGGGAAGCTACACTAGAAGATGCGCAAGCTGCGAATTTCCACGAACATTCTCTCGGGGTTTGGGCCGCACTGAAATCATATCGGATGGCAGTGGTCTGGTCCCTGGTGATCTCTATGTCTATTATAATGGAGGGCTACGACACTGCCTTGATTAACTCTCTTTATGCCTATCCAAGCTACTCTAAGCGCTTTGGTGCACTAGAGCCTTCAACGAAGACACATCAGATTCCGGCTAAGTGGCAGAGCGCCATGAGCAGCGGGCCGCAGGCTGGATCTATCATCGGTGCCCTCCTGAATGGTTACATCATTCAGCGCTTTGGCTATCGGCCGGCCTTCACTTTAGGTGTTGTCTTGATGGCAGCATTTGCCTTTGTATCTTTTTTCGGCATGTCGGTCGAGCTGCAAGCTGCTGGGCAGATTCTTTGCGGGTAATATATCACTTCCTTCCTGCATTACACGGACTTCCGCTAAAGTCTTGTAGTATTCCATGGGGTATCTTCGCTACTATTGGCCCCGCGTACGCCTCGGAGGTGTGTCCTCTGCCTTTGCGTGTCTACCTAACGGCCTATACAAACATGTGCTTTGCAACTGGCCAGCTCGTTGCCGCAGGAGTTTTGCAGAGCTTCATCCACCGCATTGATGACTGGGCATGGCGTATTCCATTTGCTCTTCAATGGATATGGATTCCTTTCCTTATTGTTGCATGCGTATTTATGCCCGAGTCTCCTTGGTATCTGGTCCGCCAGGGAAAGCTTGTGGAGGCAGAAGAAACAGTAAAGTGTCTCATGGCAGAAAGTGAGAAGCCTCAGGCACGACCACTAGTAGCATTGATGGTTCATACAAATGATCTCGAGCGGGAAGTTACGGAAAGCACTTCCTATTTGGACTGCTATAAGGGCACTGACCTGCGGCGAACCGAGATTGCATGTGTCTCATTTGTCGGGCAGATCACTTGCGGTGCCCAATTCGCCTACTCTGCCACCTACTTCTTCCAGCAGGCTGGTCTCAGTCCTGATGATTCGTACAAACTCAACCTAGGTGGTACTAGTATCGCCTTTTGTGGCACCATCATCTCTTGGTTTTTGATGAAACAATTTGATCGCCGTACCCTTTACATCACGGGAATGAGCCTTTTAAGCATGTGGCTTTTGATCATCGGGTGCCTTGCCATTGACAGCAGGCAGTCCACAATTAAATGGGTTCAGTCGATCCTTTGTATTATATGGCTCCTCACCTTTTCTCTTACCATTGGTCCCGTTGGCTGGACCATCCCGGCCGAAGTCTCATCTACCCGGCTGAGGTCTAAGACCGTTGTGTTGGCCCGAAGTTCTTACTACCTGACACAGATTGTCGCAAATGTCATACAACCATATATGATGAACCCACTAGCCTGGAACTGGAAAGGTTTGATATCGTTTCATGAATCCATTAATTAGAGTTTTTACTAACAACCCACCAGGCAAGACAGGATTTTTCTGGTTTGCTTTCGCTTTTCTCACTGCAATTTGGGCATTCTTCCGTCTCCCTGAGACTAAAGGGCGAAGTAATGAAGAGCTTGACGTGATGTTTCATGCAAAACTCCAAACTAGGAAGTTTAAGAAGTACCATGTGAACGTGTATGAGGATAACCACGACGATCAATTACGGGAAGTGTGAATGCCAGTTAAATAATGAAACATCTAGAATAGTCTCGGCATTTATGTGGAACCATCATATCAATCAAACGATGATCGTTTCAGTGCGGCAAAGTGTGAAAAGTTAAGCTCTGACATTTTGTTCGGTGTCATATAAAATGGGGCGTAAAAGCTGCCAAGGGTAGAAAAAAAATAAACGAGGTACTTGGTCCGCCTATTGATTACCTAAATAGGTTTAGTCTCCGCCTAATCGATTCGGACTCGGACCTCGGGAGTTTTCCCGGGACAATCTCGGACTTGGCAAATTCCCCGCAAAATCTTTGGAATATTCCCCTGAAGGACCCATGAGCCAAACCCCGCGTTGACTGCTTTTTATGCATACCCCCGATTGATCGACCTATCCCTTTTCAATCCCCACATTTTTCTTTCTCCTGACTCTCTTCTCCTCACTCCCGCGATTTACTATTCCTTATATACCTCGGAGTCATGTTCATTGCGTTCAAAGCTACCCCGAGTAGCGAAGAGGGATTGCGCAACCCAAAACATAAAAGGCGAAGTGAACGACTCAGTCGGCGAGGATCCACACCGCGAGCATGCACCTCATGTCGTCGCCGCAAAATAAAATGTGATGGCGAAAAGCCCTGTGAGGCCTGTCGATGGTACAAGAAGCCTGAGTTGTGTGGCTACACAGAAGGCCGGTCATCGCAAAGGTAAAAGATCTTTTTTTTCTTTTTACATAAAACCTGGGCCCAGGTTGGAGGACAAAAACTGATCGAATTAGCCAGCCGGAGAAACCGGCAGTACCGTCCCCCGACTACAGAAGCACCCTTGAAAGACTGTTTCCAGATACGGCCCCCGAGCACATTGCCAATCTCTCAAGGGATAAACTGTTGGAGTTAGTGACAGCAGGCGGAAGTGGATCACAATATTCCCAGCACCAAGACCCATCCATTGTTGCATCCCTAGACACCCGCGACTCTACATTGTCAGGGGAAATGCCCGGTTTAGAGTCACTACATACAATGCCCGAAGAGCAACCCGACGAAATCCAGTCTGCCAGTGCCTCGGATTCAGTCGGACATATCTCCGACGACGTCAATGCATTATCCCTATCGGCTCGCCAACCAACCTCTTACCTAGGTGTTTCATCCACTCAGGCCGCATTGAAAGTCATTGCGTACCTGCATCCAGCAGTTAACTCATATTTATCCTTGTCTAAGGAACAAGGTCATCAGTCAACCGACTCGTTGCCCCAGTCGCAACCTACACCTCAGTCTAACCTCCCACCTACGGAACATCAAATGATAGACGCATACTTTCTCAACTTCCAGCCATTTGCACCACTCATAGACGAAGAAGCGTTTCGCACGACTCACATGCTTGGCCGTCGGAAGGATGATCGATGGCTTGCACTACTCAACATTGTTCTCGCATTGGGAAATATCACAGCCGCAGGCGCAGATAACAAGACCCACTATGCATATTTTGAACGCTCAATGGAACGCTTAAATTTACGCTCTCTCGGAGATCCGAGTCTTGAAGTTGTTCAGACCTTAGGTCTGATGGGTGGATGGTACTGTCACTATTCTAGTCAGCCGAATCTCGCATACTCCCTCATGGGTGCGTCGCTGCGGATGGCGGTTACTCTAGGCCTGCAGCGGGAACCTTCCGATATTCATTCTATGCTCGACCCAAGGAAGTCCGGAATCCAGGAATTCAAACGTCGCGTCTGGTGGTCACTTTGTTGTTTGGAGACCTGGGGCCACGAAACGCTCGGCCGGCCAAGTATGGATTACTTTGGTCCGAGCATCACAGTCAATTTGCCTAGTCGGCTTGACAAGGTGTGCACCCCTTGGTTCTTTTTTTTTTTTGCGCGGATGAAACATCCAAGTTCTCCTAAATTAACCCCTGACAGGAATCTTATTTCGATGTCCTCCCGTTGACGGAAAATATCCAATTCGTGAAAATCGCCTTAAAAATCCAAGAATCGTTAGCTGCGTTACCAACTTTATCGCACACGGATATGTTCGATCTAGACTCGCAGCTTGTTCGGTGGTGGCATGACCTACCGCCGGTCCTGAAGGATTACGAACCCTGTCCCGAATCACTACATGCAGTCCGTACTGTGATGCGTTGGCGATATTACAATCATCGAATGTTACTTTATCGTCCAACCCTACTGAACTACGCAATGCGACGGATTCCGTTCATGGCCATTCGAGTTGAGGAGCGCACTGCTATACAAAAATGCCAGGAGATCGCAGCGATTTCTATCCAAGACATCTCCTCCACAACCAAACTCAATCAGATGATTGGTTGGAACGCCGTTTGGATGTTATTCCAGGCTACTATGGTTCCATTGATTTGTTTGTCCGCTGGTGTCGCCGAAGATGACTCCACTGCTTGCACAGCGCAGGTTGAAACTGCTATGTTAACCCTTGGCCGCCTGAAACCTTACGGGCATACCGCAGGACGCTCCCTTGAGGTCGTTTCTGGCATTCTCGAGGCTAACCTTCATGGTCCTAGCGCAGAGGCGCTTGATACAAGTGGAGATAATCTCGAGCCCCAAATTTTCCCTCCTCCGAATGCTTTCAACACAGGCCAACAGATTGCCCGCGATCGCGTTGCCGACTGGACTGCTACTTCCTTTGAAACACTTTCATCTCAGTACATGTGGGAGTACCTGAGCTGGGACCATAGCAATCTCTGGCCTGAGGTTTTTGACCTTAATGCCGAGAATGAAAATGTGGTAATGTCTTTCATGGACACGTCTGCGGCAAATACCTGACATTGTTGTCGCATTTCTTTCACTGTATATATTTCTATTTTCCAAACAATTGGATCGTTTGGCTGGGTTGGGTCGATGGAGAAGGGCTACATCAAGATATGAGCAACGCTCGGCGAATAAAAATGATAATGATTGCACACAACAACCTAGTAACCAAATTGGTGCTGTTGAACATTTCAAGGATAGATCGGTCGAATCAACGGCCTATATCTCGCATATTGAGAGTCGATATTAGACCCACACATGCAAATCATTCGGTAAATCTCATTAGCGGATCGTCATGGCATTGATTAAATAGTACCCACAACTTCGGCAGATGATTGCGATATAAGACATGCCTTCTTGGCTTTATAGGCGGACGCCAAAAACTGCCGGAAAAGCTTAATTTGATCTAGATCATTCTAGAAATATATATTCGCTAGCGCCTATCATACACTTGGTACTTGGAATGCATATGCCTGCTTTACTTTTCCTTACTTCTCTTTCTATTTCGCATCCCTCAACTTGCCACGCCAATCCAGTTTCCTGTCGGCTGACCTTGTGGGCGATTGACCTCATATGTTGAGTTGACCCAATCGCCAACGGTAGGAGGACTCATTTCATCAATCCAGAAAGCGACATGAGAGTCTATTGTCACAAGATTGATTCAATTGAGAACCTCCAACGTGCAGCAAAATTAAAATCATGTAAATAGGGATGCTAAGATAACTCCTTGGCGTCTCTCTTCATTCTCAGCCGATGTATTGTATCCGACAAGGTAGCTCCATCCGAAAAAGAAGAAACATTCGAGACAGGAGATATAGGCAATATTGGTGACTCCCCAACCAGCTCCAGAGCTTCGTATCTTCTTTTCTCGCTCAAAGAGTTCGCACTCTCCATAAGCCTTTCCTTGATCCTTGCTGGCGCAGCCATGCAGTATCGCCTGAGAGCGACAATAACAACCTTGAAACCCGGAGAGTCGACATTCTCAAATTTGCAAATGCCCCGATGATCCGCGGCAATACCACATCTGTCCGTTCCATCCACTATTGGTGCGGCACTCTCGCGATCCACGATATAATCCATCGTATATTTCATATCGGTGCGCAACTGCTCCCACAGAAACATTATATGATACCGTGACATCAATGGAGAAAAGTCCTGGGCGATGTTTTGAATTGTTTCCGAGTCATCCTCGATTCCAGTGACTAGATTTGTTTCGAAGCGAGCGACCCTTTTGGGAACTATAAAGGACGCTAGCTTGTGGATGGTGTCGAGTTGGCGTGCTTTGCTAGAGCCGTTGTGGGGAGTTCCGAAAAATAAAATGCCGTATGTGCATGTATAAATCATGTGAAGTCGGGCGCTCTTCGCTGATGTGCGAGCTTGGGATAGTGTGAGGGCTCTTTTGACTATGATACCTCCCAAAGAATGACATACGAAAATGATGGGTCGCTCGGTGGCATCCTCGAACTAGTCATGTTAGCTAAGTAATTCGTTGTCTCTCAGATACAAAGCACATGAACTCAAAACCAAGGTGAAATATCGACAAGAAAGGATAATGGAAATGTCACATTATGTGTTACTTGTAACTTGGAGGCACACTCCATCCCAGTCCAAGGCAGTCATGGCAGCACGGTTTGAAAATAAAAATCCGGCACGAATTTTGTTTACAGTGTACATCACTACTTACCTCTCTGTCATTTTGAAGCTCCTCAATAAGTGTCCCAGCATGCTGTAGGATCCGGTCTGAGCTTGTTGCCTTGCCGCCCAAAGAATTTGTGTTGGCGTTATACCCCCACGAGAGGACCCGGGCATTCTTGATGTAGTTGGGAAGAAGGTCGCTAAGCCAGCACACTTTTGAAGCTTCATGGGTCCATGTTCGTCGAGCGTCACCGGACAGACCATGAACAGCGACGATACTATTCGAATCAAATGGTCAGCTAGTATTACAATTTGTCTAGAGGCCAGTACGTACTCAATATCTATAGGGTGTTGGGTAGGTCTGAATAATTCAATAATGCCATTATGGAATGAGCCCGTTCGAGGCATGTCTAAGGATATAGAAATTCAAAGTTTCGTATGATAAGATGTTATAATAGGACTTGGCAGAAATGACGGTTGGGGCTTGGTTATAAGATCTTCTGCGGAGGGGTAGAATGGTGTCTGTTCTGTTTCAATTGAAATATGCATTGCTGCCTTAGAATGCCTTTGTGCCTTGTTTAAATCTCTCCTCAAAGCAATCTGCACTGTACTTTTGTTGACCTAGGGGTCTTTAGAACAAGTAACGATCGTCACAAAAGCCAGATCAGTCAACGCATTTGTTTGGATTCTTTTCGTTCATTTGCTATCTATAAATAGTTCCGTCCTGCATCTAATAAATGCACGGCGCGTACGGAGTAATTCTATATATATTTATTGAAATATGCGTAATCTCACCTAGCTGCTTGGCGTGTCAGATTTTAGGCACCCGAGGTGCATATGGATAGGGTCTGCGAGTAAGTTCCGTGATGAGGACGAAGGCTTGATCCATTTTTTATGTATATGTACTTAAATTCAGGACCCTCAACCATAATTTAGGAACTGTCTGGTTTGAGTTTTCGAGCAGACTTTATTTCAATGACTCTGGAATCTAGCGGGTCAATGACACCTTGCAACCCTCCCCTAATGATAGCACTAATGTCACCTTCTGCCTTTGCTGGGTGATCTTCTCAATTCCTTCCGTCTGATGGGTGGACCAACCAGTCCACGTACGTTGTTGGTCCTTTTTGGATATTAGGTGAATACCGGAATACTCTTGCAGAATTCGAGCTGTAGTGTAAGATGCTTCAATAAGAGCGAATTCCTCTACCGGTCCAAGATAATTAGTAATTCATCGATAGATAAAAAGATTGAAGTTCACTTACGCCCTAGGCAGATTCGAGGACCCCCACTAAAGGGTAAATAACCCCATGTTTTCGTATATTCGGGCAAATCTTCGTCCCAGCGTTCTGGGCGAAACTCTTCCGCATCTTCTCCATATAAGTCCTTTCGGCGATGCATTGAGTACACACAGAATGCTACATTCTCGCCTTTACGTATAAGTACCGGTGCAGTCCCGTCGGGACCACCACCCGTTGGGAGGAAGGTTGTTCTTCGAGCAGTCCGCGTGTTGACAGGCACGGAGGGATAAAGTCGAAGGGCTATTAGCAACGTAAGATTAGCCATGATACCATCAAGTCTTGACTAAAAGCGGAAGGCAGGCCTTACTCTCTTTCAAAACCTTTGCAAGGTATGTCATTTTGTTGATGTCTTGTCGATCGATCTCTGTCCTAGATCCCACCACTGAGGTAATTTCTGCTTTCAGCTTAGCTAGAACATTGGGATGCTGAGCTAGAAGAAAGCTAGGATTAAATAAAGGCCGTTAGAGAATAATTTAACATGGTCTAAAGAAAAGAGGAGCTTTACTCACAATGTCCAACTTAGAAGGCACGCGGTTGTGTCTCTGCCAGCGAGCAACATATTGACCAGTTGGGCTCTCAGAGCTTTCCTATCGCTTGAATGCTTCGGATCCTTTGCAATAGCATCGAAGAACAAGTAACGGTCATTTTTTGCTGTGTCTTCCTCTGACTTCTGACTTCGCTCCTCGATAATTCCATCCACAAACTCATGGACAGCAGCACACGATCGTTGGAATTTCCGACCACCGATCAACCAGTACAGGTCCAACAGACGAAACCGCTGAATAACGTAGTTTTGAGCAACATCAAATTCATTCGCGAATTTTGCCCCTCGTGAGTTACCGGTCTCTTTAAGGCTATCAACGGACTTCCCAAAAAGAAGCTCCGTGGTCGTGTCCAGGGTGAGATTAAAGAACAATGGCTGAAGATCGATTTCGCCCTGATTAGCGCGTATGTGATCGAGCAGGTTGTCGACGTGGGGCCGGAAAATGTCCATATCTCGGTATTGCTGCTTTGCGAACTGTGGACGAAGGAGCTCTCGCGAATGCTTCCAGGAAGCCCCTTCCTGGGTGAAAATGCCGTCTCCAAGCAGAGGGAAGAAAATCTGACGACGAAGTCCAAAGTTGAAATCTTTTTGAATAATCAGGTTTTTGGCTTTTACATATTGGATCGGGAGCTCAAGGTGGTGGCTTCCTACCATCAAGTTTAGAACTCATCATGGCCTCTAAATTCTTTGGCTCGGTCGTTCCATACGCGATTGTACCCAAGAACTTTTGTTCTAATGTGGTACCAACGTCTGTAAAATGGAAATCAAACAAATCCATTAGCCTTTGTTCATAATCGGCTGTCCAAATTTGGATCAGACGATCGATGCCTAGCGGCCACCAATTTCGAAGTCTCGGAGCCCGACCACAACCATGCTGGGCACCGAAATTCTGATCTGACTATAGGTAAAGAAATGTTAGTTTTATCAGTATGATCACGATTCAATTGTATGGGGAAAGTGCAAACCTTGTACAAGGCATAAGCTTGAATGCGTTGATAAACGAGCCATATGATGCCTCCGAAGAGTGTTAATAGAATAAGTGGTGACATCTACAATGTGCCCTCGTCGGAAATGTTGATTATTTTTTCAAAAAAAAAAACAAAATATAAAGAGAGCGATGTAATAAAATATGAAACTATTCTGAATGGCTGAATTAAGGGGCTGGGTTAAGTGCACGGAGTTGAGAGCGTTTTTAGGTCCGGCGCTAGACAATGGTATTATTTCAGTGTGATGCATTGCCGCCGTGTGATGTGGCCCGCATTAACTAGCATGGGATGCGAGCACTTCCGCGTATCAGAATGTAGATTGGTTGGGCTTAGAAATCAGCTTGGGTCAAGACTAACCATCCTTGGCTTGGTTTGGCCCTGTAGTTTTTGTACTTTTGTGCACTAGCAACTAGCAGCTATTTTGAAACAGAGAGTCTACGGACTCCGTTTAACCCGGGGTTTGGCCGAGACAACCCCTCTTCTCGATCGATTTATCAGATATATGAGTTTTCCTACTTGTTCTAATCTTTTTCGGTGTGTTTGTGAGATCCAGTAATCTCCAAACTGGACTGTGGTCTCAATGACCATAGAAACAATTTTCCCAGTATCCACTGACGGGAAGGACGATCTATGTGTGGAGTAAGCTCTCAAACGCCGAGGATTGCGAATCAACCTAATTGAGCAGTATTGTTGCCGTCCATGGGTTAGATGAAAATGGAACGACGGCTTGGACTCATAGCAATGGGTGTTTTTGGTTGCATGACCTGCTCCCTAACGAAGGGTTCAAGGCTCGTATCTTCACTATAAATTATAAAGCCGATGCTACCTCGTTCTTCAGTAGCAGTTCGGCCGATCGGATATCGCATCACGCTCAAACGCTTGTTGAAGAGCTCAACGCCGAAAGAGAGCATGATGATTCTATCCAGCGACCGATAATTTTCCTATGCCATGGTCTTGGTGGATTGATTGTCAAGAAAGCGCTTATCTACGCCTCTACTTGCACTTCTGCGAAGATGACGCACTTGCATTCAGTTTTTACGTCTACTTTCGGCTTGATATTCTTCGGCACTCCTCATGAAGGTATAGAGAAGGCCAGATGGTCTCTTCTGGCGAAGGGCTTGAAGGGTGTTCTCAAGGATCGAAGCCATCTTATCGCGTCGATGGAGAAGAGATCTGAAACTCTCCAGACTATCTCCCAGCAATTTTCTCCTCTTTTGAAGAATTTCTACGTTCACAACTTCTGGGAAACACTTGAGACATCGCGGTCTATTGGCTCAGGTCACATTGTCAGTTACTCTTCAGCGGCCCCGCCATGGGATGATACCGGGCGCTCTGGACTTCCTGCAACCCATTCACAGATGTGCAAATTTGGCGACCGTGACCAGCCTGGCTACAAGTTAACATGTGGGATCCTCCACAGGTTTATTAAACTAGCGGGCCCATTAATAGCTTCGCGCCACCGAGAATCTCATTCCTTTCTTGCTGCGCGAAGGGAACATGAAGCCACGGAGATCCTGGCATTTGACATACATCACGACAATAAACCTGTCAGTTTCAAACTCGAGCCTACCGCACACTCCCGGAATCAACATTTCCTCGTCCCGCTCGCCGTAAGCGATAATTACACAGGAAGAGAGAGGCTTGCCCAGGGACTCCAAGAAAAGCTACTGGCGCCTAATATACGCCAAAAACGTTTTGTGTTGTACGGTTTGGGGGGATCTGGAAAGACGCAGTTTTGCTTGAAATTCGCTTCAGATAATCGAGACAAGTAAGATTAATTTCCTCACAGCAAGCAAATCGCTTGAAATAATTATATTGAAAATGCTAATATATTCATTAGGTTCTGGGGGGTCTTTTGGGTTGATGCAAGTAACCCAAAAGCCGCTGAGCAGGCCTTTTCGGGTCTTGCTCGTATTGGCAAGGTGGAGGAGAAGTTGGAGTCTGGCCTTTACTGGTTGTCAACGCAGGACATGCCTTGGCTATTGGTCATTGACAATGCAGATGATGCAGACTTTGACTACGCTAGGTACTTTCCTTTGGGTCCTAAGGGGAATATTTTAGTAACTTCCCGAAACCCTGACTGCAAAGTTCATGCAACTATTGGGTTTGAGGAGTTTGCAAACCTGGAGGAGGAAGATTCGATAACTCTACTTCTAAGGTCTGCCATGGTGAACGACCTTTATGATTCCGACGCAAGAGCCACCGCTCGTCCCATTGTGCAAGCATTGGGTTGTCTACCACTCGCTTTGATACAGGCGGGTGCCTCCATTCGTCAGAATATATGTTCTTTGGAGGACTACCTGAATGTCTTCAATTCCTATAAGAAGAAGCTTTTCCTCAATAGGATCCAGCAAGGTCAAGGCTCATATGAACATACGGTCTTCACAACATTTGAAGTCTCCTATAACAAGATACGAAGCCTCACAACAGATGAAGCGAAGGAGGCAATTGAGATACTCCACGTCATGGCATTTCTCCACTTTGATCAAATACCAGGCACGCTTTTTGAGAAGGCCTGGGAAGGGTTTCTTAGCCATGGAAAGCTTGATACTCTCAGAAGCCTCGCTGACAGGATCACACAAATTCCGGGAGATATAGTTACGCTTTCAAGTGAATATGGAGGTTGGTTTACAAGGTTTGCCGAGGGACGGCTGCCTCGTATTTTCTCCCAAACTGAAAATTCTTGGGACAGACTCCGCTTCCGTAAGGCAATTCACCTACTTTGGTCGTATTCTTTAATTTTGCAAAATGTCAATCTCGGAAGCTATTCAATGCATCCAATGGTTCAATTTTGGGCGCGAGAACGACTGCAAGCAAAGGCCCAAAAGATTTGGGGCAACATTGCATCCCGGGTATTGGCTGAGTCGATCACAACAATATCTGAAGACTCAGAACTCGTCTACCGACGGTGTCTAGTGCCACATATAGATTCTTGTTTGAGGGTTGACTACTCCGATTCCCGCAAAGGTCTAGAGTTTAACAATTCAAAGATGGGCCAATTCAAGCGTTTTGCCACCGTCTACGCGGAAGGAGGTCGATGGAACGATGCCGCTGCCATACAAGAAAGAATTCTCCAGGCACAGGGCGATGTACTTGGGAAAGACAGCTTTGAGGCCCTAGATGCGATGACGGTGCTTGCTCGGAGCTACTGGAATTCAAGCCAAGCAGGAAAAGCTTTAAGGCTTCAAACTTCAATTTGGGAACTCAGCAAGGGGAAATTGGGCCCCTTTGACCCAAGGACGCTTCAAGCTATGGACAGCTTGAGTCGTACACTTTGGTTGTGCGGTTCTATCGCGAAAGCCGACAAACTGGCGCAAGAATCATACGAGGGATTGGCGCAAATAATGGGGCCAGACCATCCCTACACGCTCAGTGCTATGCATAGCTTTGGTCGAACCCGTTTGCATCTGGCGGACCTGAAGAAAGCACAGGACCTACTTCTGCGCGCATGGGAGGGGAGAGCGAAGCTGTTTGGTGCAACAAATTTGGACACCCTCGAGACAATGCAGGACCTAGGCATGGCTTGCTTGGCACTCAAGGAGATTGAGGAGGCCGAAAAACTAGTATCATTTGTTCTTGATTGCAGGAAACGACTACTTGGTAATGAGCATGCTCATACTCTATGGTCCATCAACGATCTAGCCAAGGTATATTGCGCCCAAGGCTACCCGGAGGACGCAATAGCGCTATTGATTCCGACGCGTGAAATCGCCACGCGAACCCTGGGAGTTACTCACATTGGCACAACAATGACAATTTTTAATTTGTCACGAGCCTATCTACTTTCAAACCAATTTCACAAAGCGGAAATTATTCTAACTGAACTTATTGAAACGGAGTCTAAGGCTTTAGGTCCAAAGCATCCAGACGTCTTCTCGGCAAAGATGGAACTCGCAGAGGTTTTGATGAAAATGGGGAAGTTACACAAATCAGAAGAGCTATCCGAAGAGGCGATTGAGGGAATTTCCACATTATTTGGAGCTGAAAGCCCTCGGACAATTCAGGCAAAGGCGCGACAGGCTGCAATATCCAAATTGGGCGACACGCCTCATCCTACTATGATTTCATCATCCAAAACTACCAAAGTCTAGCTCAGACCAATCTGAATATGTTACCTTAGAGTTTTCTTCTCGTGGTTGAGGCTTAGCATTTTTGACATCAATAACATCTCTACCCTCTGAGTTTTGATGGCTATACCTTTCTAATTGGCTCAAGTCGCTACATCATGCTGAGGCACGGTCGTGAATGACGTGTAGGGATATGTCACGGATATATCTTCTAGCTAACTGACTGTTATAGTTAAGTAACTCAAGGATTTTTCGTCACACAATTAGGGATCAAAACTAGCAGTTGCTAGGGACATATCAGGCCCATGCGAATTATTATCGTATAATTTTAGGGAGAAGATAAAGTTGGGAGAATAACAAGGAAACCGGGATTACCAGCAAGGGGAACAGGTTGTTGGCGTTACACACACTGGCTTTACTAAAGTGGTCTACAAAAAAATTGGCTGTTGATAGTATGCCATAGCATCTACTAACATTGTGAACAGGTTCTCCGGAAAACTAAATTGAGCTAGGATCTTCTACTTGTTATAATGTCTCCTCATCAGGCCGGGTATCTTCGCCATCCTGTTGAAGAAAGTGTTATATATCTTCTACTGCACCCCGTATGCCATTCAAGCATCTTTTTCCTCGTATTTCAGGTATTTCGTTCGATTGATATTCAAAATGCCTAGATATGTTTTGACTGGCGTCGGTGGAAGCCTTGGCAGCATTGCAGCATCCTATGCATTGGAAATTGCTCCACCAGGTAGCACTCTGGTATTTAGTACTTCCGACCCTGATAAAATTTCAAGCGAAACTCGCCGTTTCTGGTTAGAAAAGGAAGCAACTATATCTGCAGCCAGTTACGATGATGTGAGCAGTCTCCAGAGAGTGTTTGTTGGTGCTGAAGCTGTGACATTGATATCGACGTGGGCATTTGGTCGCCGTCATCAACAAGCACAAAATGTCATTGACGCTGCCAAATTCTGCGGTGTGCGTCGAATCTGCTACACTTCCTTTGTGGGTGCCGATGACCCAGCACCAATTGACGAAATGCCTTTCTTGCCTCGAGACCACAAACTAGTTGAGGCTCTTATCCGTGCCTCTGGGCTGGAATACAATATCCAGCGCGACTTTCTTTACATAGACAACATTCCCAACCTCTTCGCTCCATCGTGGAAATTCTGCGGAAACCGCTGGTTATCTAACTCTGGCGGAGTGCCTGGTGCCTACGTCGCGCGCGAAGATTGTGGTAGAGTATTATCTGCTCTCCTTTTGGGCCGTGGAAAACCAAACACTGTCTACAATGTGACGGGTCCCGAGACTGTGACAGATGAACAGATGTTCCAGTGGATCTGCAGCAATGTTAAAGATCAAGGACAAATTGTCACCGTCTCAGATCAGGAATTGAAGGATTATTGGCTGCAACGCGGACTGCCCACCACAGTTTTGGGTGACTTTTCTCAGATCCCAATGAAGCTCTGTATTGAGGATCTTCTATGCTGTGGTGAAATGGTAGCCAGAGGCTACATGGCCAAGACCAGTGACACTGTCGAAACCCTCACCGGACGTAAGCCTCTGTCGTTCCAAGATGTTTTGGTAAAATATAAAGATGTCTTCGACGGTGGAACATCCTATCTGTGAGTATCCTAGGGCTCGGAGATGGATTATCTAAATTGCCCATTGTCTTGTGTTATTTAGTTGTCCACATAAATTGCTAGATTTAGGGCTTTGTAGCAATTGAGCGGGTTAACTAACGTCTATATCCATTACAACGTTCGACTTGACCCGCCGTGAGCATTTGACGAGAAGGTAATCAAAACAAGTCAATATATCTTGTTTTATTACCCTCGATAACAGTAGTTGATACTATAGGTAAGCAGCGTGTAGTACCAGCCTAGCAACGGCCAAACATGAAAAATATATAAACTTCCATAGAGGCTCACGTTGTTTTCTCTGCACTCATTGACTAGATCAATATGTAGTACTTTATCAACTATAAATTAGTACAATAAATCACCCTAACCATTCCACCCCCAAGCATCCTCCAACTGCGCTCGGACATTATGGGTAGGATACCCGTACTCGTCCTCCAATTTTACAAGAGCCCCGAAAAGCGCCTCCTGCTCCACCCTCTCAACAAACCGATCCCCACACATCCCAATAGCAGCACTGGTGGTAACCAGCCCAGGCGGAGTATGCAAATTCGACATCGCAATCCCACAAAGTCTCAACACAATACTCCTCACCTGCTTATCGACACTACGCATCGCAGCCCTCTGCCCAGGCCCGAGCCGCGGTAATCGCGGATTATAAACTGCCAGCAAGATCCGCGCTAGCTCGAGATGCTGCAGCCCCGCGACGTGGCAGTTGTTCAAGTACCATAGTTCCGGGAAGACCTCGCCGCGTGCGGGATCCGGGTCGCGGGCGTACACCGGGTTGAAGGAGGCGGGACCGAGTTCTTCCCAGAGGGATTCGAAGGCGATTAGGGCATCGTAGCGGGCGATTCGGGATTCTGAGGATGGGAACGGTTGGTCGTGGGGTTGGGGCTTTTCTTCTGAGCCGAAGCAGAATTGGAGGACGTCTGCGCAGTGGATGACGATTCGGTCGGCCCAGATGTAGTCGTCTGCGGGCTCAAAACTGCGATATGGTTCGCAGGGGCCGAGGGGGAGGCGGAAGGGGCGTTGTTTGGAGAAGGCTGTGATGATTTCTTGGCGGATGGCGACCCAGTACGCTGCGTGTCGAAGACCCGTTCCTGATACTGCTGGGATGGCTTGGGCGTCCAGGAAGACCTGGATTCCGCGGAGGCCGGACTCGGTGTCTTCGCCCATTGAGGGGACTACAGGGATAGTCAGCTCTGGAGAGTCATAGGTGTGGGTGTGGGGTGTTACTGACGGTCTACTTCCTCGTAGAATCGTAGGATGACGGCTGCTGCTAGAAGACTTTCATCCTCGGCTTCGAGGGAGTGGTCTAGAGAGACGAAGTATGAAATGCATCGATTGTGGTACTCAATGGCGGTCGCTGATGTTAGGCCCGGTAGGTATTTGCCCCCGTATCTCACTTGATTGCCGACATAGTATTTTTTCGATTTAATCAAGTGCCTTGCTGAGACGGTGAAGATGGCGTTGAGTAAAGGTGGACATGTCAGTGCTCGTACTGGGACGGTACACGCAAAATGTCTTTGTCCATCACATATATCAAACTATACTAGTTAGCTAGACCACAACGTGCTCAGCTTGATTGCATACCCAATGACCAAGCTCCACTACAAAGTAGCGCATCAAACACGCTTCATGCTCATTTAAATTGGCCAACCCAGTCTCCGTGGCGAGGACGTTATGTGAAGTAGGTAGTGTATGACTGCCAGGGGAAATCTGAGAAAGCTGAGCCTGCACAGATACCGGGGAGATAGAGTAGCTGTTGGGTGATAGATGAAGGTCTGATGGGGTTCTTTCGGTCTGCTGTGGAACCCAGTGACCCGATGAATATGACCCTGTGTCGTTCGCGATACCAGGCTCCTTCGTGACATTCTCTGTCGCAGAAACATCATACGGCTCTAACTCCCATGGAGTGACTTCATCCAGCTCCAACGAGTACTCCCGGGCAACATCGGCCGTTTCATCGACATATTTATAGTCTATCAGTTGTCAGTTATTCATGATCGGAGATCCTAGATCCCGCCAACACGATGGAAGCCCAATATCGGATGGCTTTGAAACATTCAATAGTTACCCACCCGAAGCGATCGGCACCCAGACCTGATCATCGGCAAAATCGGCGTCATATCGGGCACTTGAGCCATGACGGAACCCCAACGGGACAGTCGGCCAGACACACGAGGAGCCCGACCGCTTGCACCGGGTACATGTCGGTTTCTTTTCATCGCCTATTCCCAGTTAATAATAATCTAGGAATTTCTTTTATCCAGTAGCCCTTACATTTCACATGCCGATCTATCCACCCGTTTAGTAATTGACTGTTCTGTAGATTGTAGACACTTACTGCGGCATCCCTGACTGATCGATTCTTTTAGTAATTGGTGCTGGGTGTCTAAGTGGAGACTTACCAGGGGACTGTTTTGCGCATTGTATAATATTTTAAGGACAAAGAAGTTGAAGGAGGGACTCAAGGGAGGCAACTCTCGGCGAGCTTTAGAGGTGAAAATGCGGGGAAAGCTGGAGTTACCCCGAGTTTCCTTTTTGAGTTTGACTATGGTCTTCATGTCGGTGATCCAAAACACCCCGTTTAGACAATGTCCGCTCCTTTTTTCCCCAAAAATTGAATGTTTCAATTTTTAAATTGAAACAGCAAATAGTCTTACTGAATTAATTTAAAAATGCAGCATGAAAGTCCACCAGGGTCAAGGTTGGGAATTTCGAGGCGCAAAAAGCCGAAGTAAGTGTCGCCGAAGCCCACCCGATTGGGCGTGATCGACTCCAGGTATGGCTGCGTACAGCTGCACCCAGTCCTCCCCGCGAAATCCCCAAAGACAGCAACACCCCGCAATGTATAGACTACAAGCTATAAAGAAGACCAATTACCCCAAACACAAATCCCAATTGCCTCCATCCTCAAAACCCATCACTACCTCTTATCTCCAACATGTCCGAAAAGCTTCAAGTAGCCGTCGCCGGCATTGGCCGCATGGGAATGCGTCATGCCCGACACTTCGCAACCCTCACACCTCGCGCCGAACTCATTGCGGTCTGTTCGCCCGTCCAAGCCGAGCTAGACGCCGCAAAGGAGGAGTTCGGCGTGCGAACCTACCTCTCCTTCGATGACATGTTGGCAAATGAAACGACCCTCCAAGCCGTGGTTGTGGCGAGTGCAACTACAGTCCACGCCGAACAGGCTATCAAGGCCATTGAACAGGGATACCACGTTCTATGTGAGAAGCCGCTCAGTACGAGTCCTGAAATTGTATATTGCTCGATATCCTATATAAGATCTGGCCAATGCGGTAATACTAACTATTCCAGTCTCAAACCGTCGTCGACGCATACCGCTCCTCTATTAAATCCTACCCCAAGCAGAAAGTCATGTGCGGCTTCTCGCGGCGCTTCGATGCATCATACCGAGACGCCTTTACGCGCGTGTCAAACGGCGACATCGGCACCCCGTCTGTATTCCGCTCGCAGACCTGCGATAAGCTCGATCCCAGCGGGTTCTTTGTTGCCTATGCCGAGTTCTCAGGGGGTATCTTTGTGGACTGTTCTATTCACGATATCGATCTTGCATTGTGGTTCTTTGGTGAAGACAGCAAGGTTAAGAGTGTCACGGCTGTTGGTATCACGGCTGTGCAGCCTGAACTGAGGAAGCATAATGATCGGGATAACGCAGTCGGGATTATTGAGTTCTATGTAAGTTGTAGCTCTTCCCGGATATGGTATCCGACTTCAATAGACTGACTTTTCAGGGCGAGAAAACCGCTCAACTTTACTGCTCTCGGATGATGGCCGCTGGTCAGATGGATTGCACTGAGATATTTGGTACAAATGGAGAGATTGCTGTCAATACTCAGCCCCAATCGAACCTTGTCAACCTATTTGAGTCAACTGGTGTGCGCCGGGAGATCCCGCCGGATTACTACGGCCGGTTTCGTGAGGCATTCGTTACGGAGGCGAACGAGTTCACAGCTGCTTGTTTGAACAATCTTCCTCTACCTATGTCACTTGAAGGTGCTGTTAAGGCGGTCCGCACTGGGGCCGCTTTGCAGGAGAGCTTGGTCACTGGAAAGAAGATCGACTTCGATGAGAGTGGGAACCGGGTTGAGGCTGCTCGACTTTAGATTTAGGGTTGCTATAAATAAACATTGAAACAGATAATCTAGATCTATGTCTACTTTGAAATTCGAATATCCGAGTCCGGCTTTGTAGCTATCCCATACTATATCGGGGGCTGAGATACCTATTGCGGTAGAGCGACAAGGTGAAACTGCCAGGAATAGCGTCATTGATATTAAATATATAGTTTAAAGGCAAATAAAGACATATAATAGTAATATAACAAGCCGGAGCGCTGAATTAACCCACAGACGGACAGGTGTGACCAAAAGTCCCAAAAAGTAACAAAATTAAGAAAATAACTTTCATAGGATAAAGGACAAAGGGAGTAGGTAGGTGATAGTAGTAAAGTAGATATTGGGGCAATAAAACATATTGAAATGACTACGAGAAAATAGTTGAATGCGATTATACCTTTCGCTAAACCAAATGATCCACTATCCCCAAACATCCTCCTGCCACTTATCCATCATCTTAATTGTCTTACTCCAACCATTAAACTCATCGTCGCTCCACCTCTTAGCACCCTTCATAGTCTGCCCAACCACCTTCTCAACTTCACGAGCCATACCAGCCCGACCGCAGACATAGAAGGTACCCCCTTCATCAATGAGCCGAATGACATCGTTCCCAAACTCAGCAACCCGGTCCTGCACGTATTGACGAGGCGTCCCCTCCAGTCGAGAGAAAGCAGTGACAATTCTCAACCGATCTCCCAATGCCACTTGCATTTCTTCCAACTCTTCACGATAGATATAATCTTCGTTGGGGTTCCGGCATCCAAAGAAGAGAATCATCTGGCCGACGTCCTTCCCGATTTTCAAAAATTGACAGCGCTCAGAGAGGAATGCGCGGAAAGGCGCGATACCCGTTCCCGCAGCGACCATAATCAATGGTGTATTTACCACAGTCGGAAGCTTGAAGTTGCTTCGACGGATATGAGCGAACACTTTACCACCTTGAAGGGCGTCGGCGGGACCGTTCAGATGGTAGGTGATACCGCTGGGGTGAGATTTGGAGCGGGCTTGCTGGGAAAGTGCAAGAAGGTAGTTGGATGTGACACCGTGAATGAGCTCGTTGGGATTTTGCGGCAGTGGGGCTGTTGAGACAATGGCTGTGATGGAAGGTTTGCGAGGAGAAACCATGCTACTGGACGAGATGGAATAGTATCGGGGTCGGATGTGGGGCATCGTTTCGACAAGATATGAGAGTGGAAGCTTATCCCATGGCTTGTCGGGGCATGCTAGTTGCAACAGTCGACCGAGATTGATGTGGGTGCGACTGATAAAGCTGGCGTAGACGTCCTTGTCTTGGCCAAACTGGAGAAGATAGGCCTTAGCCTCAGGGGTAGGTGCAAATTGTGCCAGGTCGCATATATTATCGCGGTTCACGCATGCACCTATCTCGAGGTAGTAGCGGAAGATGGCAACGGCGCTGGTCGGGGTTGGAATCGTGATCTTGGTTGCTGGGTCGAGCGCCTTAATAACAAGTGGGATATCGCGGCGTGAGGAGATTCCAAGGACGTCGAGTAGACGTTCAACTTCAACATCGGGATTCCCGGGCCAGATAGCAAGGTGGTCTCCGGTCTTATAACTCAGCTCGGGCTGGTTGGTCAGGTCTACGTCCATGTGAAGGCAGTGGCGATTAGATGACTTGAAGAGCTCCCTGGAGTCGGAAATGCTCAATGTGCGTACAGTTGAGGATTTGGCGGCTGCTTTGGGTGCTTCACGATTGTTCGGCTCACCGTGATGCAGATCGATAGGCTCAAGAGATTCATCTTCTTCGACCTTTAAGCTCGGGATATATCTTGCTCCAGCTTCTTGGAATCCCAACTTGTGTTTGAAGATTCTGAAAAGATCGTCTTTCCATGACATAAAGTCTTCCTCGGTTGTTCCTTCTGCGTCATTTGCCTTTCCAACGGGAATGATAGCCTGAGCGCCGAACTTGTCTAAGCCTTCAATGATAACATCAACAACTCGGTTATAAAATTTGTAGTTCGTGTTCCCTAAACCGAACGCAGCATACCGCAAGTTGGATAGCGACACGTCGCGGGCTTTCAGAATCCAGCTCCAAAATTCCGCTGTATTATCGCTGGGATCTCCCTCGCCGTATGTCGAAACAAGGAAGATAGCCAACTTGGCCTTAGGGATTTCACTAATTGTGACCGGGTCATAATCCGAGAGGTCGGCAGTCATGGTTTCCTGGCCCCATCTAAAGGATATCTCTCTGGCCAGACGGTGGGCGAAACCCTCGGCTGTGCCGGACTGGGATCCCCAGAACACAACGATATTCTTGCCCGTCTCTTCCAGCTTCTGTGCGATGTTGCGGGTCTCCTTGTTGGCTGAACCAGCCTTTCCACCATTTTTCAGCTGGGGCCTTTCAAACAAGATATGGTGAAACGGATCTGGTTTATCCCATAACCATCCTTTTGAAAGGTATGTTGCTCCAATTCCACCTAGAACTGCCAAGGCAACATAATCGGCAAATCCTGTTGGCGTACCGTATTTCGAAAACTCTTGCAAGAGCTCTGGTGGGATGTTGAGCGGCGGTAAGGCTGCCATGGTGTTTGAGAAGTACAAGCTTATTGATATAGCGAGGGAAAACGTCAAAGTTTCAGAATTTATGCGTCGAGGGAGCGCTTGATTCTTATATGTCTAGGTTCAATATAGTGGGCGTACCAAGCAGCAACTCCCGTAGGGGAACGATAGCCAGAAAATATGTTTCCGCTTACAACCCTCGACGATTTGAGTAGGGTTTCCGATCGCCTTTGCATTGTGTAATAACGCTAATATCCACTTCACGATGTCCGATTCTGAACGCAGGCAAGGATGCTGCATGATATCGCATATCGAATGAATCGGGCTATATTCGCCGCAACTGATCAGTAGTCAAGGTCCATATGGATGGGCTAGACCAGCCAAGAGGTAATCCCACGGAGGATGAGGATCTCCGCAAATCCCCCGCACTCAGTTTCGCCTACAGAAATTGCCACCAAAGTGGAAATGTTCCCCGTCAATATTGCGGAGGCAACTGCCCCGCCCAAGCTGTAAGCGGGCATTATATTCTGTTTCTATCATTTCAAACCTTACAAGCATGTGTTGGCCCGGTCGGATTTGCACCAAGTGGGAAAAGATTTTATTAGATTACCTTTTTTATTTCGTCAAGTTTGTACTAGTTAACAAACATTATCAAAGGCACCCATTTGATTGAAGTTGACAGGTTTATCGAAAAGTGTGTACCGTTGCAACAGGTGTGCGCCGTAACGCTCTTTATAATCAGAGCATATTGATCGCTATAATTTTATAATTAAGGATATAGGTTGTTAATATACAAGATAGCAAACTTCAGTGCATTTTTGCTGTCGGCTAGTGCATAAATCTATGGACCCCAAGAGAAAACATTGGATGATGAAATCAAATTCATTCTCATTATTATTGTCGAGTTGTGATGATTGCTCCAGACACCCTAACAACTGCCTACCTATCAACTGTACCCACCCGCCTCCAAACCTTCAATGGCATCGGACCCGGATTCAGGTTTGACATCTCGCGGACTGGAGGATCCCAGTCGGGATGTGGCAAAGCAAACTCATATCGATGTACCAAAGAAGCCAAAAGAACAGTTTGTTCTAGATAGCTAATGTTCCGGCCAATGCAGCCTCGTGCTCCAGTACTGAATGGAATGAAATAAGACTGCAAAGCTTTACCCTCCTCTCCCAGCCATCGTTCTGGCTTGTAGGTGGCATTATCTTTGAAAACTGACTCCTGGTGATGCATCACGTAAGACGAAATGCTGACCGACGTGTCTCCAGCGACATATTCATTGAGGATAGAAGTTCCTTCCACGGGCGTTCGGCGAGGCAGACCGAAAACAATCGGCGGGAGCATTCGAAGACTCTCGTCTATGCATGCCCGGAGATATGGCAGGTATTTGACTTTACCATACGGTGCAACAACCTCATCCTCTTCCAAAACCGCACCAAGCTCCTCCCGAAGCCTCGCCAGACACTTGGGGTTTTTCAGTAGGAAAAAGAGAGCGTTTCGAAGTGAGATGGCCGTGGTATCGTGTCCCGCATTCATCATGATGCTAATTTCTGCGACGATCTCGCCCCATTCTAAATTGTGGGGTACCCCATTCTTATCTTCCATCATAGCTGTAAAGAAATCGTCCAGTTTCTCGCCATTCTGGTATCGCTTCAATCGTGTTGTGGCACGGTTATAGACAATACCGGACCAATCCGCGTCTAACTGCCACAGATGTCGATAGCTTGACGAAACCACTTTGCTAATTCGGCGCAGAGTCTGGAACCAGTCGTACGACCAGACTATCCGGAAGGACGCTGTCTGTGTAGCAGTATGGCATTCACGGAAGGAGACATCTTTAATTGTGCCGTCATAACTTTCACACTTGACTCTGTCAGATCCCTCATTAAGGAAACCGAGATCTTCGCTAAGTCCAATGTTCGCGATCGCAGCCGCGGTCCATAAAACTGTCCAGTTTCGATATTCAACCGTTAGGTCTTCCTTCTTTGGAAGTTGATTTGGAAGCAGTGGATCGGTGCACCGCTTATCAAAGGCCTTGATGAGCTTTGTTGTAACTTCCGCCACCTTGAACTCCCATTCTTCAAGGTTCTTGGCCGCGTAGGCACTTGAGAGCACCTTTCTCTTCCGGGCGTGTTCCTTTTTATCCACGACGTCTGCGAGGTGGGAGTGAGAGCCTGCTGTCTCGGAGTAGAAGCGATCCTTGATACAACGGCTGCTGTGACCGTATATATCCTTGATAGCGTTAGGATCAGAGTATGATAGCGAATTTGGACCGATTCGTAGAACGGGATGCTTTTTGTGGGCTTCAAGGAGATTTCGAGAGCGGAAGCCGTTGTGCGACTCATAAATAAGAGGCAAGTCTGATATACCGGAGAAAAGTTGGAAATTTGGATACTTCCTGAGTCCCTTTGGGTCATAGAAGTACTTGATCACTGGGGCCACAATGAAGTAGCTCACCACGGCAAGTGTTAAGGCGAGGGCGTACATTGTGTGGAAATTGGGGAAATGGAAGATACAAAGATATTCGTTCTTCACATGAGCCTAACTTGAGGCTTCTGATATAGATTTGGAGATGCTAGTAGTAGTTGATTTTACGTTGAATGGCATAGTTCGGCGAGGGTTAACGAATTCAGCTAATTTAGGCCTAACAAATAGTAACAATCAGAAAGAGAGGTGATCGTCATATTACTGACCAATGTTGAATCCTGGAATTGAGCCTGCAGACCTTTCGATCGCGTGAATCTTTTTGTCGCGGGGTACACAACTTTATTTGGAAAGGCATTGGGGCCCAGTCTTCCTGCGTCACATCGTCAGCTTACAGGTGTGTTTGATAGTAGTGAGGGGGCAAAAGATCTTCCATTTGCCATGACAATACTAAGTGACGCAACCATGAGCTGTTCAAGCATGCTAATGCCTATAACTGATGGGAGGGCAGAATGAGATGGAGACCGAGAAGGTGAACAGCGGTAACGGGGAAAGGTCTCCGTACGGGGTATACTCTAGAAATGGGAGATTTGGAGTTTGATGCTCTAGGTCGCCAATGGAAAGGTTTCTAGTGAACGAAAAAGGAATACAAAGCCGGGTGGTACCCCCACACTAGTCTCCCTTACCCCACGATCTCGGAAACGGCCTCGAGGACCTCGAGACGATCAGCACACGGAGAAGTTAACCCGAGACTATCAGCAAGAACCTAAATCAACTAATGACATCACAAACTGCGGTGAAAATAACTGTCCTCGGCTAAAATATCGGACTATATTTCTCTAGTCCAAAGAGGTTTGGGCTCTCTTTCTTTGATGTCTATATCTGCCACACCCTTCCCCTAGTACTATAATAATGTTACTGCTTGATCTTTCCATGGGCTGTTGAGTATGAGATACTGACAGCTCCACATCGCATTGTGCTAGGACATATCAACAAATAACGCATGAGGTCTGTAGAACACCCGAAAGTACCTTAGAACAAGGAAACCATATTCCTTAAAGCTAAAACGAGTAGATGCAATCGCCGGCACGAGGGAAACCAAAGCAAAACCTTAGGGACAGCAGGCGGCGTGACTTGCCGCGAAAGATGAGATCTGCAAGGTGCGGGAACTCCCCCAGATCTTCGCCGGAACAGTGCGGGGGATCTGGGGTTGCAACATGACATATGCCCACCTTTGCCTATATAAACCACCTGACCTACTATACAATGCCTTGAAATGCACCGGGAACAATCAGGCATTATTCATAGGTTCAATTGGATCTTTAACATCTGAAATCGTGACTTTGCTTCAATTATTATAAATATACTCTACCATGTGGCCCCGCAACAGACACTCGCAAGCGGGAGAAGACAAAGATGATACGAAGATAGAGAATTCCGACTTCGACAACATCAAAGATGACCTAGAGAGCGCCCATGTCGAAAACATCGAAGGCAATGTGGAGAACATGGCCAGCATCGAAAGTCTACCCATAAGTTGGTTCGTTTGGCTTGCAGCATTAACAGCCTCAATGGCTGGTCTGTTGTTTGGATATGACACTGGTATTATCTCAGGTGTTCTAGTGTACTTGGGAGATTCCCTCGACAACCGGCCTGTCACCAACAGCGAGAAGGAGATGATCACCGCTCTATGCTCGGGAGGAGCTTTCGTGGGTGCAATATTTGCTGGAAACACTGCAGATAGGGTATGATATTATAAATATACACCATGTCTGAATGCTAATTCAGTAGTTCGGACGCAAAATGGCCATCTACCTCGCTTGTTTTCTTTTCATCGCCGGTGCGGTCATCCAAAGCGCAGCCTACACTATTGCACAAATGGCAGTCGGCAGACTAGTTATTGGTTTCGGGGTAGGATGCGGTGCCATGGTTTTGCCGCTGTATGTCGCGGAGATTGCCCCAGCTAAGGCGCGTGGAAAGCTCATCGGATTAAACAATATGTCTATCACCGGAGGCCAGGTCATTTCCTACGCGATTGGAGCTGCCTTTGCAAGTGTTGACAACGGATGGCGATACATGGTTGGACTAGGGGCCATACCCGCTATCGTTCTTGGGGTTCTCATGCCCTTTTGTCCTGAATCCCCACGTCACTTGGCGTACAATGGACGCACTGCAGAGGCCAGAGTTGTTCTTCAAAAAGTCTACGCAACGGCAACCGAGGCCCAGATCGATGCTGTCCTGGTCTCGATCTGTGCGGCGTGCGACCAGGCCAGAGAGATAGACGACAGTGCGTCTCGATTCTCGAAGATTAAGCAACTACACACTATTCCGAGTAACCTTCGGGCACTGATCAGTGCTTGCGGTCTGATGGTTATCTCACAACTCTCTGGCTTCAACGCTCTAATGTACTACTCTGCGACGCTCTTCGCACTGGTTGGCTTTGATAATCCTACTGCTGTCGGTCTTGTGGTCGCGGGAACTAACTTTATCATGACCTTCGTGAATATGATGATGGTCGACGGCATAGGCCGCCGAAGGATTCTCCTGTCTACCGTATGGGGAATGTCGGTGGGAATGATTGCCATTGCCGTCGCCTTCCTTTGGATTCCCGTAAACATGGAGACGATGGAAGTTACAACCACGGGTATTTCCAGCGCAGCGATCGTCGTTCTGGTCTTTATTATCTGGTTTGTGGTGTTCTACGGCATCTCGGTTGGAAACACGGCATGGATGAGCACCGACTTCTTTCCTCTGGAGGTGCGTGCTATGGGAACCATGTGGTTGACTTGCTCCAGCTGGGGAAGCAATATTATCATTTCTAGCACCTTCCTTTCTATGATGAAGGCTTGGACTCCTTCCGGGGCCTTTGGATTCTTCGCCGCTATTTGTGGACTTGGGTATATCTGGCTTTACTTTTTCTATCCCGAGGTTTCTGGTCTTGTTCTAGAGGAGATTAAGGAGGTATTCGAGCATGGATTTGGGGTCAAGTATGCCAGGGAACTTCGAAAGGCGCGCAAGGATATTATCGAGGAGAGGATGAAGACCCAAGAGAAGCCGATCGCTGCTGGGCATTAACCAATGTATCCAAGGCTTGATTATTTAGGCGATGTTTAATGCTGTAATCTTTCGTTTATATAAAGCACATGTATTTGGTATCTGATACAACGAAGCATAAGTACATCAACTCTCCGGAGAACTGAAAACAGTAGGCCTAATAATTTATGCACCCTTAACTTCCACCACCTGATTTGCAGCCTCGGAAACCAATACCTGCTGTGATTCCGTACTCTTCTTGCGAGGATTGGGGGCTTCGAAGATCTCACTGAGTTCCTCAAGAGTCCGTCCACTTGTTTCAACAGCGAAGAAGTAGATGAACACTCCCTGGACAATATTCCAGCCGGCTAGAATGATGTATGTGTGCCAGCCAATGACGCTAATGGCATTTCCGACTCCGAACTGATTCACCAGCAAGGCAATGTTGGTGAAGACAGAGTACATGGCCATACCCTTGGCACGAGTCTCGTATGACAGACATTCAACGGCGTACATGGCCTGCAATGGGGTCCAACCCAAACTGAAACAGAAACCGATCAAGAAGATAAACACAATGGAAGCAGTGGCCGCTTTCGGTTCTTCGGTCTTCGAGTACACACCGGTTGTGGCTGAGAAACTGGCAAAGGCGAGCTTTAAATCCAAAAGTTAGCAGAGGACATTAACAAAAAAGATGAATCATGCGAGATAGATATACATACACTGCAAGCAATTGAGGCGCCAATCATCATAGGTCTGCGACGGAATTTCGGGCCCAAATAACTTCCCAGATAAGCTCCACCGGCGGAAAGAACCGTGTTGCCAAGATTGACGTTGAGCACTCGTGTTGTATCCGTAATACCAGCTGTGGCCAAAAGTCCACCAATGTAGTAGCTCGTGACACCAGCCTGCGCCCACTGACTCAAGAACGATGCGATACCCACACACATGAGTCTCCATCTAGCGGCCTTAGTGTTAACAAGCTCTCTGAAGTCCCATGCCTTCTTGTCGGAGCCTTCAAGGTTGATCGCCTCTTCATATTCCCGCACTTGTAGGTGGACATAAGCGTTATCACGGGATCCCTCGCCATGATATCTAGTGATAACATCCCAGGCTTCCTCGCGGCGTCCGTGGCTGTAAAGCCACCGAGGAGATTCAGGAATGAACCAGACAGCGAGCAGCACGATGCTGGAGGAAATCAACTGACACCAAATGGGGATGCGCCACGCAAGGGAGCTTTCGTATTTCAGGGATCCGCGGCAAGCACCAGCAGCAGCAATAGCGCCAACAAAGTACTGGCAATTGTATAAACCGGTCAAAACGTCGCGGTATTCGGGATGACTCATCTCGACGACGTATGCGGGTGCGGCGGAAGACGCCATAGAGTAACCCCAGCCTGAGATATGTTGTTAACGGCGGGAACGAGAACGGGAAATGTGCTGACACGTACCAAGGAAGAATCGGCTGGCAAGCAGTTGATCCATGTGGTTGGCGGTTCCACCGAGAATTGTACCGAGAATGACAGAGCAGGATCCAACAAACATGCCACAGCGGCGTCCCCAAGTATCCAGGAAAATTCCGACAAAGGGCAGCGCGCAGACACCTCCAATAGTGTACATTCCTTGGATCAAGGAGGCTTTAGAACCGACTAAACCAGAGCCGAAGGTCTCACGAAACTGCGGGATAGGAAGCAGAGCACCCATCAGCGAGCCATCAAATCCTGAGCCAGTTAGTGAGAAAAATTTTCAACGGTTATCAATTGTCATTCACGTACCGTTTAGGGCTGAGCAAAGATACGCCACCGTCAAGAATGAGTATAACTTTAGCATTTGAGTACTCCATGGACTCGGGGGATTCGTCCGTCTGGCAATATCCAGAGCCACTGAGCCCTGGACAGTCTCGACCTTGACACCCTCCTTGTGTTCATTGTGCATGGCGTCGACAGCACCTTCTTTCTCGTCCAGTTCTGGGTGTGTATGGTCTGTCATGTTGAAAACCTCCTCTTATCTGCACCGAGGGATGTGATCTGCAGAATGAGTGAGTCAATTCGTGGGGAAAGTGAGGGTCATGGCATGATATTTATTCTTCCTGTCATGGGACTTGTTTCCGCTCCCTGGTCGGCATGAAGTTATCCTTTTGTCGTAAATGTCTCGGATGTCCTTGGCTAAAACAGCTCCTGTCAAACTTTGGGATTCATTGCGTTCTGATTGTCCAATTATGACAATGCCTTCGGCTCCATTGCGGGGATTGGGGTTGCTCCAGACGGGCCGATCGAGACCAATCACCATAGCCGAAAAACCGGGGTAACCCGACCTCTACGGGAAATGACTCGGCTTTCTCCGCCTCCTCCTCGACTAAAATGGTAATTTTCCGCCCTGATTTCCCCGATCGGCCCCAAATACGGCATCCCTCAGTGACAATCATCAGATTCCGGATATTAATTCGTAACGGAGCTGTCAAAATATCCATGTGTTCTTTCTACCTGCTTTTATGATCTACATTCTATACTTCTACAATAGTCTACGGAGAACGGGAGATGAACCCCCGCAAACGGGTATGTTACATTTAATATAATTCATTCATGGGGGAGGAGGGTAGGGGGAGAGGAGAAACCAATCCCAGAGAAGAGGGCCCATTGAAGTGCTGTCAATTCCAAATCCAATTACTCTTCCATAAGTAGAGGGAAAGAGGCTGGTTGGCCATCCACGGCCACCCATGGCAAAAACCTTGGAATAGGAGAATAGGAGGCGTCAGATAGTTCGGTACTCGGGGGGCCGTAGTCAGATGAGCTTTCTCGTCCAAAATGCCTCGGCAGTAGGAAAAAAGCATATAAATGCAAACAATGCAAATCTGAATGCCAGTTCGCTAAGGTTTTGAGGTGTCGACACCATCCACGACAGCGACAACAGCGACCTTTTATTTTGTGTTATAGTTACATATGAGTCCATAGTTGTTGATAATACCCTCAAACACAATAGTATGTTAATTTCGAGAAAATTGAAATGCTGCAATACTCATATTATTAGCAACACCATTGGGTGAAACCAATATATATTGTACAATAGACATTGGCACAGGAGCTAACCACCAAAACGCATTTCTTGTAAACACTACAGCTATAATGCCTGGTAATCGCTCTCCTTGAGCCCTCTGTTAATACTTTATGTTTTTCTATATATGTTGTATGCAAAATAAGGTTTTATGAATTGGAGATCAACCATTTTTGTGTATCTACTTACACTGGTAAATCATTATATATACTCCGCCCACGAGTACAATTTTCTATGTCTATTTCCGCTGATATGATGGTGACAATTAATGAAGTAGGGAAATTAAAAAGAAGAGGACAATTGGAAAGTAGATGTTTATGGCAAACAAGCATACTCAGCCGCATAACCGGCCTTGTGATGTCTTTTCAGTGGTCTTTCTAGTGGTCGCTTTAGTAGTCGTTTTAGATGTCATTCTGGCTTGTCGGTTTTGTGAAAAGACCGTCGACTTTACGGTAGGGGGTATGGATGGCTATCCAGGGATTATGACTTACGAGATCAGCCCTGCTGCTTCCAACCCTGTTTAGTTTTGCAGGAGTATAAGTACCCTGTCCTTCATCCACAATACAGATCTCCCATCCTTCATCGTCATCTCTCTCTCACTGTATGCTCAGTAAGTATGAGCGCGGGAGTTTGATGCACATACAATTGAGGAGCGGTCAGAGTTGGGCTTGCTAAAGGGGCTAGGAAGACTGGAAATTCTAGCGCAACCTCAACACATCTTTCGAAAAAATCAATGCTAGACGAAAGGGCAAATGGTCCCAACGAAAAGACGCCTGCGTCGAGCAATTTTACTGCCGGTGCTAGGCAATCGCCTGGCCCCAGCGACCTCACACCTGCCTCCGTCGACCCGACACCTCCACCTCTCCAGCGAACATCTCAACCCCTCAGCCGATGTCTACCCCCCTTCAAGTCAACGCCTAGCGCCAGCGGGTCGACGTCTAATTATGACCACCCATTAGGTGCCCGGCCACCACATTTGCAGAAGCCCCCCAATCGAAAGCGCAGGCAACCCGAACCTAGCACACGTTCGCGCTCAACTTTATCGATGACCGGCATCCTACGTCCTCTATAACACACCAGTCGACATTACTTTCTTTAATCTGCGGGCAATATGTACGATGTGGCACCCACATAACAGGACGAGAAACATATTTATCTTCACCGATGATATATATACACTGGGGCGATTGAATAGTACCACTGTATGCTAGGAGGGTGACATCCATAAACAGGACTTGAAGACTTTTCACGACCTTTCAGAGATCACCGCTCTGAGATATAGCCACTTGAAGCTCCACTAGAGTCCTGGCTATAAGGACATTCCAAGAAACGAGGCCGCACAAGACATGTCAATAACCGCCCAATCCCAGCTAGCGTCGTGCTGAGTGTGTCTCTGAGATTTTTATTTCACCTTTCAGGGTTCAATATCCCAGGGCATATTATTTAGAGATTCACGTATTAGTGAAATTGCCATCCATTGTCATACAGCCAGATTTCCATCACATAACTCATCATTGTTGTGCCTACTAGTGAGTTAATTCTACAAGAAGACTAGTTCATGACTATGAGTTTGATTTTGTCATAGCACTGGTCCTAAACCGATTGGAACAAACTATTGACCCAGGTAGCGATACCCCAATGGAGTGTCACTGGCACTTAGCCCTGTAATCTCCACCACCTGCTCATCGCCCGGGACAAGGTCAATAGCGCTGTCACTAAGACGCACATTTTCACGTTCCTCAAAGACAAGGCACTTGACCGGCTTTTGTGCGCTGATTATCAAGCGTTGCTGTCCAGCTGAAGCACCTGGCTGCTGCTTCACTTCCAGTCCGCGATCGGAAAAGTCAAGGTACTTCAACGGCTGTGGCCAGTCAACGTCCCGGGCCACAATCTGACCGTCTACCCATAACCTCGCAGAAAGGACATGTGGCTCAGGCTCCGTGACATGATCAATGACTCCACTTGTAATGTCGGAAGAACCGTTGGGTGCAATAGTCACGTCCGTGAAGACCGCTGGGGCGCGTATATCTTTACCCGTCACCACGGATAAGAATCGTAGCTCGACAGTTCCATGAAGAACTTCCTGTCGGCTGCTAGCCACCCACATCTCATACCGGCTCTGTGTGGGAGGCTGTGCGTGCGCTACGCTCCAGTCGTGATGTTCACGTCGTACACCCACCACCAGCGGCTGCAACACTCGTTTAACTGTGTAAAATGCAGCCTTTGGCTTCAGGAAGTAGTCCGCAATTGCCCACGAGATTGTGGGCCAGCAGTCGTTCAACTGCCATAGTAATGCTCCGCCACACTTGCGATCATCACCCCATTGCCGGCGCCATCCACGATATCCGAACATCAGTGTCTCTGCCTGAAGGACTTGTGTGAGGTAGGCGTATGTCTAAATATAATGTAAGTATTTTTTTTCTCCTTTGAATATGTTAACAGTGGTAAACAACATACCTCTAGATCAGTAGACATGCGCAGGTTTTCCACCAGATACGTCGCCAAACGCCTCTCGTGGCCATCGGCCTTGTTATGGAAGTCCATAACCTGCGACTGTGGGTGTTTGTCTTGATCATTTTCCACAAAGTATTCGATAGTTGACATATGCGGGAAGGCTTCCATTCCGAACTCGCTGTTAAAGCGGCCTCCTATGGAGTCAAAGATCTGATATTTTTCCTGTGTTCCATGCCACACTTCAAAACAGTTAGTACCAACGTTTGATTCAGAATCCTCGTAAATTGCTTCACGAATTAGATTGACTGACCATTCCATTGATGTATATCTCCCACGGTAGGATCGGTTGTGACCTTTCCGTCGCCCCATGGGCTTCCCGGGTGGTAGAAAGTGCTCGGCGAGTACTCGGATACCAGTTCTGGCAGCAGCTTTTCGTAGATATAGCGTGCTGGGAAGTCATATTTCAACCAACTTTCCGGATCCTTATCCTCATAGTTGTAAGTGAGTCCTGTCTGCTCCTGGAATTGATAATCTTCGTTGTTACCAACGTAAATCACGATTGAAGGATGATGTCTTAATCGCTGGACGTTGTAAACCGTCTCCTTTCGCACAGACTCTAGGAAATCGGGCCATACTGGGTAGTTACCGCAGGCGAACATGAAGTCCTGCCATACTAGCACGCCAAGCTCATCGCAAGCATCGTAGAAAGCATCGTCCTCGTAGATACCGCCACCCCATACTCTGTTATAGATTAGTATTTAACCAGCTCAAATGTATAAAGGCTATTTCAGCATACCTGCTCATCACTTGGCCACCGGCCACCATTAGCTCGATCCACTTCCGGTATCGCTCCGCGCTAACACTGGGTAGTAGGCTATCGGCAGGGATCCAGCAAGAGCCGCCACAGAATATATCCATTCCGTTGATTCGGAAATAGAAAGACTTTCCATGTTTATCAGCCTGCTGAATGACCTCGGCGGACCGAATACCAAATCTCTTAGCGACACGGTGAAGCTCGTTTCCATTGCACAAGAGTGAGACTGAAACCTCATACAACGTCTGAGCGCCGTAGCCATGTGGCCACCATAATTCGGGATTGGCGACCTCAAAGCTGGCTTGGGCAGTCCGATCAGAGGATACAGGGATATCCTGGCTCGCGATTTCTTGTCCGCGAAGAGTCAAATGGAAGCGAGCGACGCAGGGTTCCGAATTAGACGCATCGACTTTAGCAGTTGCCGTAACAGTCGCTGTTTTATGGTCGGGAGTGAGGTGTGCCTGTGGCCATAGGTCCTCTACTCGTCCAGAGTAGACTTCCAATCGCACTTCGCGCCAGATACCAGCTGTCATGATAACTGGTCCCCAATCCCAGCCCCAATGGTATTGGGCCTTGCGCGCGGCTAGACGAGCCATATCTCCAAACATACCCTGCCATTTATGATCCGGGTCTGTCTTGCGTAGCTCGATTGCTTTGAGCTGGGCGCAATCAAACTCGATCTCTAGCACATTTGTGCTATTGGGAGACCCTAGTGCCTTTGTGATATCAACACGGTAGCCCAAGAACATATTGCTAGCTTCAAGGATTGTCTCGCCATTGAGTTTGACCGAGGCGAAAGTGTCGAGGCCGTCAAACACCAGTGCCACGGTGGCGCCAGTAGGAATTTCCGGTCGTTGAAACGTGTGTCGATAAACCCACGACTTCTCGTTGACCCATCGAGCTTTAAGTTCATTAAAGCCTATGTAGGGATCCTCAAGCCTAAATAATAAAGTAATCGTTAGCGGTTGTCACACCCCAAGTTCATTTGCTAGTTGGGTTGCTAACTTCTTATTCGCAATGAGATCCTGCTGCACCGTGGAAGGCACTGCCGCCACCGGCATCCACGCGTCCGGTGTCTCGTCATCTCGGTCTCTGAATGTCCATTCTGTGGACAAGATATGCTTGGAAAACGGCATATTTGTGGTCCAAATGGCAAATAATTTTGTTGTTAATCCTCCGCGGAATGTCTGATTGAGAGCAATTTCAGTGAGGACGGACTGGAATAATATATACTAGCAGCGGACAGTTGAAAGGAAAAGGGTCCAGTTCCGTCCAGATTAAACCATTGAGGACGGAATCAACAAAGAGTAAAATCATGCTGAACAAGACGTAATGGTTCTCCTCTGGATTCGATGTTGTTAGAGGCCACAAGAGTACCACCAACATATGCTACCCCACCTGCAATGTAGATCATCCGAAAATGTCACGCTGTGACCACTTTTATTCCGTCGGATTTCCTATTTGGGCCCGCAAGAGGCGGAATGTCCGATCAAAATAGGAAAACCCGAAGACCTCCGCCATTTGAGACGTCCGATTCACCTCTTTTCGAAGATGCATATTTTGTGCTAGTGCTCGCATATTATCCATATCCTCGTATAGGCGTATTTTGCGATTGTGGATGGAGAGCCCGTTGGAAGAGTGCTGGCACTACCTAATACATATCTGGCAGTTTGACCTTCACTTCGAAGTAGCCTGGTCTTAATGTCTCTTTCAAACATGGATTCTGCCGTTACCTCCCGCAAAAGGGATCTACACACTGCGGGCCTGGCTAATTGCTTACCCGACATGTTACCTTCAACGTTGGAAGTCACTTCCTAGCAAGACAATCACGTTCATACCTATGGAGAATAGCGCCTTTTTGGTTCTTGCGGCTAAATGCTTTCACGCCGCACTATGTATATTCTGGCTGGTTTCTTCGGGGCTCTCAATGTATTGAGCAAGCTTACGGTCATTTAAGGGGCAGATAAGCCAAGTCTTTTGAGTTTTAGCTCGAGATTACTCCGATGGCAGCCAGAGAATTGAGGAACTGCAGAGGAGCTATTCTCTTACCCCTAGCTTCAATCGTAGGTAGTTTTGCTTGTTGGAAGAAGTTCAATACAGTTATATTGGGCTTTTGTATCATGCTGTGGTCTTTCGTTGTGCACTACAGTTGGTTTGAATACGTATAAAGTCAAGTGATGGTTATTTATAGGGTGGTTATGAATGTGGGGAAAAGAGGTCCCTGAGCCTCAGTTCTTATCACTTGCGACAATAGTACCTTTGAAATGAGGTTTGAAATAGTCCTGATCGGTCTAACAACCCACGGCCAGGATTCAAAGTTTTGGTTGCAGCTAGACTTGTATTTTCCCATGAAAGCCCTTTAATCCACTTGCTTTAGAAGTCATATATACATAGAGAGGATGGAACTATGTATTGGTGGCGGCATAGGCCGACTTAATGTTTCAAAATTGTTAATCTAAGACACGTGGAGAAACTCTAAACATGCCGACGCGACGCGCCACGTGGGCGCCCAGCTTGATTACTAAATTCCCCCATTTGAGCCAACGGTGGGAGGAAGTCCGATCAAAATAAGTAAGTAACCCCGAAGATCGCCCGAAGTTTGCCGACGTGTAGATCTATCCAAGTATTTCATAACTAATCCTTGGGACATGACTTTGAAGAGTAATACTGTTTAGCCTAACACCTTGTCGTTTTGTCTACCATATAGTTATTATCTTATATGTGATGTGAACTTCATCGTTGGTTTGTCTCTTTATCTATTTCTCTGTTTATTTGTGAGTCCACAGTCATCTACCTGAGTTCTAATTTGAAGTTTGAAACTAGTGTAGTGGTGAAACTATATATGTCTTGTAGAAAGACCCGCATGAACCGAACAATAAGAATGTAAAGCAACTCCTTAATATACTATGTATGACTCGTGATCCGAAACATGTCGATCCTTTGCGATGATCACACGGGAACAATGATTACGATTCGCTCATACTGTTGATGTCTCTAACTATCGATATTGTTGTATGCTGTATGCAAATGTCTTTGGCTATCAACCCATTGGTATAAAAGGGAGCCGCCGGTCTCTGAATTTTGAAGCATCATCAATCCACCATCTGAATCAATCAGCAAGAAAGCTCGTTCGTTTCTAGTCGTCTTTCAAGATGCAGCTCCTATCTCTTTTTACCTCCATGGCCCTCGTGTCTTCAGTCATCTCGACTGCGACACACGACCTGAACAACATGGTCGCTCGCGGAGCTGATCGCGGCACCGAAATCATTCATGGACTCGGGGCTCGTAAGCAGGCGATCTTGAAGGCCGGCGGCAACACTCGCGATATGGCTATCGCCATGCTCGAGACGTGAGCTCACTTCTTTTAGCCTCTGTATTGAATAATCCAGCTGACAAGTATTAGTACCAACATGGGCACCGATTACAACTATGGTATGTCGAAATGTTGACTGGCGAGACTAGCAGCGGCACTCACATTTATGCTTCTAGGTGACGGAAAGACTGGCGATGGTACCAACTTCGGTGTGTTCAAGCAGAATTGGTTCATCTTGAGACATTCTGCTTCTGATTTCCTGGGCAAGACCCCCGCCCAGGTTGATGAGGGTGTCATTCTCAAGTAAGTTCGAGTGTGGTTATATGCTCGTAGACATTGGCTAATACTTGATCTCCAGCACTGATCTGAAGAAGGACATCAAGGCTCGCCATGAGGGCGAGAAGCACTACGGCTATGAAACTTGGTTCAGCGGCCACCGCAATGGAGAATCCGGTGTCAACAACCCGGGCACTGCGGACATCAAAGGTGAGTTTTTACGATCCCCTAATTCATGGATTACTTGACTAAACTTATCGCTAGCATACATGGATGGTGTTGCATGGATTCAACAGCAGATTGAGAGTGATGAGAAGTTCCAGAGCGACGATACTCGTTTCTGGGTTGATGTTGTTGCCATCTAGACACCTCGGTAGAGAGCTTGTGGCTGGAAACCAGTTACGAATGCCTTGGAGCTACCTCCTGTACATTACCAGCTACGTCTATATTCTGTTGCACTCTTGTTATCTGGATTTTACTGGTGAAATCTTTGTACAAATACATTCCTTTATCACAGACTTCATCACAGACTTCATCATTTCTAGTGCTTCGTAGGTAGCTTTGTACATGCTCCCATTCAAGCCGTACGTCCTATCGAAACTTGAGCCAGAATGTTACAACGTGCCTCTGGACTGGCGAGTTACAAACTAGGCCAAGAGACTGCTACCACTCGCTTTTTGCCACTGGCACTTACCCCTTCTTACTATCCAACCATCCAACGACCTACGAATGGGTCATTTGTATTGGCCATTATCTGCAGACTATAATGTAGTACAGAAAAGTGAATTGTCAAACCATACACATCCAAAGGTCCAACGGAAATAGTAATTAGAGAACATTAAACAGATGAAAGTTTCACCTAAGCTGACATGATGGATCACACGAGGTTCAACAAAAATTTGTGACCCAGCATATGGGAACAGGAAGATAGAACGAGAGCCAGTATTTTTTTAGCTTTGCGACATCAATTGTTCTCATACCCTGCGTTCCTTTCTGTTCAAAGATACCCAGGTCTCGAAATTTTGTAAACCTGGGTATTCGCGTCTCAAGAGTGAAATATCGGCACCATATCCATCCTCGCGGAACCATCTGAACATGAATCTAAGATCCTTGACTGCTCTCAATAGTAGCCATGCCAGGAAACTTGAGCCTGTCGGCAATGCAGAGCCTGTTTGCACTCGCATTATGGAAGACGCTTCTTGGTGGGTCAGTTCATCACCCGCAATACTGATCGCACGCCCGACATATTCATCCGGTTTTGCAAAGGCTTGGGTCGCGAAGTGACCAATGTCAGAGATGGCGACGAGTTGCAGTCTCTTAGGATCAACGCTCATCCGCCATGCCGCTGCGATGAGTTTCCCTTGCATGTCGTCTGTGAGGTTCTCCATGAAGAAGACTGGGCGAAGGATAACATATCCCATTTCAGAGTTGTCGGCCTGCAAACGCAGATGATCTTCGATTTGGCGCTTGGTTTCAAAATGTGGGACAGGACTAGGTTCTCCTTCATCACTCCGTGGGCCCCCTCGGTCAACCGAGGAGTAAACAAAATGCTTGACGTTGTTTCTCAATGCGGCATTGACAAGACCCTTCCCCTGTGTCACCTCCGATTCCAAGCTTGCGGCCTTGCCGAATGGAGTCTGAACACTGAAAACACCCCACACTGGAGAGTCGATCGTCTTAAATATGTCATCAGGGGCATTGAGGTCTCCGGCAACCAATTTGACCGTGGGATACTTCTTGACCAAATTCTTTGAGCTTTGGGAATTGATATCTCGGGTCAAAGCTAGTATAGTAAATTCAGATCTAGGAAGCGCGGCGATCGCCCTGATTACTGCGCCTCCCTGGGTCCCAGTCGCACCAGTGATAAGGATAGTTTTAAACATATCAAATTCAAGATAGAAAATAGGACGGTGGATGGAAGGATATGAGAGAAGGTGCTTACGGCATTGGCTTTATAGCTCACACATGGCCGTGGTGCTTTATAAATCAACTCTACGAAGTAGCTCTAGTATATTCTCTACATTGAGAAATGATCGTTGTTTTCTGGTATCTAGGGCTTTGGATTGCCCCGAGGCCGATGATACTGCTTATTAAGCGGGAGGAAGTTCCAAGGTTGGTTCCAAGGTTCCAAACCTTATTAACTAACCTAAGGTGTTCAGTAAGTAGCGCAGACAAGAGAGCGGAACTCTCAACACTATAGTGAATGCGATATCTTACACCTTCACGTGGGGCCTTCTCAAGGCTCTATAATCTTTACAATATGTCTAACTTATTTTCAAGATCTCAAAAAGTTGAAATTGGCAGTTATTCAAAGCTATATAATCTATATGCGCACGTACATTCTAAAGGTTATAAAAAGTTACCTCCACCTTTCGAACTAGACTAGTCTCGCTCTGAGTACGCAAGGCCGTGAAGATATTTAAAGTTCCTATTGAGATATTTCCTCCCAAGATGTCGCGTTTCGTATAGTGCCCTGGGATGTGTCACATGTTGCACCCTTGCCGAAAAGGGTCGATTGATAATTCTTACGGATGAAGTTAAAGTTAGCTAACGAACTTAATTATCATTAACCTTACCCGTGGACCTACCTAGGTAGGTATAGCCCGCCTTACCTAGTTATTTGTCAGGGTACATACTACTAAGCTGAATGAACGACCCACAGATGAGCAAGGCTCGCACTGGAATTTGGCGCAATTCTTCTGTTCGACTTGAGACAAACTTTTGCACTGATGTTACCTATCGTACGATCAGTTCGGGCCTTACAAAGCCCAGTGCGAAAACCGATGGACTTACACTACGTCTCGAAACTGCTGTCACCATTTACACTATGATTGTTTCTTGGCCCCTGGTGCCAAGACCAACTAGACTGTATTAATGAATGCTCTATAATAGGAAAACACCTTTATCATTGATTATACGACTATTACTGTACATAGCCCGTGTTAGGAATTTCTCCGTCATATGTATCTAATTACATTTGAATATCTACTGCGATTTCGACTGCAAGAACTGCTCAAGTGAGATATTGTCCGGCGTAATATCTACAATTGAGATAATCCCCGTATGTACTAGCAGTGATGTGTTGGATTATATTCACGAATGCGTATTCAGGTCGATGAGAAGCAGAGGATAGGAAAATAATTCGAAGTACCGTAAATATAGAATACATGACCCTAGCCTATCTCAGATATTACTTTTCATCTTTCCCTTCGGCTGGCTTCTCAAACTTCAACCACTTCTCCGGCACCTCAATCTGTTCTGCTCCCTGAACTCCCCAGAGCCACTGCGTAAATTCTCGATACTCCCCCTTTGTCGAGCCGGATTCGGGGCCTAAGTCAAAAACTTTCCCAGACGCGGTTCCGAATATGGATGGCATGTGATCGCCAGTAAGCTTGTCGTTCAGAATCCGAACGCCGCGACCAGTCATTTCCATCATAGTATCGGCGTAGCGCTTCGTATATTCGTCGACAGAGTCGTTTTCTCTTCGAGGGACATAATTGTGTAATTCGCTTTGTAGGATGACCGAGTCAGGATTAGCACCCTCTGCAAGGAGGCTATCACGCTCCCGACGCGCTATAGTGGCGTAGTCCTTTGAAATCCTGTAAACTATGGGCTCCTCGTCCGACTCATGACGAGCTCCGTCGTCACTATAGGTTTGAGCGGATTCGGAGTATATCGCTTTGGAGTGTTGGGCCGGGACTTCTTGTTGCGACATGATAAATGTTCTAACTTTGAGTCCTAAGTCGTACTGATTGTAATAGTCTTGGTGGAAGCTCTGAGATGCTAGGAAATCAAGAAAACAACTTGAAAATGATAGCGATAAAGCAACAGCGCCAAAGGGGATCGATCAGAGTTAAACAAAGAGGCACAGAAATCATATGAGGTGGCAATAGTGGATAATTTGTATGAGCGAGTGGGGTTCGAATATGAGTAGGCAGTACCCTGTTTCACCCGTGCGTAAATGAGGGGACCACTGACGGACGATAGTAATTATGTAGACCTCTAGAGCTGTGGCATGTGCTCAGTGAGCGAATTATAGCACTTAGACCAAGCTTGGTGGCAATTCGCCGAGTATCCGTGCCCTTTCGGTGACCCCCACACCTACGGCAGGTTATTTGGGGGGGGGTGTGTTACACAGGGCGGTATGCGTGGTACCTCAGGCATTAACCCCAATCTAGTTAGATAGTTTAGTCCGAGAAGAAGTAGTCTATTCCAATACAACTCTCTCCCTTCTGATCCTCGAGTCTACACCTAGTAGTCTCAACATTTTCCATCAAGATCAACGAGGTTTAACAGTAAGAGATGGGTTTAATGACAGCAAGAAATCTTTCTCTGGCTTCTTGGGTTACCTAACTATAGACCAAGAGTATACTAGACTATGGACCTTAGCTATTATGATAGAGACCTAACTACTTATTACCTTCTGGATACTATGGCAGGCTAAGATATACTATAGACCTATTTCTTCTAAAACCAATATATACTAGATTCATCATTATTCCTCACTCATAGTATAGACCTAACTTCCTAACTATAGAGCAACAAGAACATCCTAGCAGTACCATACATATCATATTTTTATTCCCAAGGGTCCACAATTAATTTCTCGCTGCTGACTCCCTTGATCAGTACGTCGAATGCGTGCTCCAATCCGGCGAGTCCGCCAGGAATCTTTCTCGCGGAGACAGGGATCAGACTTTCCTGGGCAAGAGCCTGCGGAAGGTATGTGCTAAAAGTCCACTCGAGTAACTCTGCATGCTCCTTTTTGCCCAGCAGCAGCGACCAACTTCCAAATTTACGGGTAACGCCAGCAGGTAGAGTCTCAGGGCCAAACGCGGGCTGCAGTGCATAGATTTTTCCTCCTCCTTGCGCTGCAAGAACTTCTCCCGCGATCTTGATTGTCTCCGAATTCGAGATGGCATCGACAACAATATCGTAAGGACCGGCCGCAACGAGCGCTTTGACAGTCGTCTCGAAGGCCTGGGTGTGATCGATGACTCGAGAGGCGCCCAGACGGGATACAAAATCCTTATGTCGGGGGGACGTAGTTGTGATGACATCGTACCCAGCTTGCGTGAGGTACTGCACCGATAGACTTCCTAAGCTGGAAGTCCCTCCGTATATCAAGATTCGCTTGCCTTGGACTTGTGCTGAAATGCCGGGACTGGGTCTCACCAACCCCAAATCTGCATTGAACAGAGCAGTAATGGTGCTCAAGTTGCCAACCAGGCGGACCGCAGTGTCAAGGGCCGCCTCGCTCGGGAGTTTAGTAGCCGTAACCGCACGGCAGACTGCGAACCTCTGAAAGGCGCCGTATTTGTTCCCGGTCGTCCCTGCCGTTTTGACAGCGACAACTTTGTCGCCAACGTCAAAGCCGGTAACCTCAGCGCCGACTCCAATGATGGTGCCGGCAAATGAGCTGCCGAGAATACCTGGATACTGAATGGGAAGCATTGCAAATCTCGCTATCTTCGCGTCAATCGGCATGAGTGCAATACTCTCATTTTTGATAAGGAGCTCATCGGGCCCAGGCTGAGGTGTTTCGATCTCCTGGACCTCTAGGGGAGCCTTGGGGGCAGAAATGATGGCTGCCAAATGAGACATGATGTAGGGCTTTGCAGAGGCGATTTTGTGACTGGTAGAAATTCTGTTACCTGATGGTCAAGTGCAGATGGTCTGAGATAGATGTCAAGATGGGCGACTATGTGACTAATAAATACTCTGCCTCCTACCTGGCGTGATCCAGGCAACGATTGTAGTAATGCACTAGAAAGGCAGGCTTCATAAGCAGAGTGGGACAAAACACAGGCCATCTGCTCGAAAGTGGGCTCGCCGAGAATACTATGACAGTAAGATTTGTGCCATGCTTCGAGCACAAGCTAGGTAGCCAATGGCTAGAGTTTGTAAGCCTTAAGAGGTCAGTCGGCATGTCGGCCATGTCTCTTCCGTCATTCCGACATCCGTATCTGCTTTGATAATGTCCACGGGCTTCCAACCCTGGCAGGTTACCTAGTCTTAGTCTTTGATACGTACTCGGCCGCTTTTCATCGGATGCCGAAAATTAGTAATCACCGTCTATGCCCGTTCTCCGTTGTGGGTCCAGTGCCAAAATCCGCCGTCCTTGGCGCTATGGAAAGAGTGCACCTTCCTAGCCCGCAGAAAAGGGGATACAGCAATACAGATTTGTGAGCTCTAGGAGAGGATGCGTGAGTATCAGCACTGGCTATGTATTGAATTCGAACAAAAACAAATTGCCAAATTTGAAATACAATTCGATATATTGGATACGCAATATAGTTGGGCGGTCGACTAGGTTGAGGCGCGGGCAACTGATTAGGGGTGTTTTCCATTGAAGGCTCTTAAACCTCCGGCCTATCTCTCACATGTGGATGTTCTAGATATGACATGCGATGAAGGTCTTCATCCTGAGCTTGATAATCCGAGTTTCGAGTTGTTCGATATGCGATCGATATTCATTCTCCCACTTCACAACAGTGTCCACGAGTGATGTTTCCCAGTTTCTTGGAATACGTCACGCAGTAGCGGTCAAATTCTTTGGCCCAATATAACAGAGTCTTCCCAAGGTCAGCCTCCAGCATCTTGAACGGAATCTTCAAGAGGTTAGGACATTGCCGCTGATTGTCTGCGCTCATTCTAGTAACCTGGCTGTCTGCGAAGGTACGGCTCATCTGCCATGAAGCAAGATAGAAACATGAGCGATCCTTTCCTAGGTGTCTCCTGGAATTTCTAGGCTTTCCGGAGAAGAAAGGTCAGCCATTGGACGCCAGAAAACCGCGCACCACTATGAGAATATACATCGAGGGGTTTTGGAGGTGGAGAGACAGGTATGAGTTGGACGGTGATATGGTTTCTTTCTAGTTGAGGTCACGTATCAGGCAGGTAAAATCGATCTCGAGGGAAGAAAAGGGCCAAGATAGACGATCTGCTTCAAAAAAGCCGCGCAATGTGGCAAAAGCACGTGGCAATCCCACCTGTGAGAACAAATTTGTGCAGTGCTAATAGAGAATGTTTGTGAGGCGGACGGTCAGAGGTTCAGGCACTTCGCCGTTGATGGCGTGAAGGCGGTGAGGCCGAGCGCAGAAGACGCGATGGAGGATGCGTCGTAGGGTTGGGTGTGGCGATCACGTGACACATGACTTGCACCATGTTGCACTCATCTTCCATCTTCCCCTCCTCCTTTCCCCTTCTTAGTCTATCATCACCACCAATAGCATTCCATCCTGGGTAGTTACATGTCTACCTATTATGGTAGCCTATCCCATTATCAGGTTATACAGCTCTCAACACAATTACTTCTAAACGATTTATAGGTTGTTATTGGCTGTCAGTACCTCGGCCCGTCCCGCAATCCATCGGTCGTATTATGTACATATCTGTAGGGACATACTTAGTTGCACTCAGTGATCAAGAAGCGGCAAGAGGTAAGCATTAAAACGGAAAGGGAAAGGTCTCGCGTGCTAGGCATTATCAGGTTTGTATGTGGAAAGTTGTTAGCGAATGGGACACTAGTTTAGGCCGATAGAATGTGGGGCGGTGAACAACTGCTATCGAACAATTAGCATTAAATTTCCTTTCCCCCTTCTGTATAGCGATAAATTCCTGAGCTGTCCTTATAATGTCAGAACAATCTAAGAGTTCCATCGCATGTGGATGGACGGTCGACCAGCAAGAATAGTGCTTTTACTCGAGCCATGTGAAACTCTTGTATGGTGCAAGTAGGCGGGGAGTGTGGTCGGTCGAATTTGATGTTATTTTGAAAGAACGCACCGATGAAGGACCGAAAACCGAGGTGGTCACCCTAAATCACCTTGCATCCTACCCCAATATCCCTGTTTCGAAGATAATTCGTGACTGGGTCGACGGCAACGAACGGTACTTTGTGCTCCAAGAGCGGATACAAGGCGAAACGCTCGAGCAGGCCTAGCCTTTGTTATCGAAATCCCAGAAAGTGAATATCGCAGATAGCGTCGTTGAAATTCAAAAGCAGCTACCATCTCTTCAATCAACATCTATACAAAGTGTTGATCAAAGCCCTTGTTTTCCCGGTCTACTCTTTTCTGACCGTGAGCCGCACGGCCCTTTCCATTCTGACAACAAACTCTGGGAAGCTATAACTCTTACTCTTCAAGTCCCTCAGCGAGCCCTACACAATCTAAGGAAATGTCTACCTAAATGTGGGCCCTACATTCTTACTCTTTGTAACCTCAATCTGGGGAACATCATAGTGAAAGATGGAGGGCTCGCTAGGATTCTCGATTGGGAATTTGCTGCATATTACTCTATCTGGTATAGACATGTCTTAGCGCCTTGTGGTAGACAGAGCAGGACGCCGAATGCAAAGAAGTTCTACGAAAGCGTATGCGTGAACATGGTGACGGACATTATGATGCAAAGGATTTTTGGACTAATCTCCGGCAGTTGAGAAAGTACCCAAATTTGAATGAAAAGGGGCGAGAGGTTTGGAGAGGCTGTCTGAGGATTAATCGCAAAGGGGCATACATAGTCACCCCCCTATGGATTTCGCTCATGATATTGCGAGGTCATTACATGCTGCCTCGTTTTCACCAAACATGATTCACCCAAATCCACACCCAATTATAATCCAAAACCAAAGATCACAAGGCATTGGCGACAAAAGCAGCAAAGTTAAAAAAGCTAGAAAGACATGAAGTCCATCCTGAACAAAGTACTTAGACAATGCTTACTCTACTGCAGCTCAAGGTGCGTCGGCGGGTGGCGTGTTGCTAACTCCTGCGGAGGCACAGTAGCGACTTGCCCTGGCAGGGTCCCGTTCTTGTCCAACGATGGGATAAACGCTTCCGTAGGGCCCAAGCTAGTTGCCACCCTGCTCCGTCGGCGATGGAAGAACCAAAAGGCCCCGATGACTCCAAGGCCGAGCGGAATTCCCACGCCTAGGCCTACGCCGAGACCCACGCCGAGGTTATTATTGCTCTCACTTTTCCCTGTTGACGCAGGCGGCGCCGAAGTCGGAAAATGTGATTCCGTAATTGTAATTGTAGACGCGGTTGATGGAGAGTTCGCGAGTACAGTTACAGCGTGAACTGATCCGAGTGAGAAGTTCCCAGTATTGCAGCTGCACTGGCCTTCCAGGCCCTTGCAGCAAAATGTTCCGCTACCGCAAATACTAACACCGTTTCCACCGACTAGATGAAGGAATTAGTTTATACTAGTTTAGAACTGGCCATCGATTGGGATTTGGAATCCTAACGGGCTCCTACCAATTCGGATATGTGCGCAGTCTGACGGGCACGCCGGAACGGAATTGTTCGACCAGTCACGTTCGGTGCAGGTGTTTAGCCAGTAGCTCGTTTGACCATCCTCCTTAATATCCATACAGAGCCCATTATTGGAACAAACCTCCCCAGGGCCGCAACACTGGGCGGGGCTCCCATCGGCCGAGCACGGAATTCAATTCACGTCTTCGCTTCCATCTGAATTGTAGCATTTGGCCATCCTATTGTTTTCAAGGCTTGAAGCGCTGGATGGCGGGAGAGTGTAGAGGGCTGGATGTTGGAGAGGATGTGATGAGGACAGAGTTAGAGCAGGTGCGACCTCGATTGTCATGCGGCACACGGCTTGCTAGTTGGGCTAGCTGCCTCTGCGCCCCAGAGCGATGGGCGTGGGAGACTAGCAGACCCCAGTTATGTCAATTTGCCCACGCAAACAGACATGGATTTTGATTCGCGAGGTCTGCAGCTGCCCAGGCTCTAAAGGGGTGCGTGCGCTCTTCATTTTTAATAAACGAGTTCAAATTTTAGTGCATCTAACATAATGTTCCAATACTCTATATGGAGTTGACCAAGAGGAGGAATTAGGGAAAGCCCATATTAGAGGATGGAATCAACCGACTGCTTCTCGATAGTGCGCCCCCGAGGGCTAGATACGTCACTTCGGAAAGACAGGATAAAGGAAATTGCTAATTCTGACACACAACGTATCTGTAAATTATTGGGCCCCGTTAAGGGTAGATACGGGAGATAGGCCGTGCGAGTCAGCCTCAGAGTAGCGCCTAGGCATAGGGGTATTGCACATATGTATACTCCGTATACCCTACAAGGTGACATGCCAAGTGATAATTATAGCGGAGGGGGGGAGGCGATCATCGGCCACTATTTTCGGGTTACTATTTTCAGTCATCGTCGACAAGCTTGTTATCCGATGGGAAGCCCGGTATAAAGCTTTGGGACGATGCGCAACTGAATATATACAGCTTGACAGAGAGATAAAGGACACTTTGGTTGATACCCATAAGTAGAGATTCACGTCCTTGAATACATCCTGTAATCTTAATGACCTGGCAGATCATATTTCGTACATGTCGTGAATCCCATTGCAAAGGTTCCCATTTGCCTTGGCGGACTATGAGGCCGAAGATACCTTGAAGCTGGTTGTATGGTCCTGCCAATTGTGGTTATATGCAGATGCCAAGATGTGGCGTGTTTTAGGTAGAGGGGTATAATGAAATAATATTCTGGTTTTCATTAGTGGGGTTAGGTGTGATGGTAGCGCGAATTAGGTGATTCTCAACCTCTCAATCGAGCACCCTTCTCAACTCCACTCGCATATAAAGTGGCTCTTACCCTAAACCATTGCCGATGACACTAGGGTACATTGCCGAACCCCTGAATCTCTTGGCGAACGCCGAAAATGCCTCCACTTCAGATGGACTTTCAGTCGACGTAAGAGGCTGGCGCTTAATAGTGTATAGTGGAATCAAACTCCTTTCCCTGGATCTCGCTACCAGCTAGTATAGTCTCGATGCTCTATTATATGACATGACTGCGTATTCGTGTGCGACTTATCGGACCTTGGCTGAGATCTGTGGGGAAAATTCTTCCCATGAAATGCTAAGAAAACTCGCGTATTCGGAAACGGTGTTGAAACCAGTTGATACCTTCGGTGTCTACAGGCACTACGCCGATCGGACACTACATTAGGCGTTATATATTGCCTCGCCTGTAGGATCGATTCATTTAGATTAACTTTAGATTTAGTTACTCCATAGATTCATTTAACTTCATCTATTCAGATCTACAACAAGGCTTGGCGATACAATGAAAGAAGATGAACTAATTAACCCCAAGCGCTAATGGATGATGGATCTGTTCCAGGGGTAAGTGTAGTTCAAAGGTGTATAAATAACTTAGTAGCCTCCTTCTCTTTTCTAATCCTTGGCAGGTCCGTTTATCCTTTTTTCAGTCACTCTTTACACGATACCATAGTCACTCTTTACAATGCAGTTTACTTTTGCCCTGTTCACCGCAGCTGCGCTGCTGACCCCTGTCTATTCCACTGGACTCAAGCTCGAATCATGCACTACCAGCCAACAGGCCGCAGTCGAAGCCGCCGTGCAACGCGCCGCTTCTCTCTCCAAGGCCGCCGCTGACGCCGCTATCAACGGCGACGCTAGCATCTTCGAAGAGTACTTCCGCACTACCGACACCGCATCCCGCAAGGAGGTTGCCGCCCGCTACGAGGCCATCGCCAATGAGGCCTCCAACCTCAGCAGCGGCAATGTGACCTACAACTGCGGCAATGGCTTGAAACAGAGCGAGTGTGGCGGCGGCAGGGGTACCCTTGCCTACGCTGTCTCTGGCAACAACAAGATCGTCAACTGCCCGGACTGGTATAAGATTGTGCCCGCCATCTCCAACTGCGGCGGCACTGATCAGGGCCTCGCCATGATCCACGAGCTCTCGCACATGGCCGACGTCTACAGCCCGCCCACCCAAGACTTCGCGTACAAGTACAACGCCCTCGTTGAGCTTCCCAAGGATCAAGCTATCCTAAATGCCGACACCTACAACCTCTACGCTGGTGGTGAGTTTTGCTTTCTTCCCCTGCCCATCCTGACATGTAACTCGTTTACTGACTGCATCATCCAGCAATCGATCTTGACTGCCAGAAGGGTGAGAGCAAGCAGGTTGAACTCCCGGATTGGATGATGGATGAGATCCGAAAGGCGAACCAGTAGACTTTGGCAGAGTCCACTCAACCCAACTCAAAATCGGTTTTGGTCCAATTCTATAAACCAACGATGCGTTTTGGGTAACCCGTTGGGGCCCTAATAAGCCGTAAATTAGCCAAATTTTATCAGCCAGTTCTTCAAGAAAAATAGCGCATTTCAACTAGAATAGTATTATGTTTCATTCTCGATTCGAAGTCAAGTGAGGCTCTTTTTGGGGTCAGCGGCCAAAAGCCGCAAATGCCGCCAAAGACCGAGACCGAGCGCCGACTAAAGTTCCGTGCTATCAACTACCGCGCTTGGTTGTAGATTGATCGTATTCATGGAGATATAATACAAGGGCTATCCCCTCGAGCTGTTGTCACTCCCTGCTAATCTCAGACGCTGCCGCTTTGCGTTCTTTGAATTTCAACCTTTTTTGTTCACTCTCTAAGAATACACTCATCAAATACAACCACAGTCATTTCTCGGCTCTCATCACATCAATCTCAGCCCATCATGGCTGCGTCCCTCAAGTCCGCACACAATATCACTGTGTTCCGAGGATTCCCCGAAAAAGGCTGTTACACCTGGTCGCCGTTTGTCACTAAGCTCGAGGCCCGCTTGCGATTTGGAAATATCAGCTACAATGTCGAAGCAGGTTCGCCCTTAAAAGGCCCTAGGGGCAAGGTGCCGTATATCACACTCGAACGTGATGGCCAGTCGCAATCTATGTCCGACTCCACCCTGATTGCAAAAGCATTCATTGAGTCCGGACACCTAGAGGATCTCAATCGAAGACTATCTGCCGTGGAGAAAGCCCAGGACCTTTCCCTTAAGGCTCTGCTGGAGGACAGACTCTATTTCTACCAGGGTCACGAGCGGTGGGTCTTAAACTACTACACCATGCGCTCCAAAATCCTGGCTAGTGTCCCCTGGCCTGTGCAGGTGATTGTCGGCAACATAATCTACAATAAAGTCGTCCGCAATATGAAAGGTCAAGGAACAGGCAGCTTTACAACCGAGGAAATTGCAATATTCCGGCGGGAAATCTGGGAATCTGTCAACGCACTTGTATCGGCTGCAGATACCCAGCATCAGGATCGGGAAGGGCCGTTCTGGGTCTTGGGCGGCGATGCCCCCACAGAGGCTGATGCAGTGGTGTTTGGCTTTGTAATATCAGGTCTGGTTTGTGAAGCGTAAGTACCATTTTCCAATGTGGTATACTTGCCTTGCGGTACACCCACCCAATGATAGGCCATGCTGACCTTTCTAAAGCTCTCCTGAAACCAAGGATGTTGTGAACAGTTACCCGGCGTTGGTAAAGTATGCTCGGAGGATCCATGACAAGTATTTCCCGGATTATCAAGGTTGGGAATGAATTTGGATTGTTGGAGTGCTGGGTTCTGCTCTTAGATTTAGAAGCGACACTGTACCGAGGTAAAACAGTATCATTGCATGTAGAGTAGTCGGATTTAAGCAATATATCTTTCAGGCATTGATCATGTTTGAAGTCACTAACGTAATCTTTGTTTGAATTAACTCAGGAGGTCGGAGCTAATCAGCAATTCGTTCAATTAGAAGGCTGGATTAGAACAGGCAATTCAAGCTTGCGGTGTAGGTGCGACAAGATTTCAGAGTAGCCAGGCTCATTTTCAGCATTCAGGATCCCACGCTGAATGAGGAATTCAACAATAACAATAGCACTGTTTGGCTTGAACCGTCCTCCTTTCAAAGCACAGACCACTTCCTCAATAGTGTAAAGCCTGAATGACTCTACTTCAGAATCTCTTGGCTTTGGGATCATGCTTGGATCTAATTCGAGTTCATATGTATACTCGACCTCTGGTTGGAATAGGCCGGTCTCTCCTCCAGCTTTGTCCCCACGGATGTGGAAATAAGTGAGATGGCTCATTGGCTTGACTTTCATCTTCACTATTTCTTCTGGTATGGACGCCTCTTCTTGGGCTTCGGATATGAGAGCCTCAATAGGTAGCTTCCCGGCAGGCAGACCGCCGGCGGCAGTGCTATCGAGCATACCTGGGTACGTTTGCTTTCTTGCTGATCTCTTTCCGATCCATAATCGAAGACCTTGTTTGTCCCTCACGTAAGAAAGAAGTTGGACGCCGTAAGTCACAATTCCAAACAAGGCACTTGCGCAACGCTCTATTTCAAGAAGGACTTCTCCCTCTGGGCCATAAACTGGGAAAGTTTCATTGCGCCAGCTTTCTAGCATTGATATTACAGCTAACTTTCTGGTGGCTTTGAGGGTATCCTCAAGCACCGGAGAGCGCATATCGGCTGTGGCAGTAGCTGGCGTAGCTAATGTGACAGTTTTTCCGCCATGATCAATTGACCACGTGTCGGACCATTGGATTTTCTCAACGATTCCCCGGGTAATATATCCTAATATGGCACTGCAACCGTTCACTTTGAAGGTGTACGATTTCTCCAGAATCCCTAGTTCATCGTGCGAAATGAAGCTAAAGATCAACGTTAGTACAAGATGGAAAGAAGCATCAAAATTTCTTACTTGTCACATTCCTTAACTATATCTAGGATGGTCGTCATTTTTACTGCGAAAGTCGGGATACTGGGAAAGTTGAGAAAGGGGTTCTTGGCGATTCCAAGCTCCACAGGGAATCGTCTTCCCAGCCCCCAATTGTTAGATCGCTTAGCAGACATTTCACCCTTTCCTATACCCTACAATATCCTGTCTTCTCAATCAAAATCAGATATTTCTCCTCTTAGCATCACGTCTCTCTGCCACAGCGAGTCTTCCCATTCTCTCCAAACAGGCCCTTAGGTCAAACGTTGCCTGGCTCAAATTCTTCCGGTTTGATTTGAACTAGGATATATATCTGACATCGTCTCCGGCATCCTTTCCATTAATACAGCAGTTGCGACCGGGGCCTGCTTGGTAGTTTTGTGTTTATTATGATATCGACTCTACAGCTTACTATACTATTTGTTAGTTTGCTAGTTTGTTTAGAAATTTGCAGGTGCATAATTACCCTGTCCTGTCCCTTCATGGATTTTACAATACAGGCCCATCCTGCTTTATCTCTCAAGATTGTCCTAATCTATGTCATAGATTTTCATCATCAAATCCAGTGGTATCAATTCCTAACCCCGGTCCTAGAGTATCACATGACTTCACCGTATCACCATGACATTATCCTATAAGTGACTTATGCCTAAGGCTCTCGTCAATTTCAGTGACCGAAAAAGGCACATTTCTCCCATAATGAGCCAATATACTCTAAGAGAAGAAGGTCTCCCTCCTACAACATCAAAATACAAATATCAAGATATAGAGCAATGTCTCCAATGCGTTGAATTTGAGTTGGAGCGGTATATGTTAAAACCTGCCCCTGGACTGGCGAGTTACACACTAGGCCAAAAAGACCACTATATCTGAGCATTATGCTCAAATATTACAGGCTCCGATATATAAAGTGCATGAGTGGCAGTATAACCGACATGGCCAACCTGCTGACTACTCGTATATTATATTTGACAATGTGGATGAGCTTTCCTTCCAGGAGTGCAGCCTCCTTTCTCATTCATTCGTGACATACAACTTCACTTCTCTCGCTACTGTCGTCAAATTACCGACTAATATGCATGAGGTCGCCCATCGTTCTTTCGGTGAAATTTTTGCGGCTTGGTCTCGTGGTCAGGAAAGTCGTCTTGTGCCTATAGGTCGTGCATCTAGCTGGAAGAGCTCAATCAAAGTACCTGGAAGAGATTTGAAGTGGCCGACAATTATTGTTGAAGTAGGTTGGTCTGAGTCAGAGGCCAAGCTAAAAGAAGATGTTTTGTTCTGGCTCCGTGAATCAAACCAACAGGTTAAAGTCGCGCTTACAATAAAGGTCAAAAAGAAAAGGAGTATTACAATTGAGCAATGCAAACTCGACCCAATAACTAGCGGGGCCTCTACTATCCAAGCAATCAAGGTCTTTTGGAAGGGACTTACTGGCCCGGACCAGTACCACATCTCCGGCTCGATGGATATCCAATTCGAGGATTGCTTCCTTCGCGCAAAGAGGGGCAGCGAGACCGATTTTCATTTATCAAACGACGATATGAAAGAAGTTGCAGAGACTGTCCGGTTATCTTGCTCTTTATGGAATGGCTCGCCTGCTGTTGGAGCTAGAAGTGGAGAAATGGAGAAAGTTATACGAATCGTTCTTGGTCTATATGTAGTTATATAACTACCATAAAAGGCCTTTACCAAATCAAAAAATATATGATAAATATCATATAAAACCCGAAATGGTAATATTAAGCCTCTAACTGTTAAATACTATGGACCTGACAATTGTGAGGCATGCTGACAGAGAATATCACCGGCCTAGGCATGGGTAGTACGTATATCCAGGCCTTGCTGAGGGACCATTGGTATCTCATCAGCCCTTCAATCCTGTAATTCAAGCTCCATAATCCCTGTCGTGTCACGGGTAGGCGCCCAAATCTTAGAGATCTTCAGACCAACCGAGCTGAAGAGTCGAGTCCACATCGCCTCCGTACGCTCTATACCAGGGCATACGGCCATAAGAATCATATCAAGCATAGTTTCGGTATAACCAGCATTGATTTCAGGGAGCACATTTTCTTCAATCAAGATCTTTGAATAGCCTCTTTCCATCGCCCCCACTATATTGAGTAGGATCTTGCGGCAGTTTTCATCGGTGTAGTCGTGAAGAATCCACTTCAGGTAATAAGCACGTGCTCCTTGACGCTAATGTTAGAACGAACGAGAATTGGACTTGTAACAAAGGGTCTTGCTCAAACATACCTTTCACTGGCTGAGCGGTGAAAAAGTCATGCTTGACTCTCTGGATATCACTATCCAGGCTCTGGATCTCGTCTATGACCCAGGGCATTTCTGCAAGGACCAGTGGTCCAGGGAGCTGGGGATATCTTAGCTTCAGTCCCATGAGATCGTGGCCACGACCTCCGCCGATATCCACCAAAAATGGAGTGCGACCATCGCACCGGGCTCCGTCAATCAATCTATCTTGGACAGGGAACCATTCAGCCCAGTGACTGAAATGAGCTCGAGTCCCTTCCATGAAGGTATTGAACCGGGCCAAGGCCGGCGGATTTTGACCTAGCCATTCGAAAAATGACAGCTTCGTGTCATACGCGCGTTGGAAAGGCGCGTTTCTATGGTCGCCTGGGTTTTTATATTGCGTTTGACTGAGGAACATAGGCGTTTTATGATACGCAGGTAGGAGATCCATGAATCTAGTGTGATCATTAGCGATAACTTAACATGAAAAAGGTAGGAAGTAGCTTTTTACAAGGAATCAACGACCCCAATGGTTTTTCTTTCGGTCATTTGCTTAGCCAATGCAGTCGGAAGATACCGACCAGACGACTCCTCGGCAGCAAACCCATTGGCGTTAAGCACACGCATGATCCTTTCTTGTATCTAAAAGTTAGTCACCGATCACCTAGAGGGGATAGTGACAAATATACCGACAAGGACCTGATCGGCGCCTGTAGGTGCCGCAAGCTCCTCGCAGGTCACAACCGACGTAGCCTTGCTCAAGCAAGCAAATATGCCCATGTCGTGAGCTATTTTGATGGCCATAGGGATACCAGGCTTATTTGCAAGAGTCATTTAGTCAGAGTTGAAGTTTCATCGTGTAGTTGTAAGGGGCCAGCTCACCGACAAGAATACATCCTTTATCAGATGGGCTGGAGCTTGCAAGACCCTAGTGAGATGTCTAGCCTCCTCCAAAGCTTGCAACCGATCATTTTCGTCTCCCGTAGATTGGAATTTTGAAACGGATGATGCGACTCCCTGTGATAGGGATGAGAGATCTTCACTATTGAGCGTCATTGTTCTGATAGTCGATAGATAAGGCAGTAGCAGATAAGTTGAATTGGCTCAAGCAACCTTCCAGGGAGCCTGTTAAATAGTAAATTGAGCCTCTATATTACAACCTTCAACCCTCCATCTGGGGAAGGTTTAGGAGCGGTGCAACCTCGCTATCTTGTTTTTACAACTGATTTCTCATGTGTGATCAATAGATTTCTATAGCGTACTCTATTCAATGGCAACTCCCCGGGTGTGGGTGAGTATTCAAGGAATCATTTCCTCTGAGGTCGCACGAGCGTTCAGGACTTGGAAAGCTTAATATTGTTTATCTAGTGACTCTACTTTGTCCCTAGCTGATTTGGTGCCCAGTAATCTCATTGATACTATCCTTGCTTCGTCTATGGTTTAGTATATGTATTCGATAATAATATCGTTAGATATTAAGTATCCTTAAAACGTATTCCATACATAACTATCTATTGCCTAGTTAAATAAGATTTATGTACATAGTTATCGTAGACAAGGTGGTAACTAATACTGCTATTGTCGACATCTACCTCTTTCCTACCCTACGGGATAGTGGTCGAGGATGCAGTGATCTAGGAGTCTATTTCGCGGCTTACCTATGCATATATCCTCCTTATTACTAGAGGCAGCAAAATCCTTAAAGAGGTCCGTGTAGTTCAAGAAAAACGAAAAAAGAAAAGAAAACCTTATTAAAGGGTAGGAGTAAAACAGCATAATCCGTAATCTATTAGACTAGATCTTAGCCCACTACCCTCGCTATCCCCCTGATAAAGGGTTTTACCAAGGCTTGTATCTAGCAAATCCCTCATTAGAACCTTGGAGTGAGTTCAGTTATATCAATAATACCTTACAAATAAGAATATTCTCTTAGGTATAGCTACGAATCTAACGGATTTAACATATACGGTTAACTATATAATCTCATTATATGAGGAGTTACTTGTGGGTGGGTATTAGAGCTTTACACATTATTAGGCGCGTGTGCAAAACGATTCTGCCGCCCAGGTGTTAGAGCATCTCATTTTGGTGGTGCAGAACCATTTCAAAAGTGTGATTGCAGGGAGTAGGCAGCAATATGAAGCTGCGCTATTTAGTACAGAAAAGGGTCAAGGGGCATGTTTTGTTTTATTTCAAGTGTGCGCGGTATCGCTTGGATAATCTGGATGTCTTGTCATGCATAGTATGTCTAATACTTTCTCATCTACTCCGAGGAGTGACCGGCGTTTAGAGGTGTTCCAGATTTATGGTCATGTTTGGCATGCGCCAAGCAACTGTCATGCACATCACTCAACTGGACACGGACTGGGGGCTGACTGCATCGTTTTCTACAATACCGACATAAACCTGTGGGCCGACCCACTTAATCTCTTTTCAGTGCACCTAGAAAAGGAGCGGAGAGGCTGTGGAAGTGAAGGTCTAGATTTAGCGATGGCCAACTGTGGTATACAATGACGTATGCCTAAAGACCCAGTCTTGGAGATATTGTGAGTTCATCTCTTCTCGGTATTATACAGGCTGAGGCTGTTTGTGAAAGGTTGGGCGCCTGGGACATCGATTCGGGGCTAGGCAGTCCTACATGGAGGAACCTCAGTTGATACCTGTCGATCTTCTCAATGAATGAATATTCATGGATAACTGTAGCGGTTACTAAGTATCTACCCACTGCCCATTTTCCCACCAAAACTGACCAACTTTGAACCCTATTCTCTCAATAAATTTATATTGTAATAATTTTACTGATAATTTCCAATAAAAGATCATTATCAGATTCGTAAACTATCTCTTTCCGAATGGTCCAATATATATGGCTGTTGAGTGACAAGTATTTGAAATCCAAATGTCAAGATAAATTGTTATTATATATAGCGAGAGCTGGTGGCTCCTATGCTAAACTACTTCATTAGAACCTCTATCATGACTTTGAAAATTGGCCACACTCTATGAAAATTATTTACGGATACAATTTTATAATATGTTACATTGGGCTTCCAATTATGAATAAGATAAATAATAAATACGAATAGGGTATAATATAAATTCATCGAAAGAATAGGCTTCAAACTCGGTCACTTTTGGGGCAGTGGGTAGATACTTAGTAGCAGGGTCTATAGCATAACACTCCAACTCGGTGGTTTCTCTACGCAGATTTTAACAATACGAGTATGTAGCAATTTCCCTCTCCATCGTCTGCTTACGTTTGACACCCCCCTCCAACAGTCAAGAACGACTCTGAAGACGCGAGCTTCTCTTTCTTCCAGCAGCTCCTCTCTTTGCTTCTTTCAATTATTGGTATTTAGAAGAGTACTCTCTTCCAGATACCTCTCCAATCCCCCCGACCCTGCTCCCAATCCAATGTTCGTCGAGAAACTTACAGATCCACAGTCTTTCGGATTTCGCGGTGATAATGATCCAATGGCGGATAGCTTTGGGGAGGCACAACGGATGGAAATGGCGTCCACTCAGAAGCGGATGAATTAGGGTTCTCGTGCAGCCACAATCTCTTTCCGAGAGGCTGTCAATCAAAATCAGGTTTTATCCCAGGGTTTCTCTCAGTCGCCTTAAGCCCACGACTACAGCTGCATCGATCAACTTCCCAACTATGCGTATAATCTAGACCATATCGCCCTATTTGGGATCTCGAAATTATCCAACTGGTTCACGAGTTACTGTCTACTCATGATTTTACGAACCGATTCCACTGTCTTTCCGCAAGCACCTCAATTCCCTGGCTTATAGCAAGCGATCGGAACTAGGCGATGAACGCGAGTTAGAAGAGAAATAGCAGGTGACAGAGAAATGGCCAGTGAAGCGATTAATCTAGTCGCTGAGGTATCTACCATCCTGGACTGCCTGCCTAAATTCCTGGCCCCGTGGAAGTGGGTGGCTGAAGCGTTTCATCAGAAGCAGGTTGACTCCTTCGAGTACATTATGGAGTTTGCCTTGAAGGCCTCCTCGCGGAATTGGACTAAACGGGTCGAGGAGCTGAGCAAGGGCTATGAGTTTGATTGGCCGGAGTGTGGGTATATCATTGCTGCTATTATTCAATTCGGGAAAAGACACGATCGTGGTAGCTAACCATTGGTCTCTGGATGTGGATGAAGCATTTTGTAATCGCCCTGAGGAATTCAACCTAGACCGCTGGATTCAAAACCTTAATCTCCCTCTTGGTGCCTTCGGGTTCCTGTCAGCGGTTCTGTCCTGGGTAGCACATTTGGCGTAATTCTCTGTTCATTGCTATCTCACGACTGCTCTGGGCGTTCGACTTCAATTATGCATAACATTATGGTAGGAAGCTAGAGATAGAGTCCCTGGACATGACTCAGGGAGTTAGTTCTGGCCCCTCGCCATTCAAAGCATTGATCCAGGTTCGTGGTGCCGATATTCAACAGGTCATTGAGCAGGCAGGACTCAAGCGGAAAAGGATGTTGGTCAATACCTCCACTTTATTTCGGATTTTTAGTTGGACCACATTGTCTATATCAATAAGTATCCATAGTCATTGTGATAAAATAATAGGAGCTTATGTTCTTGCTCTCGCTCAGCATCACGGCATATATATATCCAAAAATGATGATTTACATATTCAACCCCATTTAGCAAATGTACCATTGAGTCGGCCCAAATATCACTCTAGTAGATGATACTCGTAACCATCGACTTTGTCCACCGCATCGGCAATACGCGATCCCTCTCCTTCGAACAGCATCCCATCGTAAGTTGCTGCGCCTATAACACAACCAATAATAGGGGCGAACAGGGGAACAACAAAGTACCAGTTAGCCGCGGTAAACACCTCTCGGCCATAGATGATAGCAGAGAACAATCTGGGGCCGAAGTCTCTAGCTGGGTTAAGGGCCTGTTGTTATTAATTAGCAACACTTCCTTGCCTGATAATCTGGTGAACATACATAGCCAGTCTGCCAGCCTAATGCGGCTCCAATCATAAGCAGCAGCATAAACATAGCGAACTGTGGGGCAGGGAATCGACGAGCATTTGCCGGATCAGAGATGCTGAGACAGCCGAACATCAGCACAGCTGAGCCCAGCACCTCGGAAAATACAGCCTCCCAGTTCGACTCGAAGTAGGAGCCTGGGTAAGTCGAAAAGATGCCCGCTGAATGATGGCCCACCGGGCTCAGGATTGAACCTCCCGGAATAGTGTATTCAGGATCCCATGCTTTGATCGCCGAACGGTAGTTGATATACACGATGGCAGCGCCGACAAACCCGCCCAGGAACTGCGCGACTAGCTTGCCTGGGATTTGTTTCCACTGTCCTTCGGATGGACGCACTAGTGCAAGGCACAGAGTTACCGCCGGATTGATCGTCGGGCTGGGATCAGCCAAATAGCCAGAGAGAGAGACGGCAGAGGCCCACGCGAGGTTGATGGATAGCCAGGTGCCGTATTGGTACTCGGACAGCAGACATTGGGCGACAACTCCGTCCCCGATGACAATTAGGAGGGCGGTCCCGAGAAATTCCGCCGCATATGGCTTCAATGCTGTCCGACGAGGAATCATTTCGATCATGATATTGAAATTCGACTGGGATGCCAACCATGGGGCCAACCATGGGAACCCCTGACTTTTGTGGGGTATGCCAAGACGGCAGAAAAAGGCGGAAAAAAGGGTAAACAAGCAGATTTTTTTCTAGTTAGGGGGGGAAAAGATTCTTTTATCTGACACTACCAGATTACTTACACTTGCAAATCGTACTCATAAAAGACTTATGGATTCTTGACAGAAAGTTGAGTACTCTTTGTTTAATTGTGTATGAGATGTTACTAGGATTCATCGACCCGATAGACTAGCTTGGAAGCTCGGACTTTACCTTCCCGCAATATCTGGAGACCAGCCAATGCTCCAGCCAACCCGCCTGGCTTCACCTGATATGGATGAGGGTGAATGCGACGCTCCTCAAGCAGCTGCTGCGCTAATTCCCACCATTCGATTCCAAATTGCAAGTTAGTGCTATCAGGAGATATCTCTTTTGCTCCCATGCGGTAAGGCTCTCCGAAAACATCATACGCCATTGAGACATGTGAATCAACGTCATCTCTCGGACATGAAACATCTAGCAAGGCATTGTAGGAACCTCCCGCCGAGGAAATGGCAGCACTGCAGATAGCAGCTGATTGGGGCGTGGAGATTGTATCAAGAACAAATTCCAGGGCATCATCAGTATCCTCTCGGATTTGCTCACCCACCAGTGGATCGTGGTAATCGAAAACCGCGTCTGCCCCAAGCTCAAGCATGAAGCCGCGATTGGCTTCAGAGCATGTTGTGACGACTCGCAATCCTGATAATTTTGCCAATTGAATCGCAAGGGTACCGGTAGCTGTTGCGCCTCCGTAGATTAGGATATTTGTGTCGTCTGATTCGCCGGTCTGGTCGCCAGGGAAAGGCAATTCCATGGTCTGGTAAAGATTTTGACCAACGGTTGTCAAACCAACACCAAAAGTAGCTGCCGCCTCAAAACTCATGTACTCCGGGATCAACATTTGGAGGTCGCCCTTTGCGATCACATACTCAGCAAATGCGCCGCCGTTCTGGCGGACGGCATTGCTACCGTGTACAAACCCAGCAACGCGATCGCCTTTTTTGAAAGGCTTTGTGACGCTCGGACCAACGGCTTCTACTATTCCAGCATAGTCGCAGCCCACGGTGGCCCCGGTGCAGGGTACAAAATCAATATGACGCCAGTCCGTTGGATTCAATGCGACTTTGTACGGTGTTAGGCCAGGTGTTCATGAAATATGAGAGTGGAGGGGAAGGATAATATACCAGCTTTTGTTTTCACGAGAATGTAATTATCCGGCAATTCAGGAACAAGGACATTTTCTGCCAGCGTGGCGCGGCCTGGTTCTTGGACGATAATCGCGCTTTGGGTGGTCATTCTCAAACAGATGTCGCAACGTGGGGGAAATGAATGGCACGAGAGAGGCGGGGTATTTGGAGTAGCTCAATTTTTTTTTGGAAAAGGATTCGTCTAAATGGCAAATTGGGGATTGAGAAAGCTACGCATATTATTGCTCCATTCGGTCTCTCCTTATGTGGCTTGGAAGGTCTTAGGATGATCCAGGATTAAGGGCTAGATTGAACTATCGAAGAGCTCCGACAAAGTACAGTTTTTTGCCGTGTGCTGCGCGACAATCTAGCTAGCTAGCGCAGACTAAAGTGTACTCCATATACCGTAAAGCTTCTAAGATCGCCGTGCAGGTAAAATGTGCTCCATATTGTGGGTGATCTGCGTAGAGGGAGGGGCACGCAAGTGATAATAACTTCAATAAAGTCAATTACTATTGTATTGTACTCCATTAATGGGTCCCATCAGAAGATCTCTTTTGAGATCCGCTGGCCCGGGCGACGCCAGGTCGCCTAATTACAACATACCAAATATCTCCGACGGGAATTCTAAGACAATGACAGCAGCTAATTCTCCGTAGCCAGTCCAAGTAGCACGCATCGATCTCTAAAATACATCCATGCACATCCATGTACTAAAGATAATGGGGAATACTAAAAGTGGGACTCTTAAATAGGGGTAACTAAGAAGGGAAAGTGGGCTTTAACAATCAAGAAAGGGAAAAGAAATCCTGATAGGCAATCGGGGGACATTTAGTGTCAAAATATAGTGGAGCTAATCATGCAGGTCAGGAAATTAAATTGGAAATACAGTGACCAATACTCGTAACCATCTTGTCACAGTACAATTTACATATTTTGAAGCATTGATGATCCAGTTCGTTGATCAATATAGTATCCACTTGATATCATTTTCGGAAACTTTCCCTCAGCCCTGGAGGAACATCCATGCAGGCACAAATCTGCGAACCATGGAACAGAGTCTGTCGGAACTGCATGCGTATGGAGAACTATATCAGATCCCTGACATTGGTTGGGAGTCGGAAACAGGGGTTCACTAAGCTAGACTCCAAAGGATAGACATTGATGTACAAAGTACCCCCGTACATCGTCCATCGCGCTTTTTAATGAGGTCTCCACTACATGTTCCGCCTAGATAGCTTAGATAGCCAGTAATACATGCATGTGAATATGCGAAAGCTTACGCATTAATCGCACTAGCGTCTAGAATGGCCAGATTAATGGTCTGGGATCACGACGGGAGCTTGCCGAGCCAGGAATGCATAACATTTAGTATAATACCCCGCAACATCCCTTTTTGAATCTTTTCAACATTTGTCCTCCATCATTCTATAATCACAGTATGCCTGGCCGATCGACGACGGATTCTGCCTCGGCGGATATGGAGGGAATTGCAGTAATTGGAATGGGATGTCGCTTCTCAGGAGGAGCGAACTCCGTTGAGAACTTTTGGCAGATGCTATGCGATGGACGTACAGGGCATGGGAGGGTGCCGACGAGTCGATATGAAGCTTCGGGGTGGCATCACCCTAGCCATGAACGCAAAGGAGCGGTATGGATACCTCAATTGGACGTTAATTGATTATTCTAACAACCAGGTCATGGATGAGTAGATCAATCATGATAGTGGATTTTTCTTGCAGGAAGATCCATCACGATTTGATGCTCCTTTTTTCTCTATCACAGCCAAAGAGGCCGAGGGCATGGACCCGGCACAACGATTGTTGCTCGAAGTCGCATATGAAACATTCGAAAACAGTAAGTCAAGCAACAATCAAACCCTATTGCAAACCCAGTCAAGCTAATAGAAAATAGGCGGAATACCAATAGACACACTTCCAGGGAGTAACACAGCAGTTTACTCTGGCTCAATGACCAATGACTATGAGCTATTATCAACAAGGGATATCTACGATATGCCTCACAACTCGGCTACTGGTAATGGAAGGACTATGCTGGCAAATCGTTTGTCCTGGTTCTTCGATCTCCAAGGGCCAAGTATCATGATGGACACTGCGTGTTCTTCGAGTTTGACTGCAGTCCACCTAGCAGCCCAGTCCCTGCGATCTGGAGAATGTGGAATGGTGAGTACTGCAACCTTTATTTATTTGCCCACGATGCTGAAGTGCTTCTCGTAGGCCCTGGTGACTGGAGCCAGTCTTATCTTACACCCTAATTTTACACAAAGACTCTCCTACATGCACATGATGAGTCCAGATGGAATAAGTCATTCATTTGATGAGTCTGCAAATGGATACGGCCGCGGAGAGGGCATCGGTGCTGTGCTTTTGAAACCCCTGAGCGCTGCATTGGCCGATGGGGATAATATTCGAGCCGTCATCCGCGGCACAGGAATTAATCAGGATGGTCGCACCCCTGGAATTACACTACCCAGCCCGACATCCCAAGCAAACTTGATTCGTTCGGTTTATGAACGCCATGGTATCTCAATGAGAGATACTGCCTACTTTGAAGCCCATGGAACTGGAACTCCGGCCGGGGTAAGAACAACTCTGTTGATGGGAAGTCAAGTGTTTGGTATTAAGCTGATGATTAATAGGATCCCCTAGAGCTGTCTTCTGTCGGAATGACATTGGGCGAGGCACGAACACCAACCGATGAGCCACTATACATTGGCTCAGTGAAGACAAATCTTGGTCACACCGAAGGAGCTGCAGGAGTTGCCAGCTTGATCAAGGTCATTCTATGTTTAGAAAAGGGGATGCTTGTGCCAAACGCCGGTTTCAAAAATATCAACCCCAAGATCCGGCTCGATGATTGGCATTTACGCCTGAGCGACAGAACGATGCCCTGGCCGGACCATCTTCCACAGCGGGCTAGTATCAACTCATTCGGATTCGGCGGATCGAATGCACACTTAATTATCGAAAGCACCAAAGAAGCTTTCCGAGAAAATGCTGAAGACAGGGAGCCAGCCCCTCGTGTGGTGGTGTTTTCTACATTTGACCAAGCTGGCATTGAAAGGACTGGTCAAGCTTGGAGCGAATTCCTTCAACGTCAGAAAAAGGCCGAGCAGGAGATCCCACTAAAAGATATAGCCCACACCATGCTGACACGCCGATCGCAGTTGGGATTCCGCAGCTTCGCGGTTGCTAATTCGCAAGACCAGCTACAGACAATCTTGGACAAAGGACTTCCTAAGTACCCCCGAGCTAGTCGCAAAGCTCAAACAAAACTCGCCTTTGTGTTCACGGGTCAGGGTGGCCAGTGGGCTGGAATGGGCCGGGAGCTTCTGAGAATCCCGGTTTTCAGGGAAAGTATGGCACGATCACAGGACATTCTTTCGGACTTGGGGTGTCCATTTGATATTGTGAAAGAGATAAAGGCAGAGGCTAAAGACAGTCAAATCAACCGTCCTGATCGCAGTCAGCCTATCACATGCGCGTTGCAGATCGCATTGGTTGATCTTTTAGCCAGCTGGTCAGTTTATCCCAACGCAGTAGTTGGTCATTCTAGTGGTGAAATCGGTATGAACATCCCCCACCCTTCTTCCTAGCAACAAGTATCCCACAAAAACTAGTGGCTGACTTGTATATTATAGCCGCTGGGTATGCCGCTGGATATCTGTCCCACCAAGATGCTATGCGAGTCGCTTGGTTCCGAGGTTTCTTTTCACAGCAGATCGCCCAGAGCGACAAACGGGGAGGTATGCTCGCTACTGGCATTTCTGCAGCTGACGCACAGAAGTACCTCGATGAGTTGCCCCCACGCTCAGTTGTGGTTGCCTGTGTCAATAGTCCCGCCAGTACAACCCTTTCGGGCGATGTCGAGTACATTGATCAGCTTGAAGCAAGGTTACAACAGGATGGTCACTTCGCCCGGAAGTTGCGAATTGACACAGCGTATCACTCCCCTCACATGGAGGAACTTGTTGACGTGGTCGGCAATGCTATCGACTGTATCAAACCAGAAGATCGATACGGTGGCTCAATCCCCATGCTTTCATCGGTCACAAAGGAGCGTGTCCATTCCGCTGGGCTCGGTGGATCGTACTGGGTGCGCAACATGGTCAGTTCAGTTGAGTTCACTGCTGCAGTGTCACGGCTCGCCAACCTGAGCGAGTCTATCAAGTCTCGCAGACGCCCGGTTCCAATCAAATGGACTGCCTTGGTTGAAATCGGCCCACATGCAGTTTTGAAAGGACCTGTTACTCAAATTCTGCAATCCGTCAACGCAAATATGGCATCGTTGCCTTACCACTCACTAGTTTCACGGAACAAGCACGCTTTGCAAACAGCGTTGGAGGTTGCTGGGTCTCTGTGGAGCACTGGGCATACAATAGACCTCGCTGCGGTCAACAGTTGTGTCGACGCCACAAGCCCAACAATGGTTGCTGATTTGCCTTCTTATTCCTGGAATCACCAAACGTCCTTCTGGCATGAGCCTTTGGAGACAGCGCAATTGAGACAACGCAAGCATCCCCGCCATGATATTCTAGGAGCTGCCCTGGATTATCAAAACGCCTTGGAGCCACGATGGAGAAACTTTTTGCGACTCTCGGAAAATCCATGGATGGCCGACCACGTTGTCGCCGGGTCAATTGTATTCCCAGCTGCTGGAATGCTGGTGATGGCTACCGAGGCAGCGCGTCAACTTGCTGACGGGCAGGCCAACATAAAGGGAATTGAATTCCAGGACCTCCACTTCATGCGTGGGGTGGTTATTCCAGACGACGAACGAGGCTTGGAGACTCTCCTTCAGGTCTCTCCTCATCCAGGGATGCCAGGTTGGTATGAATTCGGAATTTTCTCACTTCCCTCTGGTGGTGGCTGGATTCAACACGCGAAGGGTGCATTCATTACACGATATGAGGATCGAGACGGTGCCGAGTACAACTCAAATTGGGAGGTGGCATTGGAACGCATTAAGAATACGCAAACAGTCGCGAAAATGGCTGATGTCAGGCAAGCACGTGAATGGCTGTCTCACACAGGAGGACTCACCGTAGGACCGGCCTTCCAGACAATCACTGGGGTTTCCTTCTGTGATTCAGAGCCTCGTCTCTGGCTATCTGGGGTGGTCACTGACACAAAGCAATCGATGCCCTTTGAAAAAGAGTCATCCAGTTTCATCCACCCCACCACTCTTGATTGCCTCTTCCAGTCTGCCCTTCTCTCTTGCTCCGATGCACTCGCCAGCAACGACGCGAATATCCCCGTCGGAGTGGACAATATCTACATCTCGAATACCTTCCAACCTCAGCCAGGTGAGCAATTTGTTGTCCACACAGAGACCAAGTGGCGGGATGGAAAATCGCGAAGCCACTGTATCGCATCGGACCCCTCATGGTCACAGCCCTGGATCACGTTTGAAGGTGTTCACCTAGGACGCCTTCCCTTCAACCCCAATTCCCAAAAGCAAGAAGAAACGTCTTCTGAGAGCCGATATTCTTCAATTGTTTGGGATGAGCATTTGGAATCGCCACTTGTGACTAGCCAGATCCATGATGGAAACAAGAAGGTAGCTGTCCAAGCCAGCAGTCTCCAGTTGATTGACTGGATTAAGAGACTGTGCCATACCAACGGCGATGCCAAGGCGCTCATCACTACTTTGGACGCATCAAGCTCTTGGATTGAGAATCTCCAAGAGCTTATTCCAAGCGTAGGAAAGCGACCTTGCCTAGGAAAGGTCACGATCGCCTCATGTGGCCCTGACCATCAGGTGAAAGGCATTGCTCCCGCGGAAGCCAGCCTTCCAGGCACCCACCTAGTGCCACTCGCCTCTCTCGGCGAACTTCCGTCGTCGTCACTCTCTCAGGATAAATATGACTTGGTCGTGATCGATGAACCTAACCTATGGGATGACAAAGTCACTCGGACCATCCTGTCTTGTCTGACTAACATTCTCGAACATGGAGGCTTAGCAGCAATGCGTGTGTCAGATGCCGATCTCAACTCTGCAGCGGAGACATTGCTGCGATTTGACGGCCTGGAACTTCACAGCACGACCGAAGACCGCAGGTTTATCATTGCGCGCAGGACCCCAGTCTCATGGACAACAGACTCTGAAATCTATGTTTTGAGTCCAGCAGACAAGTCCAACTCATTCCCTGTCTTTGAACATCTTGAGAAAATATTTGCGACCCATAACGTTCGACTGGTACATGTTGGGCTGGAACAGACAGCTACACTGGCAGGAAAGACAGTAATTTCGTTACTTGACTTGGCAAATCCCTGGGTATCCAGCTGGACGGACAGTGATCTGAAACGCCTCCAAGAGCTGATCCGAGCTCAATACGTTCTTTGGGTGTCGCCTTCCTGGACTCAAGGACCGGTCGATAATATTGGATCCGGTGCAACAGGCGGCCTGTTGAGAACGCTTCGCAATGAGCAGTGGAACACTACTATCCCGCACTTATTGGTCGACGTGGAAGACTTGGAAGACAAATTCGGACTAGCTTGTGGCATTCTCCAGGTCATGCAGCTCACCACACAGGAGAGCTCACGCCGACCAGACTTGGAGTATCGCCTGGCAAACGGCCGGTTGCTAGTTCCACGAGTCCTAGAGACGCCAGCAGTGGTTGAGGCCATGCACACTCTAGTTAACGGCCCCAGGCCCGTACTGTCAGACCTAGCACTTGATCCAAGACCACTTGAGTTGAAGATCCAGGACGCAGATAATGTACACTGGGAGGAACAACAACTCACCGAAGAGCTTCCGCCAGACCACACTGAGATCAAGGTTGAAATGGCCACAATGTTTGACTTACACTCAGATCAGGGAAAGACACCAGAGACAGCTCTTCCAATGTTCGAAATTGTTGGAAAGGTGACTCGTATCGGATCAGGTGTACATGACTCGGCCGTTGGCGACAAAGTTTTGACGTTAGCATCGGCCAACTCGGGACTCTCGACAATAATGCGGGTTTTGGAGACTGACACTCTCAGAATTCCTGCGAATACCGACCCAACAAAGGCGATATCAGCTCCTCTCGCATACCTCAGTGCTTACCAAATCCTCACCCAAGTTGGCCGCCTCAGCTCAAGCTCATCGGTGCTTTTGGTTGGGTCAACCAGCCAAACTCTCCAAGCCATGATAGACTATGCCCTTGCCATGAACATGCAAGTTATCGTGGCGACTGATTCTCCACATACCGCCGAAACCCTTCACTCTCGCTACCCGATATTGACGGATCGAATTTTGGGTGTCAACGGTAGCCTGGAGACCAGCGTGTCCAGGCTGACCAATGGATGTGGAGTCGATGCCAGCGTTTGCTTCCTTGGCGGGTACCCCGGTCGGAATGCTGCCAAGTGTCTGGTACCGGGTGGACAGTATATCAATCTGTCCAGCGATATGAAGCTAAGTGCTCTCCCGGAAAGCTTCGTCGACAGTGGCTGCACGTTCTCCTCCCCGCGACTGCAGAAAGCATTCTCAGAGAAGCCCGGGAATCTCCATGCCTCAGTTCGGCATGTGATTGATTTCATGAAGCAGCATCGGATGTTGGACCGTGTGGAACCTTATTCCATGTTCCCTGTTTCTGATATCCAAGGAGCTTTGAAGCATTGCAAAGCAACTAACACCCGGGCTATCATAGACCTCCAGGCTCCCGGGAAGGTCCCCATTGTGATGCCATTGCCAGATCTTACTGGCTTGCCAGCAGAAGCCACATATATCCTAGCAGGTGGACTGGGAAATCTAGGCCTTGCGCTTGCCGATACCTTGGTTCAATCTGGGGCCCGGCATTTGGTATTCCTTGGACGGTCTGGTGGGGCGCAACCTAGCCAGCAGTTATCCCTTGATCTCCTTCGCGATCGTGGTTGTCGCATAGATGTGCTACGCTGTGACATCTCCCAACAGCCGGACATCGACCACCTGTCATACAAGATCCGCAGTAAAGGCTGGACAGTCGCAGGCGTTATTCAGTGTACAACAGTGCTGAAGGTAATTTATCCTCCCTGTTCCTTTTTTGATAACACCAGCTAATTCCTTTTTTCATTTTCAGGACGCAATGTTTGAGAACATGACATTTGATGATTGGACCCAATCCACGCAGTCCAAGATTCGTGGAACATTGAACTTGCATCGCCTATTTTCAGAGAAGGAAGACTTAGCCTTCTTTGTAGCATTGTCTTCCGTGGCTAGTGTCATTGGTAACATGGGACAGGCTAACTATTCTGCGGGCAATGGCTTCATTGATGCTCTCATGGAACGGCGTCGTAGTCATGGACTCCCAGGTCATTCTATTAACATTGGTCTTGTTCCCGATGCCAGTGGATTAAGTGACATTTCGGAAGATCCAGAGCAACGCCGCCGCCGGTACAAACATCTTGAGGGCACTGAAATCATGACCCATGAGCTCCAGACCTTGCTCCGAGTGATCATTAACAGCAAACATTCCCTTCCGTCTCAGATCATTGCTGGTATGACAGACTCGCTATCTCGCAGCAATGGCTCTACAGCCTGGGTGCTCGATCGAAAGTTTGATCACCGGCTTTGTCTCGCTGTTGAGGATACTCAGGATTCTATTCAGACCAGCACCTTACTCAAGGGGGCTGATTCCCTCGACACTGCAACTGAAATTGTCCTCAACGTTTTGAGTGAATATCTAGCAGATGCAATGGCTACTACCGCTGATGCTATCGACTCAGATCTACCATTGTCTGCGCTGGGTGGTACGTTTTCCTTTTTTTGATAATATTTTCCAACAGTGATCTTTCAGTTGACTAACACTATGATTTAGTTGATTCCCTCAAAGCTACTGCCGTCCAAAACTGGGTCTCTCGCGAATTGGGGTCAGAATTATCCTCTTTCGAATTCCTCGGTTCCCAACCGACCAAGGCATTAGCGAGGAAAATTGCTTCCACTAGTTCATATGTCTCAGTGGCGAGCTGAAGATCTATTCACTAATACATATTCCGTGCTGAGTGTGGATTAGTTTGGGATGACCTTTTCGTCAATTGTTGTATTTCTATCTTGCCTTTTAGCGCTTCTCATTTTTGGCTAGTTTCAATAGTTCAGTTTATGTGTATTTTACTTACAATACGGGGTTTTGCGAATGAAATCTCTGAAATTTACTGTTTTGCCAAGACTTCCCGTGTTTGGGAGCCCGTGCCGCGAGTGGGTCCCGAATCCATCAACCTCACATGATAATCCGGCCGTTTATCCTTGCACTTCGCATACATGGCGTCCCCGCTGTGCAGATTTACAGGAACGTGCATACAATAGGGTGTATGAGGCGCCATTAGAATATAGGGGACCAAGCGCGACGAGCAGCTTCGTCGGGTTGCTCCACTGATGACAGCAGTGTCGCGCATCGGGAACCGGATCTGCATTTCTCGATCGGGCTGATCAACATGAAGACCGAGTTTTGAGTCTTTTCAGCGGGTTGAGGTGGGGAACTCTGTTCCGCAGTCTCGAACCCTCTTCTCGGGATGATAACAGGGAACGTGGACTCCGTACGGAAAGTACACGTTGCCCCCTGTTAACGACCCATTTTTGCTGCATAGCCTCCCTTGCTGCCGCAGGGATGCCACGGTACATATGTACATGCCTCTTGTGAAGCAAGGCGATAAACCCGCTCATTTAGCCGTGGCTTTTACGGATTCCGCCATTTCCATTCTCCAAGTCTTTGCTACTCCTCTCAGATATCTCAAATTTAGGTCTTATCCCAGCTTGGAGGGAAATCCACTTAGATTATGTATGTCAAGCGTCGGTTTCCGGGTGGTATCGGGATTTACAATGTCGGCGCCGCCCAGCTGCATCGGCCGAGGTATGTACTCCGAATTTGGTCAATTTTTGTAAAATAACCAATAGGAAGGCTTCGCAGGATATACAAACTGAGGGGTAGATTGTTGAGCTTGGGCTGGACCGCGCACCTTCCCTAGTCAGACAAGGCATGGCCACTATCGACATGCTCCGTAATTGCATGCCTATGCAACATTAGGGTATCTCCACACAGTGGAGCCTTCTCCTGGATCCATTACTTTCGCAAGGCCGGGAACTGTACGATTTCGCGATTATCCGATGAAAATCCTCTACCGCACTAAAATGTGCAAGGCGTCTTTGGGTGTCTTTTCGGCTTCCAAAAAAAATTAAAACAAAATGGAATAAATTATTCTGGTTTTATATCCAATTTCTTTACCCCCTTTTTCCCCTTCTGTCTTCTCACTTCCAGCCATGGCAGACGTCGAAAAAAACGACATCTCCTTGCCGGAACCCCCGGCCAGGGCCATTGTCGCAGACCATGAAAAGGTCATTGACAACTACTCTTCCAAAGAGGTCCCATCTAATGGCTCCGAGTCTCCCAACGTGACTGATCTAGAGGCTCAGTCCGCGGAGCCCCGACGGAAACGGTTTGCGCACTTCAGATATGTGGTGTTTACTGTTTATCGACGACTGTTCACATTCGTATTTTGCGTAAATCTGGCAGTCTTTCTCTACGTGATGATCTCTGATCGGAAGCTTCTATCACTCGTGGATGCGACAGCCGTAAACTTGGTGGCGTGCGGTCTCGCTCGACACCCGATGATGGTCAATGCCATCTATAGAGGAGTTTGCTCAATTCCTCGAACTGCACCCCTATCTTTGCGGCGCAGGGCTGCCAAGGCTGCCCACTACGGCGGTGTTCACAGTGGCTGTGGAACCGCATCTTTGGTGTGGTATATTGGATTTGTTGCTGTGCTTTCACAGATGTATTGGAGAAACACTCCTATCAGTACAGTAACAGATGCCTGTTTCTCGGCCGCGCCAATTGCCGTCGCCTACTTCACTCTTGTGCTACTTTTCGTCATGGTGGTCGTTGCACACCCCTCATTCCGCCGGAAGATGCATGATTACTTTGAGCTGACACACCGATTCACCTCATGGCTGATTCTGGCACTTTTCGTGGCCTTGGTGATGATATTTGCTCATGAATCCAGCAGAGCAGCGAAAGAAAGTCTTGGTCATTTCCTCGTCACTCTTCCTGCATTTTGGCTGTTAATTGTGGCCATCATCGCCATAGCCCATCCATGGCTACTTCTGCGGAGGGTTCCGGTACAAGCCGAGCCATTATCTACGCATGCCGTACGACTATCCTTCGACTTTACCCAAATCAGCTTCGCAAAGGGCGTCCAAGTTTCAAAACACCCTTTGCGCGACTGGCACAGTTTTGCCGGCTTCCCAGATCCGGTTCCAGCTGCTGTAAGCCCACCTAAAAACAACCCGTCTGGCAACAGCCCAGCTGGCAAGAAACCATTTGTCAAGGGCCACGGACATAAGAGAAGCTGGTCCATCGTGGTGTCAAAAGCAGGAGATTGGACAGCTGATACCATCCGTAAACCACCTACCCACCTCTGGAAGCGCGGGTCGCTGATGCGTGGTGTTGGATACGGTCTACGCGTTTTCGACCGCATTATCATTGTCACCACTGGTTCCGGAATAGGACCCTGTCTCGGATTCCTAGGCGACAAAAATCGGCCTAAAATCAAGGTCATCTGGCAGACGCGTGACCCGGTGAAAACTTACGGTCAGGATGTCATTGATCTTGTTCATAAGATGGGCCCGGATCCGATTATCTTCGATACCAGTCGCACTGGCCGTGTTGATATGCTTCCTACCATTCGACAGCAATTCAAGGAATTCCAAGCGGAGGCCGTGTTTGTGATCAGTAACCCTGCTGTCACTCAAAGTATTGTTTACGAGTTTGAATCACAAGGGATTCCAGCCTACGGGCCAATCTTCGATTCATGATTCATGATACATGAAAGATGATATATGTTTCCTTAATGTTAGGTATTTTGATCCAGCTATGACATGTGATATTATCTACATTTTGTTATTTAATTTGTGCTATATAGGGGCTTTTGTTCTCATCGTCTATACTAGAGTCAGGTCCATTAATGAAAAGTTTCATATAATTTGTTAAATGTTAATTTCATTTAGGTGTATTTTCAATTATATTAAGGCACCTTTTAATGCTACATACTTTGGGCGTAGTACCTCTATGTTTTGTGTTAGAGCTACCTTGCAGCCGAGATATATATCGGAATTCTTGATGGATGAAAAGGGTCTTTATACCCAGGAACTATTTCAAACAATCACCGTGCACCCAAACTATGGAGCAGGTAACTATGAGAGATGGGATCAGCAATTTAGAAATATAGATTTCACAAGTGTTCATATCTCAGGCTCCAACTTATTTCCCAGCATCTTGGCAGTGATGCCTAACATAAGGCGGCTCAAGTATGAGAGATTTCTAGGCAGCCATGGGGCTATCCCTGTACTTTTCCCAATCAAAACCACTTTGTTGCCTACTTGGACTTTTTTTGAGAGCTGTTCAGGGCATTAGCGGGGTAGATGAAATCCAAACCAGATATAGCGGGGTTTCTCTGGTCAGTACAACATACGAAGTCACCGTGCTCTTTCAACTCATCACTCTACTCACAACATGCGTCCACGTCGAATCAAGCAGTTAAGAGAGCCCCAACGAGGGTGTGAGACGATTCAGGACCTTGTCCCATCCCTACCTGCAGCTCCATTGACGTCGCCCCTGTTTACAGTGTTTCCCGCCGAGATCCGCAACCGCATTTATACGTTTGCCCTTGAGTCCGAGAATATTGACATAAACGACAATAGTCAACTCTATAGGCTAAATGACTTCTGCTACCGGCCCGGGTACACGCAGCCTAAGCGCATCCAGACTGCTCTCCTCCAAACATGCCAACAAATCTACGCCGAAGCCTCCCTCCTCGCGCCAGCAGTCAATGAGCATACCTTCTGGTTTTATCGGGCCCCATCGCATGTGAAAGATTCCTCGTCGCCATTGAACTATTTTCGCAAAATGACCCCAAAACAACGGGCTCAGGTGCAGCATCTACACCTATTCACCCAGCAGTATTTTCTAGAGGACAATCGTTGGTCGCAGATATGGGACGGGCTAACGATAGGCAACAGCGGGCGCAGTTTGCGAGGCGAGTGTAGAATTTCGCCGAAAAAGATGACCATCACGCTTCGTCATACGGACTGGTGGTTTTGGGAAAAGAATGACCCCTTGGGCATCGATCCGTTTCGGCCTGGGAGAACCCATGCAGCCCAGATGGGCGAGCCTGTTTCCCCGGATGCCGCAGCTCGGTCATGGGGGAACCAATTTACATATCTCCCGTGTCTGAAGGAACTTGTGATCGAGTTCGAGACGATCTTGCGGAAGAGAGACCAGCTAGATGCCATCATACAACAAGCTCTCGGGTGGAAGTTCCCCATCCAAGCTGACGAGGGCTGGTATCTGGTTGCTGACCCTAATTCAAAGATGGCATATACTTGGGTTGGGGCGAGAGAGGTGGAGTTGACAGGAGAGAGACCTGTAAGGGCGTTTGATATTGAGGTTTATTCAGAATCTCAATCTGGCCACAAGCAGATCACACTTTCTAAGGCCCCGGCTTTGGTGCCATTTGATCCCCAATCTGACCAGGGCACAAATAGTGGTAATATTCATGGAGGTCATCCCCAGCCACCCGTGGAGGGGTTCTATGTTGTTTTCTTGTCTTGGAGGAAGCAACGAGTGCAGGCGTAAGCCATTTATCTCAGACTCAGCATCTATTGTCCAGGTCCCATTATCCATACTATGTAACTATCATTCATTCCCAACTCTTTTAGGGAGAAGAAGGGGTTGCAGCCGTCTCCAACCGCTAGTACGCCATAACAGATTTCCCGTAGTAGATTTTGCTAGATAATCCTATCTCCGTGGGTATTTGTAGGTCTCTAATTAACATATATCAGAGTCTGAAAACCAGGACAAGCTACCCCATCTATAAGATTCTGGAGTCGACCCGATTTACCAACTGCTCAACAGTGTCGACTATCTCATCTAATAAAGACACAGCAAAGTCCGACCAGGACTCAACAGTGACAACTTCAATGCACAGGGTATCCCCTTTCGGGAATGCCTGCACCTTGATCTCCCGCAATGGCTCGAAATGCGGGTAGACGGTCTGCATGCGACTACTGGCCGCCATGAAAGACAGATCCTCAACGTGCTCCACGTCCTGGTGCACGACCGAATCGAACCAGTCGACGGTGTCCGGCCAGTCGGTACATTGTTTGATAATTTCCTTAAGACCGATTCCTTCGAATTGCGCGCTCTCGAGATGTTGTCGCTGGACAAACCGCAAAAGATCCATTGCACTCCATTCATTTTCAAACTTCACCCGCACTGGTACATATTGCCACGATGGTCCAACAATCGCATCAGCATTAGGTAGGTCAATGTTGCGACCGCTCACCACCTCGCCAAAAGTGACGTCATCAAGGGATAGGCGTCGGGCAAGGCACAGCGCCCAGGCTGCTGTAGGGAGGGTTGCGACTGTGATTTCCCGTGGGCGCGCGGCTATATTGGCATCCTTGGAGATAGCAAAATGAGCTGCAGAGACCACAGGGATGTCGGGCTGAATCCGTGTCAAGGACGAGCCTTGAAGGAGATCACGCCAGTACGGAATGCTAACTAGCAGATTAGTGCGAGTCACGTGGTTGACATATGACGAGAATGGCAAACTCTTCGGCACCGGCCGGCCCTCGTATAATGCCGATAGCTGCTGCAACAAGATTGGGAGACAGATCTCATCGTATTGGGCATGAGAGATGCGCATAATCAGGCTGCTGGGCCCGTCAACATGTCGGACGAAGAAGAATTTCAAAAATGGTGACCCGAGGGGAATGCGTGACTGAACATCCACATCGCAGAGTTTCTGGCTGAACGCTTCCACGTCACTTTCAATCTCATATTCAATGATCTGGCAGGGAAGGTCATCGACGACCACTCCCAGTGAGACCCCTTCATGCTCCACGAACACAGTTCGAAGGATCTCATTCCGAGACACAAGTTCCTGGCAACTTTGGAAGAGTTGATTGCAATCCACCACGGTATCCATGTAGAAGAGTTCGTATCGCATGGAATACCGAGGCAGCTGGACAGTTCCTTGGACTGCAATTTCCTGGAGCGGGCGACTTGGATAAGCATCCACAATCTTCCACTCAGGTTGAGCAAGCAACGGGACCATCTTGTCAATGAACGCATCCACATCAGTCACATCTAGTGAACTGAATGGCGCGTAATTCTGGGATGTAACGACTTCTGGCTGAGCTTCTATCGCATGTTCGGCCATGTCAAACAGCGACCGATGATCGAAAATGGTAGTTACAGTTAGCTGAAGGCCATCCATACGAGCCTCTGAGACCAGCTTCATAGCACGAATGGAGTCACCTCCCAAATCGAAGAAGCTATCGTCGAGAAGGATATCCTCACAGGGAATGTCCAAAACTTGGCTCCAGACCCGTTGGAGCTTTTGCTGCTTGGCCGTCATCATGGCTTGAGAACTATTAAGGCTTTTGTTTCGGGGTTTCAGTTGACCGACCTGCGCGTTCTTTGCGCGAATAAGAATAATGGAGCCGTCGTTGGTATATTTCGCTAGCTGGTTTGTCGTGTACAACTTCGTTGGATGTTTGAACCAGGTTGGGTTGTCAACTAGGTTGCCAGAAGCCACTCCACATTCTCTTTCACTCTCAACGAGCAGCTCACCCGCTCCACCAGGTGGTACAAGACACTCATGGTCATTTGGGTCAACGATCCAAGTAGACGTGACAGACGAGTAAAGCTCCTCGGCAGGGAGGCTCGCCGGGCCAATCTTCGCCAGACGGGACTGTTCTGCAAGATCTGCCTCAATCGTGGAATCGTAGATGTGCTGAATCCGCTGGGTCGGGTCCTCGAGGATCTGCTGTACCAGCCGGTCAAACTGTTTGAGCGCCTGCTCCATCTGCGGGACATCGATGGTCTTTGAATCGAAGCTGGCCATGACAAGGAATCCCTTTGTATCAACAGTGAAGACAAGCATAAGGGCGTATGAGTTGAATTTCAACGCTTCACGGGCAGCCTCTGCCTCGCTGGTTGGAACAAATGCGGTAGCTGGTTCTTCTTTCGAAGACGGCGCGCTTTCCTCGACTGTTGGGTGAATCACAATACCTGTGCGCAATTCACACGCCTCGCGAGCATCAGCGTTCAGACGTCTAATGTGCTGCAGACCCATGTGTTCGTGAGGAATGCGATCTACCGTTTGGTCATGTATTTGCTGAAGGTAGCTTGATGCCCGAGCCTTGCGATCGATGCACACCCGAACTGGGACAGTCGTGATCATTGGGCCCTCGATCTCCTCCACTGCTGCCACGGGAGCTGTGCGGCCGGTCATAGTCTCTCCGAACACGATATCATTTGAGGATGTATAATGCGCCGCTAAAAGACCCCAAGCAGCTCGAATAGCTGTTGCGATGCTCGTTGTGGAGCTTGATGAAGCCCGGGGGAGCTTGACGTAATGTTCCAGAAGGGAATCTGCGCGCGCTTGATACCCAGTGTACGGGATAATAGGGAACTGTAGGGATGTAGCGCCCTCAAGTTGAGTTGCCCAATATTTCTCCGTGGAGGTTCGATCAGTGTCACTGAGCCACCTGATGAAGTTCTTGAACGGTGCTGGGCTACCGATATCCTCGCCGCGATAGGCGCGATTCACTCGGTCAACAACCAATGGCATTGACCAGCCATCATATAGTGCATGGTGAATGCTCAGCACGATAGAGATTTTGCTGGTCTTTTCATCATCCACAATAGCAAAACGAGCAAGTTCGGTTCCGAGAGACATTCCTTTGAGGGTATCGCTACTCAGATATTCCGTCAAGTTGGAACTGTTGAACCATGGGGTGCCGGTCCGTACAACAATTTGCATCAAACCCCGACGTGGCACTTGGACGATCCTTGTTCGCAAGATTGCAGAGTCTGTCGAGACACTCTCAAAAGCAGATTGTAGTCGCTTGGCCGTTTGGATGTCCTGGAGCTCGATGACTCTTTGCGCAACATAGGCATCTGTATATTTCGCGGAGAGGGCCATGAGGGCTTCTTGGAGAGGTGTACATGGGTACACATCGTCCACCTCGTTGGGATTCAAGTTGCACAGCGAAGCCACTTCGACTCGTGCGGCGTCGGCCTCCCAGTCTGCTGGAAGAAGCGAAAATGGGGGAACATCCAGTGGAGACTTGTTCTCAATCTCTTTCACTTTTAGAGTCAAGTCCTCGAGAATGGGTGATTGGAAGATATCAGTCACTTGAACAGCAAGAGACTGTTCTCGCGCAGCAGCCACCAACCTCATGGCTTTCAACGAGTCGCCCCCGAGGCTGAAGAAGTGGTCATTGACCCCGATCTCTGCTTCATCCCCAAATAGCTTCAACCATAGGCCGTGAAGCTTGCGCTCCATCTCTGTCCTGGGTGCTAATTTGACAACCGTGGACAATCTAAACTCTGCAATCTGTCGCCTTGTCAAGTCGTTCCCGAGAGCACGTAGCTGCTTTCGGTCTGTCTTGAGTGATACCAAAAGCGGCATGTGGTTCAGAGGGATATATGCGGTTGGGATCATATACCGGGGCAGGTTTGTCGTGAGAACATCGTCAATACCAGTGACCAACTTCTGGAATGAACTTGAAAAGGAGACAATATCGCTGGTTGTGCCAGTCTTTTCACTCTTTTCCTCCGCCACAAAAACAATTAGTGTGGCATCGGATTTCTTCCCACCAGGGAAGATCACCTCTGCTGCGACACTTGCTCCAGCAGGGAAATAATTCCGTACGTGGTGCTCGATTTCACCCAGTTCCACGCGCTGACCGCGCAACTTCACCTGTTGGTCCCCACGGCCAATGAAAACAACACTGCCCGAGGCATCAGGATCATATCTTACCAGGTCGCCGGTCTTGTAGAGACGGCCTTTGCGACCTGGCACATTACCCCCACCCTCAACCAACCATGTTGGGTCCTCGATGAAAACCTCGGCGGTCTTTTCTGGATTATTGAGGTATCCATCACCAACCACAGGGCCTTCGATAAGCAGTTCCCCAACAGCGCCGATGGGTGCCAATCGGTTATGATCGGATGGATCAACGACCCATGTCGTACCTCCGACTCCTTGTCCGATGCTAGTGTACGATCGACCAGGAGGGATGTCATTGTTGATTGTGCAGCCAACAGTGCACTCTGATGGGCCATATGCGATCACGATCTTTGTCTTCTGGCCCCATTCGGCCGCATCGCTAGCAGATATTGACTCACCACCAAGTCCTATAACCTCCAGCGAGGGCATAATATCAGGAGCCAAGACACGCGCGACTGATGGTGTCATGTGCGCCATGTTCACACTCAGTTTACGAATGGCGCCGCTGAGGTCGTTAACTCGCTGGTCTTCTGAGGGCACACAAATGCAGCCTCCGTTGGCTAGAGTGCACAACATACAGTCGACACTGACGTCGAAAGCATAGGAGGGAAAGTCAAGCACTCGTGAGTGTTCTTTGTATCCCACGGCTGCTGCGCGAGGTACTGCGCCGCTAGTGTAGTTGGAGTGAGAGATGACCACACCCTTGGGCTTGCCAGTACTGCCGGAGGTGAACTGGATGTAAAGGGTTGACGATGCTGAGACCACGGGTAGTTCCACAGAAACTGATTTAAAAGTTTCCTGGTCGACTAGCGGGCCAACAATGACTTGCTTTCCGCCTGGGACAATACGCGAACCAAGTTGCGCCTGCAGCTCCGAGGTCAAGATAAATTCCGCCCCGACCTCACTGGCGATGGTGCTCAGTCGTCCCTCCGGCTGGCTAGGGTCCATTAAAACCAATGCTCCGCCAGCTTTCATCACTGCAAGGACACCGACAATTGTCCACATGGACTTCTCAAAGCAGAGGGGAGCAGCTTTGCCAACTTGCAATCCTAGGTCAACAAGATGACTAGCTAGCTTTGTGGAGCGCTCTTCTAGCTGTCTATATGTCATCTCTCCATCCCAAGACATTACCGCGGGACGGTCAAGTTGACTCTGAGCTTTTTCACTGATTATATCTTGGATGCACTGGTCGATAGTGGGGGGCATTGGCCCGTTCCACTTCCATAACTGCGACAGCTCTCGCGGTCCAATCTGGACGGTCTCGGCGATGGGTTGATCAAGGTCTCTGGCGATAGAAAGGATGATGTCGGCGAGGATGTGAGGCAAGACGGCTTTGACGGGCTGCGTGGCCGTCGCGGCCCGAGGTGTCCCGCGAATATACAAAACACCATGCGAGAGCTTTGCTTCCAGCGCAAACGTACACTGATCGAGTTAACAACTGATGCCAGCTATGAACTTGAATCTACTTACTTCAGTCTCAATGGAGGCATTTCGACACACTAGTGTGTCCAAAAGATCTCTATCAAATTTGCCCCGCCTTCGGATTGCCTCCAACGCAGATCTCAGCGAGCTGCCTTCCCCCTCAATCACATCGGAGATGCGACATCCTTGGACACTGCCCTCTTTTGCCCAAGAGAAGCCTCCATCCTCACTGTTCACTGTCCCCCGAAAGAGAAGGAGGACCCACGCTAGAGCGCAAAGCTCGTCGTTTCTTATATCCGGAAGCGTTGGCGGGGTCATACATTCGAACCAGCCTTCATCATGCGGCTTCTTGACCTCATCGCCAACCCAAGGGATGGCACTGGGCTCGATGTATTCACCCATATTCTTGGGAAAAGAGTAATATCAACAAAGTGTCTCTGGCGCTTGTCCGGGGACTTACGAAGTAACGATCTGATTAAATTATCTGATGATCTTCAGTGACGGACTTGGCATCTTACGAGAAAGCCCGTGCCTGCAGCACATACAACATAGAGCCACAACGGACAGAAACAGTCCGACCACATGCCGAGATTTCATCACCAATATTGCAATGGAGTCGCCGTATACTTGGATCAGTACGTTGTATACCAGAGTGGGGATACATTACACCGTGTATGGTTTATAACGCATATTACTGTGTATACTATACCATACCATACGTCGATACAGCCAAGACCCGCCGAGATCTGCACTTAGCACTGCCACCCTGGACCCACCTTAACATTAAAACCCTAGTGTGAACGACGATCAGAGCCCTCACAGTCATATTCAAAACTCTCGAGATGTTGTTCCATGGAATACTGGTCACTATTATCATGATTGTCCTCTCCAAGAGTACTCTTTTGGAGATTCGAGAATTTTCCTTGTCTTATCAGATCGGGTGCGAGATCGGATATGCTCGATATTACGCTGATGATTATCTGGAAACAACCTTGTAAACTCTCGTTTCAACCAGCATGGGGGTCTGGAATTGACTTTCTCCATTTGTCACAGGCCTATGCCAAGCAGCGATACTGGGATACAGGATGGCCTTTGGTAGCAGCCAAGATCTCAGCTGCGTGAATTGTCTGTTGTCCGGTGGAGCGCAGCCTAGTAGCCATAGATGAGGATGATCAATTCCCTATGTTGTACATTGCATAGGTTGTACTTGAGAAACTCCGAGCCGGAGTAAACCGAGGATGAGGTGTGGTCAATGCCGACATTGTATATCTAATTCCTTATTCCCTCATGCTCCTCTTCTGAGTTGGTAACATCGTCATCGTCATGTCTTTTAGTCCGTTGCCCCTGGTACGGCTCCCGGAACCTTACAAGACAACTTATGAGTTGCACGTCGTATCAACCGAGCAGAATATCCGCAAGTTTCAGCTGCTGAGATCTCCTCGGAGAGATGAAGGCATACCACCCCCGAAACTGTTGGACCATGCGTCGCTGAGGTTCACAGACCTGGCGTCTCCTGATCCTTCTTCCACACCGGATGAGGGAAACAACTCACCCTGGGCACGCGCACAGAGAAGTCCAGTTACCCATATCACATGGGCAGGCTCGGAGACGCCCACAGTGGGCCAAATCTGGAACGTGGTATATGCCATCGAGACCCTGCGCAGCGAGTTCGAGATATTCCGTGTGGTACTGTCTGGCGATGGGAGCGAGATACTTGCACGCGAGTTACAGGGCGTGGGCTTGGCTATCGCGCATCCCGAACCATCTGCTGCGCCAGGAAAGCCCATCCCAATCACAACGGGCCATCTCGGACAGCTGGTCTTTTCCCGCAGCAACTTCTGGCAAGGGGCTGGCTCACCCTTTGGTACCCGTCCAGCTTGGGTGTCTGACCCGGGAATCTACAGCTATATGCGTAAGCCATTGAGCAACTACCCTTCCCGACCACGTCAACACACAGTCACCACTGGCTTCCCCGAGCGCCGAGTACATGCCCTTCATCCCGTCCGACCACCTAAGCCAGCCCCTGGCTCTCGCATCTACAGCCGCTACATTCCACACTTGGACGAGTTTTTCTCGGTCTACGCGCTAGACTACACAAACGATGAACACTTGAGGCTATTCAATAAGTGGCAAAATGATCCTCGGGTGGCTCAGGGGTGGAATGAAACTGGTACTTTGGACCAACATCGTGAATACTTGCGCAAAATTCATGAGGATCCGCACCAGATCGCTGTGTTGGCCAAGTTCAATGACACTTTCTTCTCCTATCATGAGATATACTGGACAAAGGTTGGTTTCTACTTCTTTCCTGGCAATCTGATCAACGCTGATTTCACTTACAGGAGGATCATCTTGGTGCGTACTACGATGCTGGTGATTGGGACAGGGGCCGCCATTCGCTAGTCGGCGATGAGCGTTTCCGGGGTCCCCACCGCACAATTGTGTGGTGGTCTGGCTTAATGCATTACATCTTCCTGGATGATCCACGAACGGAGTTTGTGACTGGAGAGCCAAAATACTCGAATCTCGCCCCCTTGACCTATGACCACGCCACCGGCATGAACATGGCCAAGATAGTTGATCTGCCACATAAACGGTCCGCGCTCATCATTGGTAGTAGGGAGAAGTTTTTCCATGTAGCACCCCTACGATTTGATGGGTCTGACACTCTTGATCGCAATCCATTCCGCTCGTTGAAGTTGTGAAGTTATACAGAATGAAATATGATGTCATTGAACTAGATGTTATGCGCTTGTGAAAAAGACCTCAGGCGTGTAGGTATGTATACTCATAAGTCCGAAGATTTTCCAACGCAGCAACCTCGGAGTGCCAAGTGAACTTTGAAGTTTCTTCACAGCAAGAACACAACATAATCTAATCAGATTCGGGAAGCGTCCGGGACCGCCGTGGACCCACTATTTTAAGTTTGATAGTCGTATTTGAGCTCAACTTACCCGAAGAAGTAAAGATTTGCACCAATCAAGCAGTCTCGGGGTGAAGGGGTGAAAAGTGCAGGGGTAATCAGGCCGGAATCGAAAATACAGTTGAGATCATCATCCGAAATTGCTGAACCTTCTCAAGCGTCCTTTGTCGGAGCATATGCATACGGCATTCTCGGCCCACCCCCAAGAACCCCAAGACCAAAACTGAAACAACAGCAAAAACATACTCTTGGCTCTTGGCGTATTTTTCACTTGTTGATCTGATAAAGGGTTCAATCTTACGTATTGTCCGAGGTCGGCTTTTCACTGTAAATTCTTGGTAATCGAAACATTCGACAAGTGGAGCTTATAGAATTCTGCCAGTGCATTTACCTTTGAGATAAAATAACGAATGATCTTCTTCAATGTTCTCATTTATTTACGCCTATTGAGATAATTTCGACCATGGCTGCTGAAGATGCACCAGCGCCAAAGCGCGGCGTATGTTACTCCTGGATGTTTTGGGTTCTCGAGCTAATTTGTGACAGTGGAGGGAAAGGGCCGTCTTCTTTCGCCTGTTTGTCTATGGCGAGCCCAGCAGATCAGATGTCGCGCTCCTTGTCCTCGGCCTTGTCTCCGCAGTTGCCTCCGGAATCCCTTTCCCGATCATGTCTATTGTGTTTGGTCAATTGGTGGATGAGATGAACTCGACAACCTGCAATACCAATGACACCAATGGCGACTCATACCAAGATAGTATCAACAAGAAAGTATTGATGATTGTCTATATCGGCATCGCCTATCTCTTTTTGATATATATCTATGTGTTTAGTTGGAACCTGACTGGCGAGAGACTGGCTCAGCGTCTGCGCGAGAAATATTTCAAAGCTCTTCTCCGCCAGGATGTGGCCTTCTTCGACAACCTCCCGGCTGGCGAGGCGTCCTCTAGGATCACAGGTGACATTACGACCGTGCAACAAGGAACATCCGAAAAGGTCGGCATCGTGATCAACAGTCTTGCCTTCTTTGTCACCGCGTACGTCGTGGCTTTCATTAAGGATCCCAAGCTGGCTGGGATGTTGGTCTCCTTGACTCCTGCTTATTTGATCATGTCTCTACTGGGAGGGTATTTTGTGCAAAAGTATTTCGGTCGCGCGCTGGATAGCATGACCAAGGCATCTTCGGTGGCACTAGAGGCATTCTCCAACACAATGGTGGTTCATGCTTTCTCGGCCAACGCGCGGCTCGAGGAGAAGTTTGTCGAGTTTTTGAACCCGTCCAGAATTGCCGGAATTCGCAAGTCAATTGCCACGGCCACTCAGGCCGGCTTGCTTTACTTTATTGCTTTCTCGGCCAATGCATTGGCCTTCTGGCAGGGGTCTACGCAAATTGCGAATTCGGTAGAGTCCAATGCTGGCGGCATGACAGTCGGGGCAACATACACTGTGATCTTTATTCTAGTGGATGGTAAGAACCCACATTCATTCTTTTGATTTGTTCTCTCGCTAATATGTCTATCTCTCAGCATCTTTGATCCTCAGCACAGTGGCACCGTTTATCCAAAGCTTCGACGCCGCTTCGGTTGCCTTCACAAAACTAAAGGCTGATATAGAGCATAAATCCACAATCGATGGCACTGCAAAGGATGTTGGGCTCGTCTTATCGGAGGTAAAGGGCCACGTGGAGTTGCGTGATGTTTCATTCCGTTTTCCTTCTCGTCCAGATAAGCCAGTGCTCCAAAATTTGTCGCTTTCGTGTCCAGCCGGTCAACAAACTGCCATTGTCGGCCTGTCTGGGAGTGGAAAGTCTACTGTCGCCGGCTTAGCAGCAAGATTCTACGACGCGACAGAAGGAACTGTTATGCTGGACGGACATGATGTCAAGGACCTCAACGTGCGTGCATTGAGGAGTCATATCAGTCTTGTCCAACAAGAGCCTTGTCTTCTCGATCGCTCAATCTTCGAGAACATTGCCTTAGGTCTGATCAATTCTCCTGCACACACTCATCTCCAACCAATCCTGACTGGCACTGCACTGGTTGAAATTTCTGCCGCTGTGAGAGACGGTCAAGCCCTTGTGTCTGCTGCTCTGGAGCATGGTGATCATGCACGAGAGGTGGTGGACTTGGTTGAAGGTGCCGCAAAACTGGCCGATGCCAACGGGTTTATTGAGAAGCTCCAAGAAGGATATGGTACTTCAGTTGGTTCCAGCGGAAATCTGATCAGTGGCGGACAGAAGCAACGTATATCTTTAGCCCGGGCATTGGTGAAAGACCCCCGGATTCTCATTCTTGACGAGGCTACAGCTTCTTTGGACTCGGCGACAGAAATGCGCATCCAAAGAGCCTTGGAGAGTGTGGCCGTGGGTCGAACTGTTATTACAATTGCCCATCGCCTGTCTACCATTAAAAATGCGCATAACATCATCGTCATGAGACAAGGGAAGCTTGTTGAGCAAGGCCCTCATGCAGAGTTACTGGCAGCCAATGGTGCCTACGCAGAGCTGGTTCGTCTGCAAAACCTCAATGTCGAGAGTACCCAAGAGGGAACTTCCACTCGATCGGTGTCACCTGTGAATCAGATAACAGAGAAGGTCGAACCTTGTCTTTCCGTGGCCGATGATGTCCATGACAAAGATGAGACGGCCGATGCTCCTGCTGCCCAAGACTCCAAGTGCAAAGAAACTGGCGGTGTTGTCGATTCCCACAGGTCCTTTTCCTCAACAGCCAGCTCCTTGGGCTCTATGTTCCGACCGTATGCATTTGTCCTGGTCCTCGCTGTTGCGGGTGCCGTTGTTATTGGCGGCACATATTGTGCTTCGGCAGTGATCTTTGGTAATGTCGTGGCTAAGCTGAGTGGCTGTGAGGAACCTCAGACTATCCGCGATGCCGGAAAGTTTTACGGTCTCATGTTCTTCGTCCTCGCTATTATTGAATTCTTTGCAAATCTAATCAGCTGGTCTCTCTTTGGTTGGATGGCAGAGAATGTGATCTACAAAGTGCGAGTTCTGTCCCTGCGATCCATCCTCGAGCAGGATCTCCAATGGCACGAATCCAATGACCGCAACCCATCATTGCTGCTTTCCTTGATTACCAAGGACAGCAATGCTCTTGCGGGACTAACTGGCTCTGTTGTGTGCACAATTTTATCTATCCTCATCAACTTATTCGCTGCCATCATCATGTCACACATCATCGCGTGGCGTATCGCCCTTGTCTGCCTTGCCGTGGTACCTTTACTACTGGCTGCTGGATGGATGCGAGTTACCTCGTTGGCGCAGTTTGAAGAGCGCCACTTGGAGGCTTTTGCGCGGTCGGTCGGGATCACAGTGGAGGCTGTTAACTCGATCAAGACCGTCATGTCTCTCTCTGTGGAAGACGAGATTATGGGAACATACCGTCGTTCATTAGCAGCACCCATGAAGGAAATAACTCGCCAAAGTGCCTGGGCCAATATCTGGCTTGCCATCGGATATGGTCTTAGCAACTTCCTATATGGCCTGGCATATTGGTGGGGAGCGAAAAACATTATCGCAGGACATTATTCTCAGACACAGTTCTTTATTGTCCAGCTAGCGCTGCTTGTCAGCTCACAGCTGTGGGGACAGATGTTTGCCCTGGCCCCCGATGTCTCGCGTGCCTTCCAGGCCACCCGCCGATTGTTAAATCTGCTAGACCTGGGAACCACGAAGAAATTGTCAGCCCCTGTACACACTCCGTCTAGCAAGCTTCTACAATCTACCAGCGACGTCGAATCCACGGCAACCACCCGCGAGAAGATCGATGATACTCGCAATGGCATCAGCGTCTCCCTCAAGCAGGTCCATTTTGCGTATCCTGCTCGACCAGACACTCGTGTACTTCATGGTTTGGATCTGGACATCAAGCCTGGTCAATTTGCTGCTTTGGTCGGACCTAGTGGTGCTGGGAAATCCACCATCATTGCACTTGTCGAGCGCCTTTACTCGCCCGAATCTGGCACCATCCATGTTGACGGCCGAGACGTTGCCTATGGTGACATTTCCTTCCGTGACTCAATTGCATATGTGCCACAGCAAAGTGTTTTGTTTGAAGGAACTATTCGCTTCAATCTTGCTCTTGGCGCACGACCTGGCCATGAGGTTACGCAAGAGGAGTTGGAAGAAGCATGTAAACTGGCCAATATCCACGACGTCATTGCGCAGCTTCCCGACGGATACGATACACACTGCGGGCCAAACGGTGATCGTCTGTCTGGAGGACAGAAGCAGCGACTGGCCATTGCACGGGCGCTGATCCGAAAGCCAAAGTTGTTGCTCCTGGACGAGTCGACCAGTGCTTTGGATGCAGAGTCTGAGCGATTGCTTCAGGATGGGTTGGAGAAGGCAGCCAAAAACATGACGGTGATAGCCATTGCGCACCGTTTGTACACGATCCGTAAGGCGGATGTCATTTTCTTGATTGAGGATGGTCGTTGTGTTGAGCAAGGCACTCATGACCAGCTGGTCGAGCGGAGTGAGACTTATAGGGTCAGTGCCTTGAACCAGACAGTGGATGGGTAAGCGTTCTTGAATACAAAAAAAGTAGATAGCTGTTTTTGGGGGTTCTTCTGTCAATATAGATCTATACTGTTTAATCTCATTCATTTACAATTGACTTATAGCTTACTATATATATTTGCCTTTCCTAACATTTCTATCAACGCACATTTACTCCGTTACTTCTCCCAAGCGCATCCATTTCCAGCAAACTACTATTGTTAGCTCAAGCAATCTAGTTGGAATCTCGTGAACTTACTTTGATATCCTAGGTCATCATTGAAAAACATATCACGGATCTCGTCACCGGAGGATAGCCCCATGGCTGGAAAGTAGCCCACAGCCGTACGTCCAAGAGCCAAAGCCATCATTGGGGCTACCTCAACTAGCTCGACGAACTTGGGTTCTGTATTGTACCGCCTCGCTAACATCTGCTGGTGGATATTGAAAGCTGCGAAGTGCGCCTGGTGCATCGCTGCTCCGCCACGCTTGATACCTGACCATGAGGCAATATCGCCGGCAGCATAGTGACACTCCTTATTGGGCACATCTGCTGAAAACTGAAGATTGGGCGTGATACGGACATATCCCTCGGCGTCACACGCAGACTTAGGAAGGTATGAGGAAGTTGGTGCAAATCGTGACACTGCGTTGATCACATGGTCCGCAATAAGCTCTCGACCGTCAGAAAGTTTGAGCGTGTACTTCGCCGGAGACGAGTCGCTATCAAGCACCGTGTCCTGGACGCGTGCTCCTAACACAACTTCGACCTTAGACTCTCTCAGTATTTCAAGAGTCTTGTCTTTAAACTCATCCGGGAGATCTTCGGAGGAGAGCAGCTGTTGTCGGGAGTGAACGAGTGTCACCTTTGTCTGAGGTCGGAGCATCTTCATCTCGGCGGCGATCTCGATACCGACAGCACCTGCGATGAACCAATCAATTGGTGTAGCTCAAATGGAAGAAGACCATGTCACTTACCGCCTCCAATAACAACCACACCTTCCGCGGCTTTCTCAATAGTCCGCACAGAGTCTGCAGTTTCGGCAATATATGCCTCCCGAGTCAAAGACTTGGGCGCACTAGGCCACTCTCTTCGCAAGCCCGAGCACGCAATCATGTAGTCGTATGTCTCTTCGATAATCCGGTGCCCATCATTCGCAGTATTTTGAAGGATCCGCGCAATTCGGGACTTGCAGTCTATCGAGTCCACTCGCCCTTGGATGTGGTTGATATCCGGGGACTGGAGAGCGGTAATATCATCAAACTTTTTCCAAAATGTGCTAGCATCGGGGTTGGAGGCTATGGCTAAAGGCAGTCCGATTAGGTGGTCTAAAATACGTAGAGTTAGTGACATGCTTCCAAATATTACATCAGGATATCGCATACAAAAACCGTCGCGCTCATCCACGATAGTTACTTGCACAGGAATCGTGTTTCCTGGGCCCTGTTCGTTCTCGTCCAGATTGAATCGACATTTCCGGCCATGACACAGGTCAACAAGGTTCAGAGTTGCGGCCAACCCAGAATAAGACCCTCCGATAATGAGAACCTTGAAAGGGGGCTGCTCTTCGAGACTAGGCATGGCGGCGATCGGTACAGTGGACTTTTGGTAATAACAAAGGAGTTGTTGAGATGAGAAAAAAAGAAACCAAGTCAGGAGTCGGCAAATTGGCAATCCGAACAACTAACTTTGAATCAAATCACCATAACCAGGTCAAACATCCCAATACCCGGCCCCGGAGGAATTACGGTCCCAATTACGTATGTGTGTAATTTTGACTTTCCAGGGTTGCATGCAACTTTGTCTTATCAGATCCGACCTCGGAAGACTTGGCGCCAAGGGTTGAATACAGGTGCAATTCATACCATACACTGCACGCTACGTATTTTCTTCAACTCTTTCGGAACTATTCCTCAATAGTGAATATACATCCTCTTTTATATTCAATATGGGCTTCGTTGTTGTCCCCGCCACTCTCCCCGATATCCGAGCCATCTACGATGTCTGGTTTGCGGCTTTCAAAGGCCAATTGATCCTGGACCTCATCTACCCAGGAACCGATCTCAACGATGAGGCTTTCCGCAAAGTTCACACCGAAGGAACTCTTGGATACTGGAAAGGGTTGAGCATGGAGCACACCTTCCAGTGCATTGACACCGACACTAGTAAAATCGCCGGTATGGCAACATGGCAAGTCTACTGGCGGGGAAGGTCCGACGAAGAGCGTCAGAAGCCCTGGATTGGATGGTTAGAGGGTGAAAATCGAGCGCGTGCCGAGGGCTTTTTGGAACAGCTTTGGGAAAAGAGGGAGAAGTGGATTGGGCCCAAGAGGCACGTGTGTAAGTGGCTACTGATCCTTATATTGATAATGGCCGTATATTAACCCGGCGATAGACTGTCACACAGTTGCAGTGCATCCAGACTACCAGGGTAAAGGTATCGGAGCACAGCTTATGCAATGGGGAATGAATGTAGCAGAGCAGCTGAATTTGCCGGTTTACCTTGAGTCAACAGTGGAGGGAGTCCCATTGTACCAGAAGCTTGGCTTCCAGACTCTCTCCGAGGACGTTCTGTTTAAGCCTGAGATTACCAGGTCGGACAAAGAAGTTCGAGCACCACTCATGGTGAAAATGCCCACAGCTGCAGGAAACACAACATTCGAGGAATGGGCGGCGGACAAAAGTTCATCTGTGTAAACTAGGTATTTAGGTAATTTTATTTAGGCCTTCAAATGTCTAGATGCTTTTATGATATCCCAAATTTTTGCTTTTCGTCGCCAAGTAAGCTAGCTACTCATGTGCCTAGAATGTTGAACTGCATTTACAACATACGTCTATAGTCCGTGCGACACGTGAAATATGCCCCGAAATCTAAGCTCGAACGAGCGAGAACTCCGTTCAATCCCGGTAACCTAAGCAATCAGATAAGCCAGTAGATGATGGAACTGGTCATAAGTTTTCAACAGACTTGGCAACGAGTCCAAATTTTACCCAGAGGCCCAAGCGGTCAGAGAGTTGGGGCCAAGACTTGGCGTATGAGTGAACGACGATACCAACTGGGGCATTCATTTGATCCGTGAAAACCTTTCTCAATCTGATAACTGAGCCGAGAATGACAACAGGGGTACATGCCCCCACCATTCCCGGTGACTCATCGGTAGAAAATTATCCCATTGATTGAGTAAACAGCACGAAGATGCGGTTTTCGAGTGTATCCATGTGGGTTGGGGTTTTACTGTGGAGATAACAAGGGACAGTCAGTTCCAAACTTCGAAGGCATGGTATTAGGTCGTACGAAGTACTCCGTACACAGTATGTTGTATTCCGTATTATAAGCCAACTCCACATTGAGATGGAAGTGGCGGTCATGGAGGAATGAAACCAACTCGGCAAGTGCCGATCCGTCCCTCGACCTTGGGAAGGTCTCAAGATTAAATTGACTTTTCCAATGTAAGTAATACCAGCAATTACTTGTATCACGTACTATATAGAATACCATCACGCTAGTACCGTATTGAAATACAAAGCGGGGCCGCTGATCTTATCTGATCGAAAAATTATCAGATGGCCCACATTATGAACGCCAGGTCTGTATACCCTCGAACCTACCTGAGAACCAGAAAATTTTTCATTGTTCCGGGCGATCCCAATAACTTTAATCAAACATTAAATCACTCATATCAGGCGGTAAAATGGATAGCCGACATCGGCTGGTCGCGGGAAACTGCGAACACATTTTGTTCATATATTTGAGTTTGAGACATCCACTGAAACCGCAGGAAGGCTAACCCAATCCCGCCATGCGTCTTAATTACGCCTTTGCCGCCCTCTGCGGGCTACAAGCTACCCTTGTTGCAGCTAAAAACACCACTTGGCCCTGGCAAACGTTCAAGTCCAGCCCTCACGAGCCTCCAAGTCTCAAAATCTCAAAGTCCGGCCTTACCAGCCCTGGATACCTCTTCTTCGATCAATCATGGGACGCACATCAATACAGCGTGTTCATCATGTCGGACAGCAACGAGCTTGTCTGGCAGAGCCCGCCCGGTGATCTGAAGGGTTTCCGCGTACAGAAGCTGGACGGCAAGCCTGTGCTAACCTACTTCAATGGCCTTGGAGTCCCGGAGCCCTTTGGTTGGGGATACGGTATTATCCAAGTCTTGGATGAATCCTATCAAAGTATCTACAATGTCTCCGTGACGAACGACAATTACAAGGCATTAGGCAGCATTGACAGCTCCTCTTTTGTATCTTGGATTGACATGCACGAGAACACAATGACATCCGATGGGACAATGCTTGTCACCGGGTACAATGTCACCCAGGCTGATCTCAGTTCTGTGGGTGGCCCCAAGAATGGCTGGATTGCTGACTCGCTCTTCTATGAGATCGACGTTAAGACCAACGAGATACTTTTCCGCTGGAGTGCTCTGGATCACATTGATCAGATTCCTTTGGAAAATGTGCAACCGTTCTACCCTATTCGGGACTGGGGACACAACAGCAGCTCTCCCTACGGCTACTTTCACATTAACTCAGTGGACAAGTTTCAAGATGGAACGTACATCATTTCATCTCGTTACTACTGTTCGCTGTTCAAGATTGCGAAGGATGGCTCGGTTGACTGGACGCTTCAGGTAAATCCAAACTTCTTCAATTGCATCACGTGCATATCCCGGTATACTAATAATATGCAATAGGGTCAAACCGGGGGCGACTTTGCACTTAACGGAATCAAATTCAGTTACCAACACGACGCCCGAATCCACTACGAGACCGAGGATGCATTCACCCTTAGCATTTTTGACAACGCTAATTCTGACGTCCAAAACGGGACAGATCACACTGAAGGATTATTGATGAACGTCAATCTAGCCACTCGCGAGGTCTCCCTTGTCCAAACTCTCCACGATCCACGGGACGAGATCTTTTCGACTTCTCAAGGAAACACACAAATGCTGCCTAGAGAGCACAAATTGATGGGTTACGGGTCGAATCCCAAGATCAAGGAGTACAATGCCAATGGAACTTGTGTCATGACTGCTCAGTTTGGATTCGACGGTGTCATCTCAAGTTACCGATCCTATCGCTCCCCTTGGGTCGGCGTCCCCAAAACTCTCCCCGAAGTATTCTCCTGCATTGAGCAGGGAAGAAACAAGACCAATGTCTACATGAGTTGGAATGGGGCCACTGAGCATAAGCAGTGGAAGGTCTTTGGGGGCGCTAGTCGCTCAGACCTGAAGCCAGTTGCAGTGTTACGGAAGACAGGATTTGAGACTGTGGCGAGCATCAGAGAAAGTCTTAGGTATGTTCAAGTAGAAGCTCACGGCCTTGGGATCCAGAAAGGCGTTTCCGAAATTATCCCCGTGAAGAGTGGGTGTTAGGTACCGTGTATGATTGCAATATCTTGTGACTTTGGTTAGCATACATAGAGACGAGGACAGAATTTGAATTCTAATATTTTACTAGAATGCCTTTTTGTTTTTCTACAAGACAGTAAGATCTTCTGTATAGTCAATGGTCAAGCCTTGGTTACATCCAATTTTCTACTGACTGAAGCCCCTACTCGAGCATACAGTCGTCTCCTAGCCCTTGGACCACTGTTTTGGGTGAATAAATTCTTAAAAAAAGACGAATGATATATTCCTCGATGGCTACATGAGAAATATTGATCGTATGACAGATAATTACAACAACATCATTATTGGCTTCCATTAACTTCAATCTAATCCCCACACACTTCATCTACAGCTTTTCAATTTTATATCACAGCGCATCAACTTAAATCACACGACCCTTGACCTGCTTAAGATCCTTTATCTTAATATCTCTCCACATCGCAGAACATCCCCAAGCAACAACCAGCATACAGACACTGGTAATCAGCATGTATTGCTGCGCATCTCCATAAGCACGAGCAATAGCATTCCGGGCCGGGCTTCCCCATTCATACGACAGCTGGGCCGTAATATCCGAATAAACCTTTGCCACATTCACCTCCGCCGGCACGTACTTGGCCAGCGCCTTTGGGAATTCACTAGTCCAGATAGCGGCAGACACAGTTGAACCAATGGCACTGCCAATGCTACCAAACAGATTCAACATAGCAAGGATAACAGCGATGTGCTGGTGGTCTGAAGGCGCCATCATAGCAAGCTCGCCACAGATGACAGTGGTTCCACCAGCAAAGGCAACGAAGATTTGAGTCATGCAAATGTACCCAATACCAGCATCGGGCTGGCGGAATTTGATCATGAGACCAACACCTAGGATCATGAGAGGGAAAGAGAAGTAAACGGCCAGCCATTTAAAGCGACCAGTCCAGCGGATCAGGAAACCGACGAGGAGACAGAAGAGGCAGGATCCGACTCTGTAAATGGCTGAAACATAGCTGGCTTCTGTGACGTCCAGACCCCAGACGACCTGGAGCATTGATGAGAAGTAACTACCCCAGATCATCGAGTTCATAAATTCAAAGATGAACATCAATCCGCCGAAGAAAACGGTTCGGTCCATCAGCAGGTTGAATGGGATGAAGGTCACTGGGGCCCAGAATCTCTCGTAGATAGCGAATACGATGAGCAAAATTCCTCCAAAAATGATCATGCAGATAATCATCGCGGAGCGCCATAGGTCCTTTTGGTATGACCAGAGACTAAATGGAAGAAGGAACAAGGCCATTCCGCCAGCCAGAAGAATGATTCCGATCAAGTCAACGTCTATACAGTATTGCTTGACTGTAGACAATGTGAGCGGACCACGGCTGGGCGCGAGCAAACCCATCTTCTTGGCCTTTCTCTGATTCCAGAAGAACAGGATACACAGAGGAGCCACCACGAGCGGAACGAAAATTGTGAATATTCCGAATCCCCATCGCCAGCCGGGTCCTTCGAGGACACTCTGAGAGATTGGTCCTCCAATCCAGGTTGTGATAATGTATGGCGAGGTCGCAAAGGACAACATGAGAGCTCGATTTTTCAATGCTGAGGTATCGGAAATGAAAACTGTCAAACAATAGCTGACGCCTTGGGATCTAGATTTGTCGCAAATTAGTCGAGTTTGTGGAAAAAAAATATTGGAAAATCTCAATATGGATATCATACCCGACGGAAGAGAAAACTTGCGCAGCTGCGTATGTCTGAACGTTGTTGCAAGCCGCCATCATGATGAATCCCACAACCCAGATGAACAACATCAAACTCATACCCTGAGGCCGACCCCATGAATCCAATATCTTTGCCAAGGGAATTTTGCTCAGGCCACCAATGATATTGGCCATGATACTCGTGGCAGCTGTCAAAGAATGGAGCATGAAAGCACTAGTGACGTAGGGGTTTAGAGAACGGATGACGACCTCCTGAATTGATGTAACAAAATAGATAAACCAAATACTTCACATGATAAAAGTCAGTGGTTTGAATAAGTATAAATGTTGGATCATGGAGAGATTCTCACATCGCATATGCCAGGATCAAATGAGACTTGGACCACACGGCTGCCGCGGCCTGCACTCCCTTCACACCAGCTTGAGCCTCTTGATCGAGGGAATCATGATCCGAATTTTCAGGAGCGTCAGCGACATCTTTCGGAGTGTGAGCTGTCTCTGGCTCTTTCTCAGAAGGATAGGGTATGTCAGAGCCCATATCGCGAGCTATATCCTTTTCTGCCGATGCCATGGCAAGAGACACTAGTTTGAATACTACGAACTTGGCTAAAGTCGGCTATCAGTGGGGTATATATATGTCTTGGTCTGCCGGGTATATATTAGCCGATATCGCTAACATAGCAGACTCTGCGTAGCCAATGAGTATGTTGAATTGGCCAAAAAAGGTCCAAAAATGTCACTTGTAAGTTATAATAATTTCCGTTTCCGCCAGTTAGATTAGTTGGGGCCGGCCCCCTTGGCGTACCAAAGCGATTTTAGAAGATCCATAGTCATTCCCAGTGGCCTGGTCCAAATCGTATGCTCAGGCTCAAGTGTTCTGATGCCGGAAGATTTCGATCAGCTCATTCCAAGAAGGATTTTCTTTGGTTTTTTCCGATTCTAGAAGATCTGGGCCCAAGGACCCTGATGGTAACACTTTCTTTGCTATCTCTGTTGAGATGTTTATGGTCCTAGTGGTATTTTTCAAGTTGTGGATTCGTACCGTAAAATTTAAGCTTCAAAATTACGTGTATTTGAGCTTTACAGCGTTTCCCGCGGTACTATGTATTTTTGTTTTCGCGCATTAAATGAGTCCGCGTGTTGCGCTTTGAAAGTACAATCAAGGTAAAGAATTTGTTTGCCGGATAATTGTTTCCCTTTTCTATCCCACCCTGGCTCGGCAACTCTCAACATCTCAACACTGAGGAAAAGAAACACCACTCAAGGGTCTTAGGATATATCAATATGATATAAGCAATTCCATGTCCCAGTTGAACTCGGTCTAGGGATACTTTAGCAATAGGCCCAAACTTGCTGCCTGAGAGTAGTGCTCCATGGGCTAACCATTATTTCCTTTGGGAACTTGTTGATTCAATCCCACGAGTGTGTCCCACTCTCACTAAAACCATAGATTATGACAACTTTCTGTTCTTCTTCCACAGTAGAATTGGAGTTCATGCCCTATGTGTGATGAACATTTCACTAGTTCATGCTCCCCGAGAACTTTAGTAAGAGCTACTCACCCTTGTAGTGCTTGTTCTCTACTCTCAGCCAAACATTTAGACCATTCCCTCGCATCAGAAACACAGGTCAGACCTAAATCCCCCATTCGATACCGCACCTGTGTCAAGTGATAAGTAACATAACCAGAAACAAAAGCCTCCACAACCCCCGATAGTTCAAGATGGACCTTCCCAAGCGTACGCAAAGTCCGGATAACATCACTCGTATCATCACAAAGCTTCCTCAAAAGCTCGATCTGAGTCAACCCTTTACACCTAGCCTCGTTCGCAACGAAATTAAAGTTATCCGTCTCGCCGACTTCTTTGTAAAACGACATAATGTCATTTATCCAATTGAACCCCCACGTCAAATATGGTATCAGCGGCAGATAGTATTGGAGCCGCTCAGCTTCGGAGAATTGTGAGGTTGGAAATAACATATAGGAGTAGGCTTCGGCTACGCCGACTTTCAGACGAAAGTAACTGGGGAATAGATGCGCTTCTATGGGGAATTGAAGATTCGCGCTCTCGGCTTCTAGGTAACATGCACTGATAAACTGCAGTGAGTCCTTGATGATCATGTCGCCGCCAAATTGGCCGAAGATAGAATGGAAGGAGCTCAGGAACTCTGCCATGCTCTCGAGAATTGGGGTTCCTTGAGGCTGGCGGGTTAAGAGACGAGTGTTGAATTGCTTTAGGTGGCGCTTGAACTCGGGGTCGTGGGCAAAATCATCAATGATGAGGGAATATGTAGTGAATATTGCCACTGTGCATTGTATATCGAAGGGGGTTGTTTGGAAGGTCGTCGTTGCTATTGAGACGCCGGGCTTGATCTGTGGCTCGATCTTCGAAATGAATTCATCTGAAAAGCCGTCATGTTTGAAGTGTAGCTTCACTTCGTCTTCAACTGCGGAAGATTGTTTCAAGGGAGGAAATTCATAACCAATATCCAACAGAAATGCCTGGATAATTCCGGAGATCTCTGCCTTAAGCTTAGTACTAACGGCAATGGCCATCTTGGTAAATGGAAGAAGTATGGCAAAGAGAAGTGTAACAAGAAGAATAGATAAAAATAAGATGGATATATATATAGTCGCACAAGGAAGGTAATGGACTTAGGTAACTCATTGCAACATTATAGATGTGTAGATATACAAGAAAGGCGATGGACTCGTGTAACTCGTAGCAAGATCCTGAATATGTAGTTATACAATGCGATGGAATATATGAATATGTTAGGAAAGATTAACTACATAGTTCCTAATACAGAGTCACACAAAAGTCAAAAAATGACAAGATATTCTAGAAGAGCTTAGATGTCTTCCTTTCTGAGGAGACACAGGATAAGCGTCTCTTCTATATTAACTAGTTAATATAATATAACTAGTTCTTGAATGAACCAATTGGCTTGTCTATATCCAAATTAAGGCATTACGGCATCAAGATCTCTCACGTGGTCAGCGCCGTAACTTAATTTTTCAACCAATCAGAGGCCAGGAAATTACAATTTGAGATTTCTCAAAGCGGCTCTATCAGATTTAGCAAACTCAGTAAAAAATTAATCTCTGGGAATGGACACAGAGAGGATGCACGACCACGATATTGAAAAGAATCCAGAGAATCCAGAAAAACACAACAATGTCGAGTCACACCAATTACAGCCGCAGCCAGAGTTGCAGCGAAGGCTCAAAAGCCGACATTTACAGATGATCGCAATGGGTAAGAATTCTCCCAATGATAAATTTTTGTTCGGATTCTTATTATCATCTTTTTAAAGGAGGTGCTATCGGAACTGGTCTATTTATCGGCAGTGGAAGTTCCATTGCTACCGCGGGCCCTGTCGGTGCTCTGATTGCATTCACCTTCATCGGATCAATCGTGTATTCAGTCATGATCGCCTTGGGCGAGGTAGCCACCTACCTACCGATCGCAGGAGCATTTGCCACCTATGCAACCCGCCTAGTCGATCCCAGCCTAGGCTTTGCAATGGGCTGGATCTACTGGTTTTCATGGGCGTCGACATTTGCCCTTGAGCTGACAGCCACCGGCCTAATCATCCAATACTGGGATGACACAATCCCGATGGCAATCTTCATTGCTGTGTTCTGGGTTGTTATCATCATTTTGAACATGTTTCCTGTCAGCTGCTACGGCGAAGTCGAGTTTTGGCTTTCAAGCATTAAAATCATCACCGTCGTTGGGTTTATGATATTCGCTATCTGCATCAATGCTGGAGTTGGCAGGGAGGGTTATCTGGGCTTCAGATACTGGGTTCATCCTGGCCCATTTCGGGCTTATCTGCTCGAGGATCCTGGACAAGACGCTCTGGCTAAATTTATCGGATTTTGGGCCATTCTGATCAAAGCCGGGTTTTCATATCAAGGCACTGAACTTGTCGGTATTGCTGCGGGTGAAACTGAAAACCCTCGCAAGAACATTCCCTCTGCTATTCGGAAGACTTTCTTCCGGATCGTGTTTTTCTTCGTTTTTACGATCTTCTTCGTTGGTATCGTCGTGCCATCCAACGATGATCGCCTTATCTCCGATGATACAAATGCCGATGCATCACCCTTTGTCATCGCTGCGAAGCGTGCCGGTGTCAATGTCCTGCCTAGTATCATCAACGCAGTCCTGCTCACTGTGGTCCTTTCCGCTGCCAATTCCAACGTTTACAGCGGGAGTCGGATTCTCGTCGGTTTGGCTCATGAGGGCTTTGCTCCTCTGTTTTTCATGAAAACAACCAAACACGGCGTGCCCTATGGAAGTGTTGGGTTTACGGCTCTTTTTGGACTGTTAGGCTTCCTCAATGTGTCGAATGCTGGAGCCACTGTTTTCAACTGGTTGATGCAGATTGCTGGCTTGGCCGGTTTTATTACCTGGGCATCTCTGAACATTTGCCATCTAGCTTTTATGAAAGCTTTGGCTGCTCAAGGGATTTCACGTGACAGCCTTCCCTATAAGGCTACCTGGCAACCCTTTTTCTCGTGGTATGGCTTGTTTTTCAACATACTTATCATTATCACTCAGGGTTTCACTGCTTTCATTCCGAAATTCAGTGTTACTGATTTCTTTATCAACTATCTCAGTTTGATGTTGTTTGCGGTGCTATACCTTGGGCATAAGATTGCTTACCGCCCGAAGTTTGTGAGACCTGCCGAGGCTGATATTGACACTGGACGATGTGCGGAATGAGTTGGACTGTGTATTAATGTATATTAGAGATATTAGAATTGTATAAATGTAAATAAATGTATTATGTAGTTATATTGAAATTGATATAAAAATAATAATCTGTCATGGATAACCCAGTGGAAGGCTCACCGCTATGCCAATTACCTTGCTTCGGTCGCCAAGACCAGCAGGAAAGGTGCCTGGTACGAATCCTGGGGTTGGCATTTTCACTCGTGCGAGTAATCCACGACGCTGGAAGCCACTAAGCAATGGAAATGACCCTTGAGGGAAGCAATTCTGCAGAGACATTTCCACCCCGGGATGGCGTCGCCAGATTACACCGTCCTGTTACAGGGAAGTTGGCAATTTGGTGTGACAACTACTATTTTTTTTTTCCCCCTTCACTAGAGCTAGCATTTAATATTCTTTCTCTTTGTTCTTTATTAGGAGATAGATAACCCCTGAATTTTTGTAAAGACCGGTTAAGTTAATTCAACATTAAACACGCTACCGCATGATAAAAAAAAAAATGTACAAAATGAAAAGAACACTGCATCAGCTATCCCAGAGAAATCAAGGAGTCCCCATATGAGTCTCATGCGCATGCACCGTATTCTGCGTTTGCTCCAAAACCACCGCATAAAATTTCCCTTCTTCTGAGATATCACGGTACGGACCTGCAGAGACAACAGCCCTATTCAAATTAGCATTTATATTCTCATATCAAAGTCAAGATGAAAAGAACATACCACCCCTTATACTTCGGCTGATTAAAAATATCCGTAAAAACCCTCAACACTCGCAACGGCAACTCCAGAATAGAAGGCAGTTCAGGCCCATCGCCACAAATCGGTAACCCCAGCTTGTTAACGGGCAGGTAGACGGTCTCTGCAAGGTTCTGTGGGTTGCGCGTCTCTTGGAAGATGAGGAGACGGCGCGAGGCCTGCGACGATGGTCCAGACGGTGGTCTGGTGTTTGCGCTCATGCTCATGCTCATCGCGAAGGCTTTTTGAGTGTGCAGAGTGCGTAATAGGTTTTTTCGGAGATTTGGGTTGGATTTCTTTTTTCTTGGACTTGGAGTTTGGGGTGGATTGTTCAGTTTGGCTGTTTCTTTTTTTTTTCTTTTTGGTTGTTGTTTTTTTTTCTCCCCCTTGGACTTTTGTGTGTCCTTAGTTTCGGGGTAACGCGTTTTCTGCGACCTATTAGTATGCGTCTCTTTTCATATTCACCATGGACTTACTATTTGTTGACAGTGGCGTGTATGAGGGCGCGACAGGCTCTGCTTATCGTTGGGCGATCAGTGTCCCGATTAGGAGATCGCGGGGCAAAAAGGGGGGTGCAGAAAAGATGAAGATATTAGATGAAGATATTGGAAGATGAAGAGGGATGAGAAATGTTTAGGGGAAAATACTTGGATGTCAACAGAAGAGGGGAGACTGAGAACTTATGACTGTACTTTACTGTACTTGTACATACTGGAATGAATTATTAGAACTCATACACATGTAATCATGACATTGATGAATTATTCCTAAGATACTCTAGAGTCTCTAGATGACCTAGGTACAATAAAATAACAGTCAAAATAGAAAGAAAGAAAAAGCAATGGGTATCATGATAATGTGGCCGAAGAGAAGAGAAACAAAAGAACGGCAATCCCGCTGAAATCAGGGATAAATCATAGTATGTGGCATCATTCACCAGCAAGATGATCTTAAGAATCAAGCATCAAGCATCAAGCTCTCCCTCTAGCACTCTCCGCGCAGCATCCAGACGACGCCGCAGCACACGCGCAGCTTTCACATCTGGATCCGCGGAGGTCGTGATTGTCTGTAAATCCGTACAAACCTTACCCAGGCTACCGAACAGTGCTTCCAGCATCTGTGTGTCATCGTCGTTGATACCACCAACAGTGGGGGTGCTGGATGCCGCGCGCACAGTCGACACGAGGGATGAGACAAGTGAGGTTGGGGTTGCAGAACCAGTTGTCGCTGAAGATGAGCGACCAGTAACTTTCTGAGGAGAAAGGTTATTCGGGTCCATTGGAGTGGTGCTGCGGCTTGCGTATCGTGGTCCACGGGGTGTTTCAGAGCGATCACCTTCAACCTCGACCTCTTGGATTGGACTTGGTTGGTGGCTGTGGCCGGGACCATGAGATTGGAGGTGTGACTGGGAGTGGTTACGGCTATGACCATGGCCATGGCTATGTCCGTGTCGCAGCTCTGACCAGGGATTAGTGTCGGAAACGCCAGGGAAAATGGATCGGAACGCACCATGATTGAATCGTCGGTCCCAGTACATCACGCTATCGATGTCGTCCTCGTCGTCGGGACGCTCGCCTTCATTTGCAGTTGCGAAGGTTGCTACTGTCGAGACGGACATGTCGCTGTTGGTACGGGAGTGTCGCGGTTTGTATGTGGGTCGAGTTGTCGCGACTGATCCGTTCGAGCTGTTGCTCATCCGACGGAGTTGCTGGCTGTAGTTACCCAGTGCGCTATGCAATATGAAATGCTCATAGTCGAACGCGTCCTCGCGCATCTCGTGAGGCGTCGCGTCCGTCAATGGCATGTCAGGGAAGGCTTCCATGTCGTTCTCGAGATCATCGTCAAGCGGTTCACTCAAGATCTCGTTCAGGGCTTCGCGGTCAATGTCCTCAAAATCACCTTCTTCGGCATCTTCGTACATGGTCTCAGCGACAGACTGGTCATCGGCATAGTCGACAGACTCGTTTTGTTGACTATTTCCGGTGTGTTTGGATGTATTTCCAGCGGCATGCTCGTCGGATCTGCGGTGATCTTCCGCCGCTTCATCATTCGAGACATCCTGGACGTTTTCAGAGCTGGTGTCACGTCGGGAATTGGAGCCACGACTGCCCTGACCATCCCTGAGCTCCATCGCATTCGTATACCAGTGATCAGCGGCTGTCAGTGGGCTGGGTGTACGCAAGCTTTGCAAGCTACGTCGGCGAAGATTATCCTCCTGGTTCTTCACCTTGAGGGAAGATATCTTGATGTGAAGACCCTTCATCTGATACTGAAGATCACGCACCTGCAGTTGCGACTGCGCGCGGCTAGGGGGGCCATAGGAGCTGTAGACTGGACTGAAACCGTCCGGGCTGGATTTCGATCCCTCGGAGGAAATCCCCAAGCCATGCGGCGAGTCCGACAAACTGTCTTCGGTGGAAACAGGCGACTGTGCCATTTGACCCTGTTCCTCCTGGTCACGCGCATGTATGGCGGAAGAAACCGACGACCTGTGCGTCAGATATGCCCTCGTGGGTGCGTAATGGAACGACCGATCATCCGTATGAAGACTGGAGGAAGTGCTTGCGCCCATAGCACTGACCGAGCGCGAGATGCGCTTGGTATCATTCGAGAAGCTCGAATCAGAGGGAATATTCGTCTCAGAGTGCCCTCTCGAATGGCGATTATTCGTCGTGTCTTGCGACGCAATAAGCGACTGCCGTCGAAGCGACGAGTTCTTAGGATCGGTGCGCGAAATCGACCGGTACAGTCCACCCACAGGCTGATGCATACCCATTGGTTGGATATAGCCTAAATTCGAGGGCGAGGGCGAGGCAGATGTGCGCGTCGTTGACCGAGCTCGAGTGAGATTGTTTTCCATGAGCTTAGAAAACAAACACGTCAGTATTATTATTCCCTAGCCAAGCTGCACGGCGCAAAACAAGACAGTCGACCTACATTCAACCGTTTCTTCGCATTCTCCAGAATCCTCTCAGCCTCGCTACTCAGTATCGCCGAGGAAAACTCGTCCCCTGGCCCCTTACCCTCTGCAGCTGCAGACGCTACAGCACTGCTAGCCGGCACAGGAGAACCCGCTGCAGTCGCAATGACCGCAGTAGCTTGCGCTCTCGCGACCTCAGGGTCAACGGGGGATTCATCGTGTCCGTTATGCGCCTCAGACGTATCCTTGGAAGGAGAAGCGCGTCTGCTCCCCGCACTGATGGTGGAATTGGAGCTACTCCACGTAGCATTATTTTTATTCTCATTATCCTTGTTCTGATCATCAGGTAGTAGCGGTGAACTAGCCAGCTGTTCGTCCGAATCGCCAAATCCTAAGCTAGCAGGTGACAGCTCCTCGCCGATATCCGAGAGACGACGGCTGACATTCACGTCGTCGTGGGTCCAGGCATGGCGGGAAAAATTTTTCTTCTGTCGACTGGGTACCGACATGGAACCATTGGGGTCTGATTGGCGGGAATTGAGATGCGACAGGTAGCCGATTTGGGGTGGGGAAGGAGTTTGGGATTCGCGTTCTCGTTCGTATGGTAGGATCATGGATGGGTCTGATAGAGTGAGGGAGGGCATATTGTCTCTCTCTCAGGCCCTGGGGCCTGGGGGGTTTTCCGTGCAAAATTGGTGGAAGGGAGAGAGAAAGGGAGAAGCCGTAGTAGACGGGTTACCGTCACAGTGTAAAATCCCCTTAGACAAAGTACGGTTTAGCGTGCCCTGATCATTGCCTGATTGGGATATGTTGTTGTGAAGATATTCCCAGTTTCCTAAATATACTTACAACGTACTTATGTAAATGATGAGGCTTCAATGTACTCAAAATAGTTCAAAAAAAGAGAGAGTAGGGTATAAACAATAAGTTGATAGATCAGATTGAAATTTTTACTATGCAAATACATTGACAAGGAGTAAACAATAAGCTTTCTATGAAATTACCCAGGTAAATCCCAATATCTACATACTCCGTTTAATCTAATTTCTTTAGGATTCTCTTCAAATTCTAGAAATGGATGTGATCTATATTGATGTAGGGAGTACAGAGTACATACACTATAGGATGCATTGTTGCAATAATATGATCCGGACATTTTATTGCACTATATAAACACAATCAAATCCATTCGGGTTTCGTTAAAATAAAAATGGACGAACCCCTGAGATCGTCCAGAAGTTCCACAACAGTGGAGAACGCAATTTCAGGAACATCTCAACGTTATGGAGAGAAAAAAGAAAAAAAAGAAAAGGTATGCTTTTTTGTATACAACGTAATTACACATGCAATAATCCCGTAGAAACGCTTACATCTAGATCTTCGACAGCAACAACTTCGCTCCACTGCTAGTCGGGCTAGGCTTCGCCTTTCCATCCTTCTCCACGACCAACGCCGAGGCCTGCTCCAGCGCCTTCTTGTTCTTCTTCAAAGTCTTGAGCAACTCACTCTTCTGCTCAAAGTCCTCTGACTCGGTCAGCGCGACAATCACGAAGGGGTTAGCCCCCGTCGCCCAGTCCATGACCTCATCCTTGATCTGAGAGTACAGCACATTGTGGAAGTTCAACGCAGGCTCGACCTTCTCAATGGACTTGGTGGCCGGGTTGAATCGTCCGCCCTGCACAAGAGACTTGAGAAGACGTCCCGCGTGGGCGGTATCGCGGGCTTCGGTGTGCGACTTGGCGGCCTCGGCCACGGCCTCGAGAGCGGCGGTCTTATCACCGTCAGCTTCGAATAGCACCTCGGAGAGGAACTGGCAGCCGAAGGTTGTCTCAAGAAGGGTAGAGGCGCGGGCAGCGATGAATTCGAGTAGGGTGGGGGAAGCGGCCTTGACGAGTTCCTGGCGACGTATGGCCGGTTCTTTCTTGGAGGTTTCTTTGCGGACCTCGCGGACCTCTTCGAGGACGGGTTGGTCAGCCTCGGGGAGGAGCCACTTGACACGCTCGCCGGCGAAGGGGTATAGCACGGCGATACGGGCAGTCAAGTCGTTGACCTGGTAGCAGAGTTCCTCGTTGCGGGCCTCTGCGTCATCGTTCTGGTTCAAAAGCTCGGGGAAGAAGGACTTGGAGCTAAGCTTAGTGTCATCAATGACCTCGTACGCGGCAAGAATAACCTGGTGGCCGTAGACATCGCCAGCCATGGCCTTGATGGTGTCGCGGTAGAATCGTAGAAGCAGCTTGCGGTCCTTAGCGTTGGAGTATGCGAATGTAAGACACATCAAACGGGAGCCAGACTTGGTGAAAGCCAAGTTCTTGACCAAGTCACCCTCTTCATCGCCCTTGAGCAACTCGATGAACTCGTTGGCTTCGTTGCTGCCGGGTTTTGTGTTGAGGAAATATTGCAACATAGCATCGTGGAGCATGGTGAAACCAGTGCTCTTCTTCTGCACCAGCTGGTTAATCAGCTCGCGCAAGTAGTTCATGATGGGTCCACGCTTCTCGGGGTGGGCTTCAATGATCTTAGTGAGATCGGAAGTGGTGTCATTCTCATCTTGGAAGATGACAAACTCGGGTCCGTACCACTCGCGGAGGAGTCTCGCCTTCTGTGCCTTAGTCGCAACTGTGCGGTAGATATCGTCAAGAATCCATGAGCCCTCGGGGTGGCGAATGAGACGTCTAACATGGCCGTAGAACTCTGGGATGATCAAATCGCGGGTCTCGTCATCTCCGTGGACAATCAACTTTCCAACCAAGAACTTGGCGTATCGACTTTGCGCCAGCTCCTTGTAAGTGCCCTTCAACTCATGCGCAATCAACTTGCGCTGCTCGAGGTTACCATACTTGAGAGCAGTCTGAATGACTCGCACCGAGTCGTGCTTGAACACAAAGTCCCGAACACGGTTAGTGATGATCTCAAACAGCTCCTTAACAAGTTTCTTTCTCTGCTCTAGAGGCACATGGGACTTGCGGCGCAATTGCTCCCACAACTTCTTGGAGCGGGCGACGGTATCGGCATTGGGCTTCGCGGCCTTGCGCTCCTGCTGGAGTGCTTTTTGCTTGATGTGAGATTCGCGAGAGTCTAAACGCGCAATAACGATTAGTTGGGCCACAGTCAAGGAGGCAGGAACTGCAACTTACTGTTGGAGTTGGGGTTCTTTGGGGCCTCTTTCTGCTCTCCGTTGTTCACATTCGACTTCTCGTCTGACTTGGGCTTCTCCTCCTCCTCGCTCACATCGGGCATCTCATCGTCTGAAAGGGTGTCAAGGGCATCAATATCTTCGTCCGAGACGTCGTCAATGTCGAAGTCATCGTCGTCCTCGGATTCTTCCTTCTGAACCTTCTTCGAGGGCTTCTTGTCGCTCTTGCTGGATTTGGAATCCTTCTTTGAGTCCTTCTTTGATGAAGAGCTTGACTTCACGCTCTTGGACTTGGATGCGGAGCCTTCCTTAGTCTTGCTCCGCTTGCCATTGCGCTCCTCGCTGCCGTCAACAGCACGCTTCAGTCCAGCCATAATGAAATATGATTTCCGTAGGCTGTAGGGTATCTCTGAAAAAAAAGTAATAAAATTGGGGTCTTTGCGAGCGGAGACTGCTCGATGTCCTGGTGGATAATTTTTTTTGATTGCAGGCGGAGGAAGTTTTTTTGCCGGCTGTTTGCACTGTTTGCACTGATAAGATACAACGCTGCCCTGGAGTTTTTACTCAAAACAAAAGCAGGTTTATACACTTGGAAACATTTGAAAATAACCATTTCTATTGGATTTCCTGCAGAAAATAAGTTTGACTTATATGTAGAGACCCAGGAGCCGATTGCCATGAAAGTTCTATGAGAATAAAGTGTAGAATATTGTCTCTGAACAAGGCACACATGGCCCGAGTCGCAACTCGATGGGAACAGATGTACAAAATGCTTGTAAGTGACATGAGCCACCCAGACTCTCTAGGGACAAGGTGATCCCTATTACCATTGATCAAATCCAAATTATATCACCACTTGAGCAAGTGTAGCATGCATCACCCGAAACAAACCCAGAACGCCGTACAGAGAATCAAAACGCATCAAACATATCTCATCACTCATCACTTCATGTCTCATCAGCGGGTACAGGTGCAGAGGTATTTACTTTCACAGACCCCAGTTCTGATCCGACACCACTCTGCGCGCGCTTCCGGCCAGGAATATGGAAATTGAAGGACGAGGTAGAAGACTTGGGCCCGGGCGATTGCGCGTCATTAGTAGAGTCACCGAATCTGGCGAGGAAACCTTTCTTCTTCGGTTTCGCCTCGTCATTTAGGCCTACTTCTTCGAAAGTTTCTTCCTCCATGGGGTCAGGCTTGGTGAAGCTATTGGAGTGAGTACCCGACGGGGTTAATCTTGAGAATCTAGAATCAAGAGAGGTTCGAGAAGGACCAGCATCGGGGTGAATTATGGGTGAGCGGGCGGAGATATCCTAGATTGAAGATTGGATGTGAGTTTGGGTTTATGCGGATCGATTCGGGTGGGCATACAAATGATCGGCGATAAGAGTCGAAGGACTCGCGAGAGATGGAGAAAGGCTCATTCTCGTCAACGAGATCTCTATGGTTGATGGATTTGTTGGAACCCGGGTACCGGCGCCAGAAACTCGGCCGCTCGGGAGGAGAAGGCTATTGTATTAAATTAGCAGGCGTATTGCAATTTCCCGAGCAAACAGCCTATACCGGAAGATAGACACCGCTGTCGTTGACCACTAGGGACCGAGGTTAGCAAGAGAGTCAAGTCTTATAATCACAACAGTGCGGACAGTGCGGGGAATTCGAACATACCACTCAATTTGTACTCGGAGGGTTCATCTTGACTACTACGGATCGATATGGGCGCAGGGCGTTGATTTGGAGAGAGTAAATTCTCATCTGAGACAGGATCCGCATTGGGTTGGGACTTTCGTCCTAGAAAGTTGCGAAATGGAGGCATGGTTGAGGAAGTGAAGTATGGAGAACGGGGGTTTCCCATGTGAAGTTGTCCGATTCTTCCCTACGTCATCCAACTTATGAAAATAATGAAAGAATCAGCCAATAAGACTAGAATATGTTTAAAATTATGCTGTAAGATATATTATTCTATTTTTGATCTTTGTGTCCCTGATCCAGTCCCTGACCTCGTGTAACTGATATACTATATGTGAACGGAGTAGAACTACATTTATACAAATCACGACTCTACATGGAAGAAATAACATTTACTTCATACATTCAAGCTAACAAATAAAGCTTTAAAGCTACAGAGATCAAAGAAAGAAACACCCTTCAACACCCACGAACACCCAATTAGAAACATCAGAACATTCCATATGGATTCCGATATTTTGTATCGCAGTTCGCTTGAAAATAAGATCCACCTGCAAACAAACTCCATAAGCAAATCAGACCCAAGACCAGCCTCAATTCAGAGACTTGGACTGATGCCATGCATTTCGCTATCGCTTTCGTAATGGCAAGTGTCACCAGTAATTGACCTACATTGACAACGCAAACGAAAAAAAGGTGACTCGGACATTGTTGGTTCCTTTTTTTTCGAAGTTTTGTCGTTTTTCGATTTTTGTAGTGATTTTTGGCTTTTTGTAATTGGATTTCGGTGATAAGCTAGGTGGCGTTGTTGGGTTCAAGGAGACTGGCACTGTGGTGACAATCTAGAGAACGCGAGTCGGATGGGTCGAAGACGGCGTTCTTGCGCTCTTCGATGAAGTAGGCTGTGCAGAAAAGTAATGTTAGTTAAAAAGAAAACTTCAAACATGTGCAAATTATAATACAATGTGGTGTGACGTACGGGTAATTTGGATCATGTCAAACCAGCGGACAGCATGCTCGTCGCTACCTTCGACCGCCTTCAGGATACCATTATCTGGGCGGAAAGTGGCCTTGGGAGGAATGTGGCGCATGCGCAAGAGCATCTCCAGGATATCGGCAAAGCGGTCAGACTGGTTGAAGTAGTAAGGGGGGCGCTTATCAAGGGGCCACTGTATGGATTGTTAGTGTGACATGTATCATGACGAACAGATATGAACCACTTACGCGCTGAGAAAAGTTCTCGTTATCCCATGAGCGGAACAGCCAGCATGTGCGCTCCACGCAGTTCAGGAGGATAATAGCAACGATGAAAGTATCGAACCAGCCACACTTCTGGCGCTGAAGGAGTCGACGCTCCAAATCATTGATGACAAACTTGCTCAGCTGGGAGGCACGCTTCTCCATAGCGGCGCGCAACTGGCTGCAGAGAAGTCCGTATGACTCTGGGTCAGATACCTCCTCGATGGGCAGGCGGCCCTCATCCGATGGCTGAGAAAGAGAGTGCAACGAGTTTGGGGGCAGAGTGGGGTTGTAGTAAGTCTTCCAGGTGAGTTCTGTATCGACGAGAATATGGGTCGCAACCCACAGCTCCAACACGCGTTCCAGAAGAATATCCTGTATCTTTGTCAATAAATGTTTCCACATTGAATGTTGAATAACATACCTTCTTCCCCTGGCTGAGTTCAGCAGCAAGAAGCAGAGTGGGCTTCATGAAAGGCGAAGTCTCTCGCTCGTAGAAGTAAGAAGCGTTCTTCTTGATGTACATCTCCAACTTAGCTGGGATATCATCAGAGTCAGCGTCCAAGAGGTAGACTTCTTGAGAAGGACCAGAGAACTGGTCATCTCCAAGGGCTTGCAACTGAGGATCAAGTGCAGACACTGAAGTGCGGTGGCCCTGCAGTCCACTGAAAGTCATGAAAGAATTGCTCTCTTCGAAGTGGGTAACTTCAATGCGACCAGAGTAGTGATCAAATTTGATTTGATTTTTGATGCTGTTAGTATCGTGATAGGCAAGGGTCGAGTTGAGATCTCGAGTCCGAGTCAGTATATCATTGGAAAGAGCAAAGAAAAAGAAAACATACTCGCATTGTAAAGTTCAAACTCATCCGAAAGTCGGGTGCGCAGGCACGGATGTTTCCATAGACGAGCACTCTCCACACTAGCGCAAGTTGTGCAAGGGGTATCGCCAGAGCACTATCAACATTTGTCAGTCATATTCACTTACTCCACACATCCAAAGATTCACAAATACATACAGGTTTCTTGAGCATTCGACAACGAAGGCATGCACCCTTCTTCCGCACGTCTTGGACTTCACGGCGTCGCTCTGCGGTGAAACGCCCCCGCACTTTGGGCTTCATAGGCTTGGTTGAGTTACCGAACTCGTTCACAAACCCTTTTGCTTGGGTATTTGGGTTCATGGCGATAGGTCGGGGGTAAGATGCCGCACGCTGAGTGGCAGCAGTCAACGAAGGGTCATGCTCTTGCAGGCTGTCGAAAAGAAGTTGCTCATGTGTGGACAGCTGCTGCCATTGGCCCAACTTCATATCAGAGCTAAGGTTATCACTGTCAATCGACATTCCTTGAGGAACCATCTCGTTGGCAGAGGCCGCAATCAGCGACAGCTGTGACTGGCGTGCATTAGAGGTAGATTCAGGTGACATGGACGGATCGCCGCCAAGAGGCGGAGACATGGATGATGGGTGATCGCCTGGAGTGTGACTTGGAAGGGCAGGAATACTAGGAGCGTTGGATGATTGAGGTGTTCCTACACATTGTTAGTGGGTTAAGGCGCAACAGTGGACAAAAGGAAAACATGCCCTCGGCATTTGCTGCACCCTCCATCTTAGAATCAGATGTTTGTGAGTGTCCTTGGAAACCCTCTGCTTCAAGCGCGGGGTCAACAATCACGGTCTTGCCTCCAGCCGTCACAGACTGAGTGTATCCAGGTCCGCGCTTGGTCACGTCCGAAGCGCCCACTTGTCGCGAGGCTTCGGCCAACACGTTGAGACCGTCAAAGTTCTGTCGGGTGGTAAATCCACCATCAGCAGACTTTCCTTTATTTCCAGCAGGCGAGTCTTTGTTCGAGTCTCCATCAGTCAAGTCGGGGAGTTCGTGGAGTCGCAACAACACGCGTTGGCGGTCGCGCAGGGGAATCGCCTGGCATTTTTTTACCAGATGATTGGTAAGACTGTCAATGCGACCCTTAGGAAATACCTCACCACAGGCTTTGCACGTATGTTGGTAGCGATTGCTCGCGTCTTCCAGCTTGGGACCCCGGTGGAAGAACTCGAGGATGAGTTGGTTGGGTTTGCGACCCATTGTGGGGTTGTTATGGACGTGTTTTTGAGAGGGGTTCACGTGTCAATTCAAGCTCTAGTGACCGTAAAGAGTCGAATAGAACAATCGACGTATCGCTCACTCAGAATGGGCAGTGAGTCCCACCAAGCTGATATGTCTGTGGACTCGAATTAGCAAACGTGGAATGTGGGATTGAGAGAAAAATCACGCACACAGTCACAGGAGACTGGCAGGCCCAGGCTGCGAACCTCAGATAAGACCAGTAGCCTCAGAATAGACTGAAATGGATAATGAAAAAACAAATCTCAAGATGAGTGAACCGACGATGTGCGGGCAAAACGCAGGGCAGTAGAGGGCGGTCTGGCGGTCGCAAGGGGAGGAACACGCGATGGAGGCTTCACCGCACGAAAGGCGGTGATGTCTTCAAGGCGGTAGGAGAAAGGCGGTGATGAAGAAAGAAAAAGAATGTCTCAATATCAGAGTGAATATGAGACGAGGGAAAAGGATGAGTTGTTACGGGATGAGGGTGAAGAGGAAAAGGTGAGTACTGGAGGGAGAGGAATTCTTAGTCACTTTGTGCCACTGTGACTTGCCTCTCTGAATCCTCTCTCTCTCCTTCTGTATGGAAACTCTATGTATGAGCAGCTATGCAAGCTGTATCATTTCTTTTTCTTTATTTTTTTTTTATTATTCTTAGGGTAATGGATCTTCTTGATACACAGAAAGACGAATCATCGGTATACATCCTATCCCTACATGTAGGAAAATGGCCAATCCAAAGATATTGTCATTCCTGTGCCTACATAATATTTCGGTTGCCCATGTGTCCTTAAAACATCCATCACTCTATATTATATGTAGATATTACTAACACTAGAATTATTGTTGTCATCGCATCGTGTATTTGGCTATTCTCTCATGAACTCATGGACGCAACCGAGACTATCCTATGCCGTAGAATGTGCGTCAACAGATCCGGTGCTCGGGAGGCCGCCAGGGCACACCCAACACAGCAAAAATCCGGCGTTCATCCCGGCCTTCAACCAGCCGGCCCTCATTCAGTTTCACCTGTCCATTCCGAAGCACATCCTTGAAAAGGCCCTTTTGATTCAAGCACATGCCTTTCTTGCGTGCTAGCAATCTCATACTCCGGTTGAATATATCATTCCCCGTAAAGTATATCAACGCCGCCCCAATCTCTGCATCAGGAACGAACAGCAAATCTATCCGACGCCACAAAGTGGTGCCAGGTAGGGCTGACGCACCGTGCCACTTAGATCCATCCTGATGCGACGAGATGGCAAGGCTGGCCTGCAGAAACCCACTGCTGAACAATCTAGGGACAACAAGACCAAACATCATGGTGCGGATTTGCTCCAGCGAGGCACCAGGTTTTGTGATCAGGCAGTCCACGTCCCCGCAGGTGAGTGCCCCGCGGCGGTAAGAGCCTGCGATTATCACCTGCATATCCCTATCAACGGCCTGCACCGCCTTTCGCACAATTGCCCCGTGGGCTTCGACCTCCTTGCGGGGGATTCTTTGAGCGAAGTCGCTGTGACGTTCCACCCCAATACGCTGCTGCTTAGTCAATGGAGCCCTTTCCAATAAATCCTTCAGAGATCTGTAGCCCTGAGCGACCCACTTGGAGGCCTGGGTAAGACCAGCACCATAGACGCCAAGGAATTCCTGAATTATCAAGTCTTCTGGGGTAATATTCGTATTTTCCAGACGACGAAGGCGGTTAGTCAAGACAATTTCCTCGATCTTGTCAGCCAGCCTCTCTCCAATACCAGGGATAGCCCGAGCCTGTGCTCGTGTAGTAACTTTATTTGGTTGCTTTCGCAAAGCGGTGATGGCTTTGCGGTAGGCTATAACCCGCCACTGGTCTGCAGTCTGGGTATAGTATTCCAACATTTGCTGAAGTACCTCGATGGTTCTGTTATTGGCATTGTCAAGTTTCGTGCCCGGATCGAACTTCTGCATACAGGTGAAACCTTTGGTCCAGTCAGATTTGTCTTTGACTTTGCTTTTTCCAGCTGCTTTTCGTGTCTTCCAACTTGACTCCTCCCCTGAGCTCGAGGTTTCGATATCGGAGGCATCAGCAGCAGATTCGTCAGTGGGAAATTCAAGTGGATCCAGAGGCTAGCTATAATGATCAGTTGTTTGGGTTCTCACTGACAAAGAAGTGGTTTTACCAGATGCCTTGTGGCCTTAGCCTCATCTATTATATCATCCAGTGCATCTCGCTCCCAGTTTACTCTTTCACACGCCTCTTCCGTTGCGTTTTCATTGACTGGACCGGAGATTACGGCGTGGGTCACACCTTCGGGCACAGTTTCTGTCTCTTTTGGCAAGGGACTTGGTATCTGTTCCTCAACTGGAGACAGATGGTTTTTCTCCCGCCGAGATTGTTTCAATGGAAGAGAATCAGGTGGTGAATCTGCCACTAGAAAATTATTTTTCTCCACAGTCGTCGAGGTTCCATTGACACGAAAGCGGAGCTGCGAGGTATCGAGAACCGAACGAAACTGGATACATTCGGATGGGTATGATTCATTGACAAGAGCAACACTCGTCTACAACAGTTAATACCGAAGTCTAAAGATCTCACGAATGAACTCACTGGCAAAGCTTCGAGTTTGAGGTAGTTAAGGAGATCGCTTGATAGCAATCCCTTGTCAATAATCACATGAGTGACATCAGTGGCCCAGTCTCGACTCCATCGTGCACCATAATCTTGTGCTCGTTGAATGCGCAATCGTCGGAATGGAGATACATCGTTGTTTGGAAAGAAGACTAGAACAATGAGTTCAGCGAGAGTAGGTTGTGAGAAGTCTACAGTACTTACAAAAGATCAGACCCTTAAATATCTGCTGGTCATCTGGGATTATCTTAGCATTATTGATCCTTCTTTTCTTTTGAGGAGGTCCGCTCTTGATGGTAGGCATTGTTCCAGTTGTCCGAGGGCGGTTCGCGGGAGTCGGTTTGAGGACGGCGACTGGACTTCTCTTCCTTTGAAGGTCACACGAAGAACTAGGATCCGACTTTGCTCGAGGAAGTGGGATACGCTCCGAGGAAAGAGCGACTTTATTCGGATCAGGTTTGTCAACTTCTTTGTCTGCAGAAGTGAGAAGATTCCCCCAGCTCTTATCCTCTTCGCTCTGATCATCCGAGTCATCCAGCCGGTCAAGAGCCGCAAAAAATGCCTTTTTACTCAGAAAATAGCCCTTCATGATAGGCTAGTCCGGAATCCAATGGAGGGACGGGTGCCTAAACGAGGGTTGGTTCATTATATAGACACTTGAAATCACCGGACCATATACTCGTATAATCCTTGCTAAGAGAAGAGAGAAAAGAGACAGGGTAATAGTCCGAAAACTTCCTTTGGACCACTTTTGGATGACCCGTGGACGACGCGATGGACCAGCGCGAAATGGGCGCCAAGTCACGTGGGTTCATCATAAAGTGGAAAGTATTTACTCGATAGGCGACCTATGTCCAGAAATATGTAATCCATATATTTGAATTGCATGAGAACTAGTACTGGATTGATATATTATTTTACAACATATACTCTACTCTATATTACTCCCATAGACCTCGGGAATTAGAACCATTCCCAAAATGGAACCATCCTGTCATGTGACTATCGATTTCCATGGAAGATCAAATGCGTGAAGTTCAATAGCAAAATAGCCATTCACCACCGTACACAGAGTACATTGACTGATATACCGTCAATATGTGGAAATCCTCTCTCCCTACCTTGGTAGCCGACCTCCCCCTTCTGCAGACAGGCCGCTGTCTGAGCTGTCAATTCCACAACCCAGCAACTCTCTCACAGCTACGAACCAAGCCCTTTTCTCTGCGCCAATACTCCAACAAGGCCGAGAAACCTATCGGCAATAAGGACGCTGTGCCCGCCCCCGTGAAACGAAACATAAAAAATGAGGTGCACCGCCTACCCACTGCCATTGAATTCAGACAGAACCAGGATGGACCTCAACCCGGTGACGCAGACTTCGTTCCTCCAACCCTGGACCGGCCCATCGGTAGCCCGCAAGCACCATTAGAAGGACAGAACACAGGTATCGACACGCGGTCGATGCGCCAACGGCGCGATGACTTCACCAACTATGACCGACACATCAAGCGACGCGCGGAATTGTACGAGCCTACCGATTCCCTCCCCTCTTCTTTACACCCCGCTTGAAAACAGCGGTACTAACAGATATTTCAACTCACAGGACAAGACAAGTCGCCAAGCCGTATTTCCGCGAATGGTCAAATCTCCGCTTCGCCGAGGGCAAGACCTTTGTCTCGAACCCACGCCTATTCAAGGCCGACAAGGCCCTTTACTTCCCGAACATGCACGGCATAACTCTAGCGACGCCCAAGGATCCCCAGAATACGACGACCCAGCTGCGCGGCAGCATCTCCGTCGTAAACTTGTTCTCAAGCATGTGGGCCGAGAGCCAGGTTGCGACGTTTACGGGGCCGAAGCAGAATCCAGGACTCGTGGAGGCTCTGGCTAGCGGCGGAAGACATGTGCAGAGGATTGATATCAATCTCGAGGAGAACCGATTGAAGGCGTTTTTGGTCAAGACGTTCATGTGGCGCATGCGACAGAAATTACCTGCGACCCAGCATTCACGGTACTTCCTTGTGCAGAAAGGTTTCGACCAGGCGCTCAAGGAGACTATTGGCATGATGAATTCCAAAGTCGGTTATGTCTATCTGGTTGATTCAGAGTGTCGCATCCGCTGGGCGGGGAGTGGACCCGCTGGACCGTCTGAGTTGGAGGGACTTAATGCTGGTTTGCGCAAGCTTATAGAGGAGAAGAACGCCGCTCTTCGGGCGCAGGACCCATCCCGCAAGTATTGATTGAGGCTGGGGTGAAGAGGGTTACGTGAACTGGAGTTTTGGATGTGATATGATTCCGCTCTTGGTTAAATTTGTACATACAATAGAGAATCTGTATAATAGAAAGTATAACAAATAGGCGCCTTCAAGACCCTGTTGCGAGAATTATCATAGATTCCCCGTCAATGGGGAATCGGAACATGCCCAAACCCAAACGCCTAGACAAGAGAAATCCACTCGCTGGAGAGCAGCAACTGACAGAAGAATAACATGACATAGGAGCGCTGGTATAACTAACGTGCCGCTAGAGTCTTGCAGCATGCTTTACCGGAAGAACAGCAACATCAAAAAGCAGAAACCAATGAAGCATCCGAGAATAATAGCATCTCGCCTCTTCTTGTTTCCAATCTTGCTCATGAGATAGTTCATGCCGGGGACACTGCCAGCAGCGCCTACAATTCGCCGATTAATGTTGGCAAGTGTCTCTCCCTGGACACCGAAATTCGCATTGATGGCATACGCTTGGCTCAGCACATTGTCCATCATGCTGTGGCTGTTCTCGACTCGGCCCCGCTCTTCGAGCATGTACTCGGCCTCGGCGGCGGCGGGGTTTGATGCACGATAGGAGTCGATGTCTGAACGGACATTGGAGAGTAGGTTTGCACGATCGCGCGATTCAGAAATGGCTGCGGTCAGGCGCTGGAGCTCGCGGCGGTGGTCTTGCAGTATTTCGCGGTGGCGGGAGACATTATTCTGTTTCAGGGCGGAGGATGTGAGGGTAGCTTCGGAGTCGAGGAGACGGGATAGTTGGGCGATGACGGACTCGCGCTGTACGGGGCTGAATTAGCTATCGGTTCTTTCTCTTCTGTCAAATGTTGGTAGATGGACATACTCGTTCGAGCAGGTCTCTCAGTTGCGATTCAAGTCGCAGCTCTTCATCGGTAGGTGATTGTGGAGGTTTGGTGATCGAAGCAAATTGTGAATAGGTGTGGAAAAGGTTCTCGGTCTATCGGTACGTCAGTTTAGCTATTTAACATTGGTACAGACCACCTAGAGATATTGGTACCTGAGTTTCAAGCGACCGTGCTTGTTGTCGGAGCTGTGTCCACCCGGAACTAGTTGATGATGCCATGGCAGGCAGTAAATATGTGGAATGTGTAGATGGAGTTACAGAGCAATCTGATCTGTTTATGAGTTTTTCTCAGACAAATAATCAACAAGTGCAAGGGCCGAGGTGCTACCTGCTTGTCTACGTAAGTGCCAGGCCATGACGGGGTAAACCGCGCTAACCGAATACAGTATGTTTATGCCCCAGGGACCAGGCATCAATATGCCAGAAACTTCAGGCATTAAATTCAGGCATTAGTGCCACCGTAATCACGTGCACCCGCTAAAGTCACAAATTCGCTTAGCCCTAGTCCCACAACCAGTCGCAAATTGACACTCGGACATCTTCAATTCTCAACGTCGACAACCCACACAATTCAACGCCACCATGGTATGTAGTGCTGTGCAAAGGCTCTGATATCAAAATGCTGATGAATCGCTCTTTTTTTGCAGTCGTCCAAGGTCAAGGCTGGTCAGCTCTGGGGCAAGAACAAGGATGAGCTCGCCACACAGCTCGAGGAGTTGAAGTTGGAGCTTAACCAGCTCCGCGTTCAGAAGATCTCTTCCGGCGCTTCCTCCAAGACTCAGAGAATGTGCGTATCCGACACCCCCGATATTTGATTTTTCTGCGGATGGAATTTGAAGATTTGCGGCATGGGAACGATCGAACCCGGGCACAACATACAAGAGGAGGACTACGCCAGAATTCAACCAAGAGATCGACCGAGGAAGAGATGGATTCCACGATATGCCGCAAACACGATAATTGGGTCATCGATATTCAAGATTTGATGCTGACTGGAATTTTTCTTTTTTTTAGCGGCGAGGTTCGCAAGTCTATCGCTCGCGTTCTCACCGTCATCAACGCCAACCAGCGCGCTCAGCTGCGTCTGTTCTACAAGAACAAGAAGTACCTCCCGCTCGACCTCCGCCCCAAGCTCACCCGTGAGATCCGCCGCCGTCTCACCAAGCACGAGCGTACCCAGACCACCGACAAGCTCCGCAAGCGTGCCATCCACTTCCCCCAGCGGAAGTACGCCGTTAAGGTATGAATTACTCCGACAATCCTGGGCAGGGGGAACAGGTGGAATGAGGGTTCATAGACGTTTATCTTTTGCCCTCACCACTAAGAACCTCGACCATAAAACGAATCGAATCGGCCGAACACAATGCTGACGAAATATTCCAGGCTTAAACGCAGAACTTGTTCGGATAAGGAGTTTTGTGGGAAGACGTTGCTGGCCTTGGACATAAGCAGGACGTGACAGCGTGGATCCGAAAGCTTGTGGAGGGGTCGGTTTTCTCTTTTTTTTTACATCCAAAAAATGGAATTTGATTATGTATCTAAATAGGATGCAAATCGACTCTTGACATGACATGACTTTAGACATTCTCAAGATTCTTTGCTCTTGCCCTCATGTAAGACTAGCGGACTTCTCAGTGGTATCATCTGCCAGGCTCGAGAAATATATTTCAAAAATATACAATCTTGAGTGGTCTGCCTTTCTAGTCTACATGACTCTAGTAAAGCAAAGATAATATCAAATCAAGGATATATTACTATGTGTGGTAAACAAATGAATCTAGATGCAAGACATCCCAAAAGTATGTCTAACATATAAGAAAGAACCGAGATATCGTCACATCCCTACACCACCTTAGGCTAAAGCCAGAATGCAAGCCATACTATCCAATTCCAGCGTTGGCTGATGTCCTAAGCCTGGCTAACCCTGTTGCCATTGCCATTCGCACTCACACTCCTTACCCCAAGATCCCCATTATCCGTCTCAAGAACCCACATCCCCCCGCAAACACAAGACCGCAACAGCCCCAGCTTAGCAATCATCTTGAACGACAGAAGCGACCGAGGCAGATTCGTATCACCAGAGACCTCACAGCAGCGCGCACACCTGCGCTTTTTTAGTGGCGCCATGCGACCATCATTGCCTAACGGTAACGGCGGGCGCAGCGGACACTTCTTAAGGATATCCACCTCACGCTGCTTACGGTATAGCGCTGTGCGTCGGTCATTCGCGAAACCAAGCCAGCTATAGTCCCCGAGGTAGATACCCATGCGGTTGATTTCGGATTTGAGCGCTGGGACTGTCTGCCGGAGAAGTGTGGCTACTGCTGTAGTGAGGACTGGGGGAATGCGCGCATTAACCAGTAGTTCCTTTTCTGGGCCGGGTTTTTCGGCGTCGCCGAAGCCAGCGCCTTGATAGGCGTGCTTCACGGCTGAGTCGACTCCTGCTAGGAACTTCTCGTACACGTCGATCCGTACCGGTGATGATTCTAGCGTTTGGCAGATCTCTGTGTAGTAGATTCGGGAGTCGCCTAGAAGGGAGGCGGGGTTTGCGGTTGCGAAGCCGGCATGTACACCGCGGAGGCCACGGCAGATGAAGCGGAGGAAGGCGCGTGACATGCTTGAGAGGAGGATTAGGAGGGGTAGGGAGGAGGAATTTTTCACTGTGGTGATAGTGGGTGAGCTTGAAGCTGGTGTTTTTGTTATGGGGAGGTTTCTTACATTTTTGTGTGAATGCTTCTGGGTCATTGAAGACATCTTCAAATTCGTCGGCCATGTCGAAGATTTCGTTTAGAAGGAAGTGAGAGAAGTCTAATGTCCATTTGGCGTTGCCCAATACCATGCGTAGAACATCTTTTGTTTCAATTAGCAACGGATCACGATAACTGAGTTGGGTTTCTTTAAGCTTACCTGGATCATGCGATTCGGTCTGACCCCCTTTATTATACTGGAAGAAATATGCAAACAGAACCGAGGCATGTCTGAGTTGAATGGTTGCCCACGGCACGGCCGATGAGAGGTTGCGGCGCTTGAGTCTCCCTTTGAAGCCCAGCCCGGCCTGTAAGCTGAGACAACGAGGTATGTACGGATGGCTCATGAGTTTGTCCTGTTCGGCAGTGAAATTGCAATTAATCGGCAGTGCACGATACACCTCGCCGATGAATGTGATTTGAGCCTCTTTGGAAGTTGTTAGTGGACTTGATATCAATGCGAAGGCTGTCAAAACACTCACCTGGTGATAGCTGCGCGAGAGCAACCATGAGTATGTCATCTGAATTGAAATCAACCCCACAGCCTCGACTGAATGCTAATGTCAAAGCCGCAATGGCTGCGGAAAAATTGTCTACATATCTCGGTCAGTATTTATTTGATACAGGTGATCGGAAAAACACATACTCTCGTCATAAATGCCCTCCGCGGATCCGAATGAATGCTCCATCAGTCTCAATTGCATATGTCCGTCACTGTCCAGCGTAACGGCAACGCAAGCATTAGGAGAGAAGGCAATATGAAGACCTGTCCATATCAGCTCTGGGCACGAATATGAAAGCAATATTGGTTAGTTTCGGACATACCTGACGTCTCGAGTGGATAGTGGAACCCGGCCTGAGCCAGACAGGTCACCGTGGTTGAATCATCAAGACCGTTTAGAACGGTCATTGTCCGTGTGTCGTAGCATGTTATTGAGCTGTCATCATGACTGACAGCCAAAACCGTCCCATGCTCTACTAAATCTATCGAGACAATATACTTATCGGAATAAACGTCATCCAACCTGCGCAATTCCATTCGTCCCTGGGTATAAGTCAGTCTCACATTTGGCCCAACAGAAACACACCGAGAAAGTCGCACCTTTGCTTGAACGTTGCTCGTTTTTGACGCCACCTCGTCGAATTTTGGGTGGAGGGCCTGCGGTGTAGACTGCATATGCCACCTGACTATTACACTTGGCGGACCTTGCTGATCTGGATAGTCATGTATGGCATGGAGGGGCTTCGATAAGACACCCAGGATCCAAGGATTGCCAGTGGACCCTGCGGGGCTATCAAACTGTCCCGGCATGATCTCTAGTCGTGTCAACGAGTAGACCGAGTTTAAAAACGGCATAGACTGATCGGAGTGGTCCGGGCCAGGGTTGACGTTCAATATATTGCTAGGCATGTCGACCTTACAGTGAATGAAACGGAAACTGGGGATAGGATATTGGCCAGGCTGTTTTCCCTGTGTCGGCTCCCATTGTGGCGGGTTCCAGCAGATTTGGACTCTATAAATACACATCTTCTGGCATGCGTCGAAGGTGGCGAGAAGTATCCCAGCTGTTTCAATACGTCAGCGATGGCAGAAAACAGAGCTCCGACGGAAAGATAATACCTTGCGTTGCGCTCATGGATGCATGCGTTAATAGTCTGTCCGAGTACCCTGTGTTCTTCAGTTCAGCTGGCAGCTCGGCCCATTTGCTGTCAGGATTTTGATATATCAGCTTGATCTGGCCGGCTCTGGTCACACATATCAATGCGCCTTTGTTGGCTGGATGGAATGGACCAACGGGGCGTCGACGGAAAGGCGAGTATGCCCATCGACCATTCACCTTGGCTGCTTGGTGAAAGGCATGCACCTATATTGTGGTGTTAGAGTCCTTCCCCTTCTACCTTGATCTATCTTCATGGATAATGGCTAGGGGCCTAAACGTACATAACGCTGGGAGTTCAGCCACATCATCCCAACAACCTGGTTGCCATCGTCGCCGGAGTCAAATGAAGCCTGACGCAAGCCTGTGATGCTGTTCAATGCAATGGAAATGGAATAAATTGATATGCGACCAGAACAGTCAACAACGGCCAGTTCTGAGCCGGTCTCATTCCATGATAGATGGGCTAGCTGATTTCCATTATGGGCCTCCAAGACTGGAGCCAATGGTGACTCTTCCCCGAGTATCCATTTGCCATCTGATGGGCGACACTGGAGATGACGGACGATCACCCGGAGTCCGTCTGGGGAAATAGATGCAATGCATCCCATCCGAGACCAGGCGATTTTCCTAGAATGTTGTTAGAGCCTGGAATGTGGATGTGAACCCTTCTTGCAAGCTTACTGGCAACACCCTAATAGACGCATTTCATCTAGGCATTGTGCTAGACCTTTGATTGGGGAGGCGGCCGGCAAGCCCAACTCCAGGGAGTTGGGTTCTCCAAAAAGGTCATCCACATTGATACCGTCCTCCATGATCAAGGGCATAATAATTTGACCACTTTCAAGTGTGTTTGATAATCAGGGAATCAATACAGCATAGCTTCATAGAGTTCCCCAGACTGAAATATCAGGGCTTTATTATTATTCAAGGGGTGGGATGGGATTCCCGAGATCGGCGCCTAATGTTCAAGGAGATGTCACCAACACCCAACAAGCGTGACAGTCACAGCAATTCCAGAATTCAATATGAGGGGGACCATCCAAATACAGATGTTCCTATGCCGTCAGGCGCCTGGACCTCCAGGGACCAGTGGATTTCCCAGATTAGTCAGATCTCGTGACATGGATCAGGTGACGGGTAGCCCTGCCAACGAGAATTGACCAATCAGATGAATATCAGGTGATCCACTATCTAACAGAGCGAATCATCGCTAGGCCCTTTAACTGTCAAAACATGGAAAATAGAGGGCAAAAATGGAAATGAAAATAGGAAGAAAATCGGGAAAAATAAAAGAATAATAGGAAAAGGACAATGATGAACTATTAAGGATTTCTATTGAAGCGTGAAAGGACAATTGACTATTCTAAGTCCTACAATCAACGGGGGAGGGTGTTTCAAGAGTATCAAAGAGCGTCAAAAGAGCCTACAAGACTTATTTTCCTCTTTATTCCGAAGTATATGTGCAGTCTTTAACCCACAACCGTTCGCATCAAAACAATATCGAGTCCCACTCTTTATTTCGCTCAAATCAATTTACTTCTCCCCACGACATTCCTACATCCATTCGGTCAAAACAAACGTTCTGCGGGTCGCCCTTTTTTTATTTTTTTTCTCCGGGCCATAGAGTCCTGAAGTGCACGAGTTTCATATCCCCTTCTTAACGCTAACCTCATCGTCAACTTCCTTCAGCGCTACCCGTGAAACTGCTCTTCTCTACACTTTCTCCCCATTTATCTCAAAGTTTTACACGTCATTGATCTTTATTGATCTTTATTCTCTGGATACATATGATTTCTCTTTTCGAGGTTTTCTACGGTCTGTGAGCAGTTTGGACACCCCGGTTCTTTTCGCTCCGACTCTCCCCCTGGGGTGAACATTCTCCTACACTGTTACACCTTTCAACCCATTCACAAACCACGCAGCCATGGGTGATTTCGATTTCGATTCTTTATCTGATGTATCGGATTTGAGCTCCGCACCTTCATCACCAAGACTAGAATCGTCACCAGAGCCAGCAGAACGGTACCCAACACCTTCATCCCAAGAGGGCGCTGAGCCTGCTGAGGGTTCTGCACGCCAAGCCCGTCCCGCAAAGAGGAGACGCAACCCCCTACCAAAGGAACGGACCACTCAATATCTCGATCTGTCTAAATCTCTCTATGAACAAAATGATCAACATTATTTGTTAGTTCAAACTCTGCGTCATCAAAAAGATATTGTCGTCATCGCTGGAGCTGGCATTTCCACAGCCGCGGGTAGTAAGTTTCTGCTTTTGGATTCTGCCGCATCGAGCCACCCTGTTAACTCATATACATAGTTCCGGACTTCCGCTCCACAGATGGTTTATTCAAATCATTGCAAAAGAAACATAACCTGAAAGCATCCGGCAAGCTACTCTTTGATGCTGCCGTTTATCAGGATGATGCATTGACGGCGCCGTTCCACGAAATGGTCCGGTCGCTGTCAGAGGAGGTTGCTAATGTCAAGCCCACCGCCTTCCACCAAATGCTCGCCCGATTAGGTATTGAGTCACGTCTGAAACGACTTTATACCCAAAATATTGATGGCATAGAAACCTCTATGGAGCCACTAGCAACTGAGATTCCACTTAATGTTAAGGGTAGTTGGCCGATCACTATTCAACTGCACGGCAGTATTGAGAAGATGGTTTGCCAAAAGTGTCGCTACCTCGACAACTTCAAACCCGATATGTTCATGAAGGCCGACCCACCCGATTGCACAGAGTGTGCTGAGAACGATGGAGTTCGCCAAGCCAGCGGTCAGCGGAGCCATGGAATCGGCCGAATGCGCCCGCGCATTGTCCTCTACAATGAGCACAACCCCGACGAAGAGGCAATCACCTCCGTGATGAATGCCGATATCAAGTCTCGCCCTCGCGTCCTGATAGTCGCCGGTACCAGCTTGAAGATCCCCGGAGTTCGTCAACTCGTTAAGAGCTTGTGCACAATGATCCGTAGTCGCAAGGATGGTGTCACGATGTTCATCAACAATGAACCACCAAGTGGCAAGGAATTCGACAACTGCTTTGACTTGATTGTCAAAGGGTCATGCGATGAAGTTGCACGCCAGGCTAACCTGAAACCATGGGAATCAAAGGATATTACGCCACGCGTGTACGAATCCTCGCCTTCGCCCATTCCCCAGACCTTCAGTTCCAACGACGTTTCCGTCGTGGTCACGCCGAAAAAGAGACCTCGCGCAGAAACTGGTCTTGCCACACCTTCTGCCAGTCATGACGAGAAACCGGCCAAGAAGCCCGCTAGCAAAGTTTCGAAAATCAAGCTCGAAAATCCAGCAAGCAATGGCCGAAGTATCAAAGACGTTCTCAGCAAAGGAAAGCCTGCTGCTCGCAAGCCTACTCCTGCCTCCAAGTTTGTCACCAAGCCCGCTCCCAATCCTCGTTCCAAGAAGGCTACAACAACAGCTGCCTCGAAAAAGCGTGCTCCGGTCAAGAAAAATGCCACCATCACCTCATACACCGGCCGCGTTACCAAAACATCTCAATCCGCTGGCAAAATTACTACCAAGGCCGACCACAAAGCTATGCAACCGGTCCCAGCGGGCGCCCAAAAGAACAACGGTACTCTGCCCATCAGAACAGAGCAATCCGAGAAAGCAGACATCGTGCTCGACTCGGAGTCTCGTCCGCGGCCAGTGGCTTCCTCCTGACTGTTTGTTCTGGTCATCATATTGATATTTTATTCTCGGATGACTGCAAGTTCATGACATGATTCATGGTTACCAAGATGGCGTCCTTGGGTGTTATTTTCTTCGTTCTTCCCAGTGATACATTCACTACTCCTTCTATCCCCTTCTGGGCCTTCCATTTCTTCATTTGTGTTTACATACTTCCTCTTCGTGGACTGTATTCCTATTTGCATCACCTGCGTTTGCTTTAGGTTGATGATTGCTGCTGTCCTATTTCGAAAGATACCATTGATAGACCACGGTTTCTCGCATGGGTTGGTTCGGGCGTTTTCGGTCAAGGAGCTGGCTTAGTCCAGCATGGTGGGATTTCCTTGTTTCAATCCTTCTATTTTTATTTTCCCTCATGCCAATCTGTATGGGTGTTCATACGTGGAGTATCTTCATGGGGTATTCCTGACTTGATCTTGTACGATTTGTTAGGTAGTCTCGTTTAATGAATTCCTTGTTCTTCTAGGATATACTCTCTTTTTCTTTTTCCCATAATATTTGTTGTAGGGCATTGGGGGTTGATATATATATTGACATATTCAAATCCCTGCGCAACTACTACCCAGTTGTGCACCATGTGGACGATTGATATACAATGTTTTGGACTTCTGCACTAGGACCATAACCAAAATATATACCAATAGAGCGCAGCATAAAATCCATTCGTCATTATGTGTATAGTATAGCCGAAATATTCCTTTCTTTCGCCAGTCAACCTCTTCCATGCCACCCAAGATGAGTCTCTGGCTCATCAACCTATAAACCCCTCTGACATAGCCTAATTAGCCCAACCCAAGATCATCCCGCAACTGACTACCAGGCCCATCCTCATCTTCATCCGTCTCCTCAGCATCAGGATCAAAAGGCCCCCTCTTCGCACCAGGCTCACGGTCCAAATCCTCCACATGCTCAAGGTCATCCTCACGGGGACCATGCTCCTCCTCTTCATCATCCTCACTCTCCTCCTCTTCTTCCTCTTCCTCTTCGACATCCTCCTCTTGAGTCTCATCCCCATCATCACCAGCAGGCGCACCAACAGCAACCTCCACACCGCCATCCCGCTTCATCCTCTTCGCGGGATTATCAAGCATCTCAGAATCACCATCACCCTGAGTCGCGCCCTCGCCTAACACATCCTGCGTCGAGCCATTCGCATCAACCTTCTTCGGCTTACGCTTCCCAGCTTTGATTTCAGTATATGCCTCAAGTTCCCGTTCGAGCCTACCGCGGAAAGAGTCGAGTTCTAGCTCGGAGAGGGCGTTGAAGACGTCTGCTGGGGCGATTGTCCGTTTGAGGGTTGCATCGTTGGCGCTAAGGTTCGCATCAAGGTTAGTTCGGAGAACAAATCCAAATCAAGATTCACCATCCCCATGTTTGGACTCGAGGACTCGAATGCAAAGGGCAAGAGCAAACGGGACAAGGGTAAACATACTGTGAGGACAGGTAGGAAACAAACACCGTAGCAGCCTTCTGCATAGCCAGTACGGCGTCCTTTTGGATCGTGGTATTCGGCGGGAGAACCGACTTGGCGAGACGAATCGTCAGTGACCGTGGTAGGAGATAGTCCTACGGAGATAGTGTTAGTCTGGCCTGGTTCACTTTTTCCATACGGAGTCCATGGATATATCTCTCTGTCTTTATCTTCTTACCTCGACACTTGCGCCCGCCTCGGCCCGAGCCTTCAACTGCTGCTCCGTTGCAAAGACGGGTTTGTCGGTGTGCGGTGCTGAAGGCGACTGCTGGAGCAGGGAGTCATCTGGATCAGCGGTCGTCATTGAGGACGTGGATTTGCGAGGTGGCATTTTGTAGGTTTCGATCGGGTAGATGCCTCTGTGCTAGGTGCGCGGTTTAAGGGATCGGGGGGTTGACAATTCGGCCCCCCTTGGATATTGAATCGAGTTAAGGATTGATTGTTTCTCTCTGTGAAGGACCTTAGGGCTGGATTCAGACTTGAGCTGTGCGGGCTTTGAAAATGGGATAATGTTCGAGGGTTGCAAGGAAGACGCGCCAACGCGTTGGATTTCTCGATGCGCGAGTGTGGGGGCTTGGCGGTGATGTCTACTTTTGATTTCTATTTCTATCGACTCTTCTACAATTAAGATGTATTACGAACTACAAGTTTTGGTGTGTTTATTTGGAGGAAAGAGTCATTTTACTGATGTTTTTATACTACTGAAATTGAGATCAAACCTAGGGAAGGATGGAATGCCAACATAAAACGCCTACTTTTTGGTATCCAGAAAGATAGAATCAAATGAGATAATGAGTTCATAACGCGAGCAAGAAGACCAGCCCTTACTCGGCCATCTCCTCGTCATCAGCTTGTCCGTTGCCCCAGAGACCCTCGATACTGAACTCCTTGGCCCATTCGGTGACAACCTTTGTGGTGTTGGCACCAGGCTCAATAGCGCTAGCAGGAGCATCCGCTGAGACAACGGGAAGCACAGGCGCAGTGGCCCATCCTTGGATGCGGCCATCTCTCCAGTCGTTGATAACGGTCATGGCAGCGCTTTCGATGTTGGGGATACCGCGCTTTCCGAGACGTCCGCGCTTGCGGGCCACCTGGACCAAGAAGTCGGTGGTCTTATCACCATTGCTAGGGAAGAGGGCAGTGATGCCATACAACTCGAGCATCTTGGAAAGGAGGTTCTCCGATTGGGATAGACGCTTCATCAGGAGGTTGACTGCGGGGATGGGATCCTCGATCTGCTTGGGCGGGACAGCGTTGAGGAGAATCAAACGGGCCTGTTCTTCTTGCTTCTTGTTCTTCTTGCTAGACTTGTCACTGGAGCTGGGGAAGACGATTCCAGGGGAGTCAATAAGCTTGAGCCTGCTGTCCAGCTTGACCTGGCGCAGACTGGTGGTGACACCAGCCTCGGCACCTGTCGGGCATGCGTTGCTTGAGCCCTTGTTCAGACGTGCGGTGAGTGCGTTGATGACGGACGACTTGCCGACATTGGGGTATCCAATGACACCGACAGAGATTGCTCGCTTCAGTTGCTTGGCGCCGGCGTATGACTTAAGGGCACGGAAGAGAGTATCCGAAGTACCCTTGACTGTCAATTGTTTGTGGTCGAAACTGTGTGCGTTGGCGGTACCGCTGGATGCCTTAAGGGGAAGAGTGGGGAAGGAGCGACGCAGGTGAAGCAACCAGCCCTTGAGCACTGGCGGGGGAACCAGATCGATCTTGTTCAAGATGAGAATCAACCGCTTGTTGCCACCGTCTGCCATCATGATTTCGCGCTCAATATCCTTAGAGCGGGTGCCCTCGGGGTCGCGGGCATCAAGCACGTATAGCACGACATCAGCGTTGTCAGTGACCTGCTTGAAGACCTTGTCGAATTGGCGTCGTGAGCTCTCCTTTGAGAAAGACTTTGAATTGACTAATGGCGACTCGTCAATAATTGCGCCGCCCTCATCGTCCTCGTCCATCTCATCGTCATCATCTTCATCTTCATCCATCTCGTCCTCGTCGTCGCTCTGATTATCATCGTATTCTGAGGCACGGGCGCGGGCTGAGGCTAGAAGAGCAGCCATTGGGTTCGAATCATTGCCATCGGCATCCATATCATCATCCAGCAGCATATCATTCTCGTCGATGTCGACAGCCTCGGTGCCAGCCTGCGCGGGCAGGCCTTCACCCTTGCGGCTTCGTGCTTCGTCACGAATGCGCTGTTGCTCCTCAGCCTTCATACGCTTCCGCTCTTCGATGTCATGGAGAAGCTTGTCCTTGTTGGGGAAGAGATTGGGAATGCCGGGGTCCTTCTTAATCTTTGACCGCCATTCAGGGTTCTATAGAGAAAATAGTCAGAACCTTGGATTAGGACCTTTATGGAGGTATTGTCTGTAATACCTTCTTTGCGAGCTTCTTTGCCTTTCTCTGCTTCTGAACAGCAGACTTTTCAATCTTGTGTCTAAGGCGGACGGGAACCCGCTTAGAAGTCTTGCCTGTAGATTGTTAGAATTGCGCCTCAGGGCCGCATGAACAAGGGGTGAAAAGGAGTGTCATACCGAAGCCACTCTTAGTAACCATTTTGAATGCACGTATTTGTTGATCGCAAAAAGTGCACAGCAAACCCTCAAAGTCTGTCCGCAACGGGAGTAGAAAAAGTTGAGTGCCAAGATTTCCCAGCCGATAAGCGGATTAGTAGTTAGACCGATCTCCGAAACATTTCAAATGACTAAGCTTGCGGGACGTTTGCCGGATTCGGTATATACCCGACCGCGGAGGGGCTCCGGGGATAAGCAAGAAATCTATCTTATGATGTCTTAGCTTCTATTGTCCTATCTTGAAGTTCTTATTTCTCTTACTGTCCATATTTTCAGAACACCCACTAAATATTTCTCCTTGTCTTTCTCTCAACATCGGCTTCCCCGTCTACTCACCATTGACTCCATCAACTCTCCCCGCATCTCTCTCCCCCACCATGTCCTCAGCAACAGGATCGTTCTCGGCCCCTACGCAGGTCCACACATTCGATGGTGTCCTTTCCGATTTTGATGGTACAATTGTGGACTCGACTGATGGTATTTTCCCCCTCATCCTAGTCCGCCTAGGACCAATTGGGACCAATGCTAATCATGCGGTATTAAACAGCAATTGTGAAGCACTGGCACCAGTGAGTCATCAGACCACCCCAGCACAACGCGACCTCCGAGAGCAGAATCTCTAACACAAATTTCGTTACAGAATTGGCGCCGAGCTTGGCGTTGACCCCAAGACTATCCTCGCGACCTCGCATGGCCGCCGCAGCATTGATGTAATGGGTCTATACGACCAGACTAAGGCTAACTGGGACTGTAAGTCTACCAGCCAATCCAAATGCCCAGGAGCGATAGTTATCTTCCAATATAAGCATAGGATATAAAACTGACAGCATCCCCTCCTTATAGATGTCAATGAAATCGAAGGCCGGATCCCGAAACAATATGGCGCCGATGCCGTCGAAATCCCCGGCGGCCGCGACCTCCTT